TTTACAGTCTCTGTTTTACAGCAGGGGAAGCGGGGCACAGAATGATTAAATAACTTGCTCACAGTCAAACAGCAGGTTAATTTCAGAGCTGAGAAGAGAACAGAGTATGTTGACTCCCTGGAGACCAACAGGCAGTTTTAGGGTTTTCCCTTCTGGTTATGTTGCACAAAAATGTAATAGTAAAATATATATATATATATTACCAGAGATTATGGACAAAGACAGATCAAGATTTTCTTGGGTGTCAGTCATGCACAAATATCAGACTAAGAGTGTGTTTGTGTCCATGATTAATCGCTGTTTTCAGCCACTTTCCTGTGTCCACCACTACCGGGTGGCTGCTCGCACAGCTACCTGGGCACAGCATGTGACTGTAATCATAGCTGGCAGACGCTGCGCTGTGGAGAAGCTCAACTTAACATTATGCTAGCATCAAACCACAGACTCAGCCCAAATCCACAGCAAGCTCCTGAGAGGTACCTCAGCCTGCTTCCCAGCCTCTACACGGATCACCCACTGTGGCTGAATTTCCCTCCACTACCAGAAGTGTCTCCACAGGGCAGCCAGTATCAGCAGAGCTATCAGTCATCCTGACATACATAAGCAAACACATACATGAATTCGGACTAACAGCTCCCAAGTCCTTTTCCAGGCATTAGAATCCCAGTCACAAACCCACCTCAGGTCATCTTCATCTTCTAATGAATTATCGTCTGAATTTCCACACTCTTACCTCACGAGCACTCCAGTATGATCCCATTGTGCTTCCAGCTGCATACAAGTCAGGTACGGATGGTACGGATGTCACTTCACTGTTAGAGGCAACAGCTGTCAGTGATTCACCAAGTACCTGTGCAAACTTTAAGGAGCGAGTGGCTTATCCATGCCCCACCTTCCTCACTGCTGAAAGGGAAAGTATGAAGAGGGAAGGGGAGGGCATTTGCTGAGTTTATTTGATAGCTAAACAGCAGAGGTGTGTGTTGAGGGAAGGCTGTACACACCAAGGTGCCAAGAGTTATTAGCCGTTCAAGATAAGAGAGTGATAACACACAGCACTGATGCATGGATACCTATGACCTGGCACCCTACCCAACACACAAGTCAGAGAAGATAATAGCAGCTATGTGTAGGCTGGAGAAAAACAGAGCTCTTCAGCACCCCAATCAACAACCAAAAATATTATGGATGAAATAACTTTAAAAGATCTTCTATTTCATTAAAATTTTACTTTTTCCTTTTCTTGGAGGTAGATGGGGTTGAGTTTCTTGCTGGTAGATGTTTCCCCAATTTAATTCCTATACTTGTCACATGGATATGTTTTCCTGCTCTCAGAACCACTCCACAAACACAAACCTTTTGAGTAAACCAAGTCAAAAAGAACAAGTTCTCCTCCAAATTAAGCCATATATCAATTAATTTTAATGATAACACATTGATATTTTAAACACGATGCAGTGCCATCAAATTATGACATAAAAATAACACCCAACTTTTCCATTTTCTGCGGAAAACCATGCTGCAGCAGATACACAGGTGAATAGCCCTCACACAGGTTCAGCTACTGACATGCCCAGAGGTCTGATATGAAATTATTTGAGAACTGCAAGAGGTGGTAACTGTACACTCACAGTACCCACAACCTGTCTTCCCCTTCTACACAAACACATCAGGAAAACGCACAATAGACAGTCAATTCTGGCCTTACAACTTTTCACTGAATGAAAATTACTTCAGTCATCAACTATTTTAGGATTAGAAATCTATCCTCAATAACCTTCTGATTAAAGAGATGTGAGATGATGCAAGATTCCCATTAATATTGTGTCTAGCAAAAAAAGACAAGGCAGACACCCAGGTCAGTGAAGAAGGCAAGGGAAGAAGTGGCCATAGCAGAGGTTCCCCTGCAGCTCATGGTGAGAGGACAGGCTGTGCCCTGCAGCCATGGAGGGTCACGGGGGGAGCAGAGACCCCTCTGCAGCCCAGGGAGGATCCCACTCTAGAGCAGGCCGCTGTGCCCAAAACAGCCCGTGACTCTGGGAAGTCCACGCTGGAGCAAGCTGCTCCTGAAGTACAGAACCCCACAGGAGGGACCCATGCCAGAGAATTTAGTGAAGAACTGCAGCCCATGGGAAGGACTCATGTTGGAGAAGTTGGTGGAGGACTGTCTCCCATGGGAGGAACCCCATGCTGGAGCAGGGGCAGAATGTGAAGATGCCTCCCCCTGAGGAGGAAGGGTCAGCAGAGACAACATGTGATGGAGTGACTGCATTTCTGTGGGGGAGGAGTTAGAGAAATTGGGAACAAAGCTGAGCCCAGGAAGAAGGGAGGGGTGTGGGGGAAGTTTTTTAAGATATCTGTTGTTTGTTGTCTCATTGTTCTACTCTGAATTGATTGGTAACTAATTAAATTTATTTTTCTTCCACAAGTTGACTCTGTTTTACCTCTGACAATAACTGGTGAGTGATCCCTCCTTAATCTTGTCTCAACCCTTTCCTTATACTTCCTCCTCCCCATCCCACATGGGGGGTGGGAAGGCGCGAGTAGGCAGATGTGTGGTCTTTTGCTGCCAGCTGGATCTAAACCATGACAAGCAGGTAGGTAATGACTGCCTCAACCCAAAACAGTTGAGAAACAACTACTTCTTGAATAACCCAAGGAAAGGAAAAGGGAGGACCAATCTCTAGGCCTCTATCACCTCTCCTGCCCAAGGGGTACTTTCTGCCAGAGTTTCCTCCACAGTAAGTGCTGCAGAGCATGGAGCTGGAGCAAACCCATTCCAGACACTGGCTGGCAAACGCCTTTGCAAGAAGAGGACCTAATAGTAGTCCCAGTAGAGGCAGCTGAGACAAGGCATCTAGTGCGAGCATATAGCAGCAAATGGAGAACACAGTAACCCAAACCACCATGGCAGTATCTGGGAAACTACTATTTCTGGTTTGGTTCAGAATTTCTGATATTTTAGGGTGCATCACAAATTCTGACAAGGGACATCTGGAAGGTGGAAGAGGCTGTAGAAGGAGTAAGTTTTCTGACCAGTTTGAAGCTGGTAAAACCAGGAGGGAACAGGTGCTCATGAAGTACTATAAAAAAAGTCCGCAGGAAATGTCAAGCAGGGTATGTAATCCTGGCAAAACAATCCCCAATGAGGGCCAACAGCTGAGAAGTGAAACTGAACCAGAGTATCCGAGGGAGCCCACAGACTTAGCAAAGCTGATGCAATACCCAGATCTTTGCAATAACAGGAGGACTCTGACAAATATGACCTACACCCTCCATGGCAGGCATTAAGAATTTAGTCACGATGCCCATTTTAGCAGTTGGGGTACGTTATTTTGAGCTCATCAGTGGCTTCTCAGATAAAACGTTGGACAGGATTTTAGAAGACAAGCTTGAAATTGTTTATGTACCTTGGAAAATTCTTGGAGAGAAAAGACTCTTCTGTAGCTCTTGCCTATTTCTTTTAGACCAAGCTACACAAGCAGGTGAGGGACTTCTGTAAGTCTTATGCTGGCTGGCCTTGGACAAACTCCCATCTGCGAGCATCTGCCTGTCTTTCACAATGCTCCTAGGGGCCTGTGGCCAAAAAGACACAAAAAACTAACCTCCAAAGAGGCAGGGGATTTACTTATTAAATGTCTCCTTAACTGAAGAGGAAAAAATGCAAGATATTTATTTTTCTATATATCCACATTCAGGTATGCAATGATGGTTGATCAACACCCACGGTTTGGTGGACAAGATTCCTGTTTTTTGGGAATGCCACAAAATTGCTTCCTGCATTGCAAACCATTCTCCTATACAGCTTGAAGAGGAGCGTTGCTTTTTATTAACAGATTGCTGATCAGGTCCTTCATCAGATGTGTGCATGCATCATTTAGTGCATTCCCAGGATGCATATTTCTTCTTCCATTCTTTAGCAGCTCTACTGGTGTTTGAAAGCTGCTGGTTTTGTGCTATGTGTATATAAATCAACTTTTTCCTCTCAACCACTGCACTTCAAAATACTTGTCAAATAACTAGTTAGACTGTGGCAATCATCTCATCATATTTTGTACTAACATACCTAGTATCTGTATTTTACATTTTATAGTTGCCTTTATAGCTGCGATGCCATGAACAGAATATTGGTATCTTGCTCCACTTCTCCACTGTGATTCTGTGAGTGCAACTACCATACATCCAGCAATCCACCTCACGTGCTTCCTGTTTCAGTAATATTTCAATTCACTACAATGAACAAGCTCCAGATGATGTTGAAGCAATATTGCATTTCAGGGAGAAAACTGCAGCACATGCACGTGATCTCAGACAGAGCACAGTTGATCGTGAGTGAGAATGGCAATGGTCCTTCAAAACAAATTCATAAGTTTGATTTAATTGGTATGAATAGGCATCATCAAAGACCTAAAAGGCCACCCACCTACACATCCATTATCAAACGAGTTTGAAAAATCAAATGTCCTTCATAAGACATATCTATTTCACAACAGTTCATGATAGAAAAGAACCTGGGAAACAAAACTTTTAAAAGGTAGAACACCATTTAATTCAAGTTATTCAAAGCAACTAAAATTATTTAAATTGAAACTGCATGGTCACCACTTTCTGTGTCTGAAGAGAGCTTTATGAATTTGCTACCCAAAAAACACCAGAATATTTTACATACTAAAAAATACTACCAACTAGCCACCGAGACAATAAGAGATTGCAGAGATAGAGAGATAAAACTATTTCCCTATCACACACAGCTAAATCCTTGCCTCTTGAGCATCACAGTGAGATGACATTAAGAACAGACTGCTGTGTTTCATACCACAACTCTAGATCAAAAAGCAACTACGGCTTACTAAGCCGAACCATGTGTCTTTGAAACAAATACTTCAAGTTTTCTTTTTTGAGGAGGTTACTTAGAAAGAGATGTCACCTGTCAAGAACAGTGAAGTAGCTATCGCATATGTGCTGTCATGGTAAATACTTAGTAAAGGAGAGGAAAAAGCTGTTCAAGCAGAGGACTGTGCTTGTGATCCTGACTGGCTCAGAGCTTGTTTCTTTCGTGCCACAGCCATGCGTAAGGCCTGAATAATCACGTTCTCGTTGTTCATGATGTTGTAATTAGTCAGCTTCAGAAGCTTGTTGAAATCTTCTGCTTTCAGCGAGACCTCTCTTGTTGAGTATGGAGAGCAGAAACTGGAGATATCAACCTTGCCCAGTTCCATTTCGGCAGCACTACGTGACATGCCTGTCAAGGGGGAAAAACAAAGGAAGGTGTTTGTGTAGTCCCTTGAGAATTTCGGTAGTTGGATGGACTATATCAGGCATAATTTAGGCAGATCACCGGTGCACTTGCTACAAAGACAAGTGCAGTGGTATGATCTCGGAAAAATCTACTACTAAACAAAGACTGTTGGAATTTTAAGTGTCACTAAACATCATTCCATTGCAACCAGCACCTTCTACTGGCCAGCTCATGGCACGTCATTTTATGCGGTCACAGGTGCTCATGTCTTACCCTGCAGGTTCTTGAGTAGAATGCATACTAAAGGGAAAAGGAATATGGAGGTATGACAGGAGGATGCAGAATATTAGTAGCCTTGGAAATCATCATAAAAAAAAAAAAAAAAAAGCCTGCATCTCAAATACTAGCCCAAAAGGACACAGCAATTGTATTAGTTTATGTACTCTTGCTTTGATTTCCCAGCATATATAACCAACACTTTAAACAGCCCAAATAGAAAGCACAGTGGCCCTCCATAGAACCATTCTATACTGTATACGTCATTCTCCTCTAGATCTGACTCTCATAAAAATATATAATCTGAAAAACACATTTTGTTCTAAATGCTAAAGTAAGCTTGTGGAGACCACAAGAGTAAATTAGTTCCCTTTTCACTACTTGAGGAACCCCCTTTCTAACTAATTTTATGCACAAGATTTTACCCAATTTTACGAACAGTTTTTGTCATCCCATTTGGCAATGTATTTGCTAGTAGGAACAAGCCACCAAAAAAAGATTTTTTTAATTGGGATGAGCTAAAAACACCCAAGGAGCAAGAAAGTTTATTGAGTCAATAAAATTAGCTGGGTATTGTTAACTTACCAGGTGCCACATATCTTTGGAAGGTGTCATTAACTAATGGAAAATAAAGCAGCAGAGGAGCTCCTGGTGTGTCTGCACCATCAAACATGTAGCACTCTTTCAGGTTCTTCTCATCATCTTTCAGCTCAATGTTGGGAAATGGAATTCCCTGCTCAGAGAAGTATCTGCAAGACTGCTCCAAGGGCTGGTCATGGCCCAACAGCAGCAGTGTAAGGAATGGAAAAGATACCCAAGGTCAGGATGCTGCCAAAGCTCAGTAATTCATGCCAGGTTGCACGAAGTAGACTGATAGCACTGGACAACTAGCAATAAAGTGAGCACCTGCAGCCCCAGGGGCTGTTTTTCTCTTGCCTTAGAAGTTATTTGTAAATAGTCTTACAGGAAAACACCTAATACCAAGATGGTAAAGAGGGTTTAAATATGTACTAAGGCATGTATCTAAAATAGAAATATGATCTGGGAACAGACTAATTCACAGCATGTTATAAAGCAATATTAATTAAAGGTCAGAAAAAAAGTAGATCTAAACAAAACTGTCAAAAATAGTAAGATTCACAGTCAAATGATCTGTATATATTGCAGTATAATTTGTGAGTTGATCTCAATAGACCTTAGCAGGGTTTTGAAACCAGCTTACCCATTTCTAAAACCTTGAATTTTAGAAATAATGACATTTCAAGCTAACATATTTTAGACCTAAAACACTAAAAGCATTCATCTAATTTGCGATGACCGACTTTGTTAAATTACCTAACAAAACACTGAAATACCACCTCAGTTTGTTTGAATTAAATACTCCCAAAAGACTTCAGAGTACAAAAATAAATATAGCAAAAGTTATTATAGATGCTCTTTTTCAGCTGCAGCACAGGCAAACATATTTTTCATGTGGCATTACAGTGTAAGAGTAGCATTAAAGTATCTTCCACTTGAAGAAAGAATAGAATCTTAATCCGTGAACTTTGTGCTCTCTATAGTGCCCTTCAGGGACAGGTTTACAATTACAAGTCTATACTTGGAAGTCTAAATCTAACTTTTTATGTGGTGAATAGCACTTCAAAATCTCTATAACCATTTTAACCAAATCAGATTTCTGCAAACATAGAAAATGCATTTGATATCTTGCTTCAAGCCCAGTATTCAAGGAGAAAAATTGTAATTATTAAAAGATAAAAATAAAGATGAAGTAACTCTTCACTTACTAGGTTGTTCTTAGACAACTAGAAAAATCACAGATTAAAATTAAAAGACAAAGTCTTATCAGTTTAAGGAAAATGCAGGTTAAATTCAGCATCTGAATCACAGAAAATTTTCCCAGATATATTTGTGCTAGTAAATCTTACATCTAATTGTGATAGAAGCTGCAGCTCAACCATCATAACTTCACTGTGCTGCTCTGTATTTCACTGGTGAAGCTTTTAGTGCTATTTCAAAAGTAGTTTGAGAAAAATAGAGGTATTTTCTTCTGGGAATTTCCTTTCTTCTTCTAAGGTTTGGAAACACAATGTTACTAAATTCCACTAAGTTCACATCTTACAGACACCTATCTGAAAGTTGTGGAAAACAAATGAAAAGCTGTTACTAAACAAAGACAGTTTTGAGACATCTCACCAAAGTCTGCGATCCACCGGTGTAATTTAAGTGTATGATGACATCCACTTTCCGCTCAGGTCTCATAAGGGGTGGGCAGCTGGTTTCAAAGAAGAAAGCTGCATCCACCAACTCCAGGTGCTCTGAGTTGCCTCTCAGGTCATTAGGAGAGGTATCTAGCAAAGTATCTAAGGAGCAAAAGATCCAGAGCTGTTAGCACACAGCAGAAAGACATCTGCCAAGATAGAAAGCAAAAGGAAGGTGGAACATCCCTTCCATCCAGGATTTTCCCTTTGCTTTAGCTTCAGCGTCTCCACTCACATTTTTTTGGTGTCTGCAAACCCACAAACTGCACCTAAACCTAGGCAGGTGTTCCCTATGTACAGAGCCCCAGCCCACTGATTTTCATCCCAAAGAGGACTTTCAAGACCCAAAAATCTAACAGTTGTGTTACTGGAAGTCAAAGATGTGAGGAGTTCTTCTGTTCTTCCTCCTCTCAGCAAGCATTGACAACTAACCACAAAATGTGCTCAAGTTGTCTTCAGAACATACAAACGCCCCTTGCTAAATCCCAGACCCTGTGCCCACCCCGATGACTACTGAGGTGTGTAGGTAAGCAGTGGTGTCCACACCTTTCCACTTTGTGAAATGCTCCTGCTGGATGTACTCATTGTGCATCTGGAAGCCCCTCAGGAAGTTGTGGTACTTGGAGACAGCAGGGCGGTCCGTCAAGATATCCCGGAGAGAGGTGGAGAGGCCACTAGTAGGAGTGAACATGCATGTAGCCATCTCATACGGCTTCTCGGGCAAGTCCGGTTGTTCCTCTAGAGATACATGGGATAAATGACACACAATTGAATTATAACCATAATTAAGAGGGGGTTAGGTGCAGAAAGGGTCAGTGACTCTTCTGTAACAACAGTAATCATGTTCACAGCTCTCAGCATTGCATTATTTTTTCATATGGTCTACTGTGAATTCTGATTAGTTTCTTGACAAAACCAAACTTATTTCTGTTTTCTAAATCCCAGCTGGCTATGTCTGACTAAAGGAACATTTTTGCCACAGAAAAACCTATTATTTCGATACATATTAAAGTAATTAACTTTTCCAAGCAAACAAAAAAAAGGAAAAAAACTTTATTTATACATCTGAGAGGATTATTGCTTTTGGATTCCATGTAGGTTAAACATGAAACTCCATGCTTATTTTGAAAACAATAGAAAAACTTCAACTTTTTATTTTTAAACTAAATATCTTTACTTAAAACAAACCCAGTTTGTTCAATTTTGTTTGGGTGTGGGCAGCTGAATTCATTACAAACTTGCAAATTATTTATATAAACCCAAATATAAGAGGTTGGGGTGTTCTCCAAAAATTCAGTCGACAGAAATATGACCCAAGTTTGTTCACAGTGAAATCACTAGCTTTGCTTAAATTTTAACATGAAGGTGCTCCTGAGTATTTTCAAGGAATATTATTTCAGTACAGAGCTGCCCCTCTCTAGCATAATAGAGCTCCACTACACTGAATTCCTTTGACCTCTGCTAAATCTTGCAGTTTGGTCAGATTTTGAGGGAGGGATGCACTGTGCAGGGCAAATAGATATTGGAAAGGAAACACTCAAGCTTCTCTCTGGCTAACAAATAGTTGATATGAGTCTCTGACAGAAATTCTTCTTTCCAAGCCTTTTAAACACAACACTTCAGGGACCATCTTATGTATCCATCCCTATCCCTTTCCATCAGGGTCTGTCAGATGATGCCTTTCCTTCAAATAACACCACCACTATTTAAGCAAAGCATTCAAAACAATTTAATCACTTGATTTTCCTGGTGTCTCCCACATCCCAAGGCTGAGAGCACCAAAATGGCAGAAAAACTAAAAAAATGAGAGATGTGCGCACAGTTGCCCTATTAGAGGGGCCTGGAGGAGGGAGGCCATAAGTCAAAGGGTACTTGAGATGTACCTATTTCAGTCACTTTGTCTTGGGTCCACCTGTGCCAGAAGTCCTCTGAATTGTCAGCTGCATGCCAGGCATCCAAGAGGTTTTTGGAGAAGATGCTACTCCACATTCCTAGGAAGTAGAAGAGGTGTAATAAGTAGTGCTGGGGTAAACACAAGGAAGTTATTTTTAAAAATGCCTTCTGCTCCTTCCACATTTCTTCTCTAACTCTTTCATATTTCTACCTAATTTTTGCATAAGTCAAGACAATTATTTCAGTGGTAGAGATGATTCAGAAGGCAAACTTATTTCAGAAGAAATTTTGAAGTCTTTTCCCTTTGCTATGTTTTACCTGGAACACTCTTTTTTGAAAATCTTTACACTGTCATTTTTCTATTTTCATTTCCTTTTTTCCTTTGAAAAAGAAATATTTTCAGCCAGCTCCTTCCCCAGTTCACCTCTTTCTTGCCCTCTTTATTTCTTCTCAACATTTCCTTCATTCCACAAAGTATGATGGATTTCCAACTTGCAAAATATTTTGCAAGCTACAGGAAATGGTGATGCTTCAAAAGCACTCATGAAGGTACATAACTTACTTCTCGGTTTAGTTTCATTTTATCTTAGTCCAAATGATAAAACCACATTTGTTAGGAAGGGCAGTTGAGTGAGTCTTGGGAAACATGCTGAATTTCAGCTGACTGACTCAGTACCTCTGCTGTCACATGCAGAACAACAGGTTTATGGGGACTAATTTCCAGAATCATTAGCGTTTGTATTAAAATCTTGTGATTCCCCCAGGCTGGTGCATCACCTTGCATGAAGCAGATCCGGGACTCAGGGAGCTTCTTCATCAGGCGACCCATGAAGAACTCACTGCCAAAATCCTCTGCACGAATGAAAGCGCCGTACTTCAGGAAGCCCACTTCGTATGGCGTGAATTCCACCCACTCTGCCAACACACACACCCCCCAACAATATTAGCTCTGCTACTGAAGATGCTTGAGTCGCCAGACGTGGAACAAACCTTTCAGGCCATCAGCTCCTACAGGCGATCTGGATTATCACATGCCCTGAGCAAATCCCGCTGACAGCTGCTTCTATCGCACTGCCCACAGGCTTGTGAAAGAACAATGTCAGGGCTAGGGGAAAAGTTAAATTCTTCTTTTTTTTTTATCTAAGAAGTGGGAAGTTTTCTCATGGAAGGTGGACTAGAACACAGATTGACTTCTATTGCTTTTACTGTCTTTAGCCAACCATGAAAAACACACATTAACCAAACTTAAATCTCCAGTGAATCACTTTTAAGAATTAATACTGTTTCTGAGACAGTGTCAGATCTATGTCATGTTACTAGTCTGAAGTCAATGTCTGAATAAGCACTTACCCGCCAAGAGATCTTAAAAATAATGAACTGCTGCTGTCTATCCTGTGGCTTCCCAGTTATTCTTTACATATCTGAACAGAATTTTTCCTGGCTTGGAGTGAGAATTTAAAACGATTCGTCATTATTTACAGTATCCCCACGCTGTATCTCCCCAGGTAAAAACACAGCTCTTTTCCAGAATTGAAATATTACCTCTAAAATCTTTGGTGGTAACTTTGTCTTTGACATTTAGAGCAAGGTAGATGGGCAGCGGGTTCTGACCCTGATTCACTGCCCAACGTTGATCAGAAAGTTTGTGGTGACATTTCTGGATATGGACAAAAAAAAAAAAAAAGGCGGTTAGCTGATAATCAATTCCCTAAAGACATTTAGTCTTTATAAAGCCTGAATATGGCATATCTTTTTCCTGAATTTCCACCTAAATTTATTTTCATGTGCTTGAATAATAGAGAGCAAGAAATTAATGGGAACAGAATTAATTGTTGGTAAGATACCCAGCCACTTTCTACATTCAGTATACCACAACAGCAAGAAGGTGCTTCATGTGCTGTTATAACTTTCTATTCCTAAATGTAATTGAAAAAAATAGGACAGATCTGGGTAATCCAGCTGTTATCACATACTTCACCTGTTAAACATGAGTACTTCAAGGCAGGATGTTAATGAACCTTCTAGTCAAGAATTTTTTTGAAAACCATATTGAAAGTTAACATCCACACAGGAAAAATAAACCATTCTATATTCTATGATTGCGCTGCCCAATACTAACAACTTAACTTGTACCTGAAATGGAGATTTTGAGTGTACTTCAGTCAAATTAAGTTCTTGCAAATTTTGCTATGTAGTACTGAGGCAAGAAATAGTATGTGAAATATTATATGAAGTGAGACAATTTCATTTTGTTTCACCTTGACAAAATATTTACAAAGTTTTAAAATAAAAGAGCTTTTTCTTCCTCTATCTTCAGTTTTCTAGTTTACATGGAAAGTTTTGTTTGTGTTATTACAACAAAATTAGGAACAGGAATTACTGAGAGATCAAATCCAAGGTAGCTGAAAAGTACCTGCAAAATCACAGTTTCTGTAGTTAACATGTCTCAGGAGCTCTAGATCTCTACATTTTCTCATCACTAAATCACAAAATGCACTAACTACATGTGGGGCACATCTGCATTACATTCAAGGTATGACTGCAGCTTGAATAAATGTTGTAGCCATGGAGACCTAAAAGCATGGGTTCATAAAAAAGAACTAAGAACCTCCAAAATTTCTTGGACAGTTACAATGTTAATAACTTGCTGGTTACTTTACAGCTAGTCTGGGGATTTCTGTTACATTCAATCACATTTTAGGCTCCAGTGTAGACATACACTATGTCTCCAAGTTATTAATGTAAATAAGTGTTGTTCTGCCTACATACCAAGTACAATGTTATTGGCCAGGTGTCTCTTCCTAGGGTTTTAATTTCTCATGATGGTCATAAAGATCAAATCACCAACTTTATGAGAAGAAAGAAGTATAGACATTACCCCATCATTTAACATGGATTCAATCATGAGCCCCCACAAATCAATAAAAGATGTTTTATGTCCTGCTTGAGTCCTTTGGCTCAGTTCTCTGTAATAATTCCTCAGACTTCTCAAGCAAAAAGCCCCCATCTTGCACTTTGATGCTTGCTTCCGAGCTTCAATAATGACTTCTCCAAGATCCTTACGTGACCAATCAGCATCTTCATACAGTTTAGTCATTGTCCTGCAGGCAGGAAACATAATGGAAAGCAGAAAGAAATGAAGAAGATGCTTTTGAAACCCAGAGGATACACTTTTCAGAGCTTTGTTTTATCTTTAGGTTACTCTCTTCTTTGAGCAGAAATACAAGTCTAAAAGCAACAAGGCAAAAATCACTTGATCTGAAATCTAACACAAGCAGCTACAGCAGTTGCCTATGCTGTTCTGCCCAACAGTACATAACCATAAAGGATCATTTTGCATAGGATGAAGGATGTTTGCATTTCCAATGAAGTCACCTCTTTTGGTTAGGGGTAAGTTACTTCAGTGACACCAAATGTACGATGCACAGTAGGCCTTCCATGGGTGACTCTGACATTCATAGACGAAAGACAGAAGTAATAACTCAACAGACTCCTTTTAACCTCGCCGAGATCTAAAACCCTAGACAAAGCATGGGGTTTGCTTAACACAACAAGATCCAAACAACAGTATCAACATGACCCCTCACCATGTTGTGCCAGATGAGCCAGTGATGTATGAAACGCAATCCAGAACGCGTAACTTTTGAAGACCCAAAATGCTGCCATACATGGCAGTGAGTGCTCTTATCCCACATCCTGCTGTGGTCACGGCCACTATAGGCACCTGTTCAAAACAAAAAAGGGCAGAAAGCATAGGTGGGAAAGTGGCATTAAGGCACATCCATGTCAAAAAACGACAGACATGCAAAAGCAACCTCCAGGCACTAGTAAAACAGAACATGTAAATTAGAGATAAAGCAACATTGCTCTGAGATATAAATAATACAAGTTGCTGGACATCCCTGTCATGTATACTAGAGTATCTTGGCACTTCAGGAAGGATTTTTTAAAAACACGACATACTCATTAGTTTGAAGCCCCTCCAACGATTCACTTGAAATCCAAGCGGAAATAGAAATTTTGCCCATGCAGGCAGACTGCTGACCTCCCCAGCTGAGATCACCCTGGCTGCAAACAGTGCCCCGGAGGGGGAGGAGCTGTGGACATAGGTCCTCACTCCTCACCTGGATTGCGGTGAGAAATCACTGGTCATCTCCAGGCTTGAGGGAAAGGAGAGAAAAATACCCCAGCAGTGCCTTTTCTGGTTACCTCATGTTCTTGCAGATCTTCCTCCAAATGAAGAACATCCTTCAGCGCAGCAGCAACCACCCTCCTCCGGTTTTGCAGGAAATTCTGTTCCTCGGCGCACAGGTCAAACCCCAGACGGGCATCTAGGTTTCTTGGCCTGAAACACAGACCCTGAGTCCTGAGACCAGGGTACAAATATCATTATGTTGTTATTTGCCATGGTCAACTCCAGCTATGCTTGTGGGTGTCTGTAGACCAGTTTGTGGACAGTATAATGTAATAAATGAGGAAGAGCAACACCACAGGCAGGCCTCTGCTAATTGCTGCAGCTGCCAACAAGAATGCAAATGGGAAGGCAGAGCAGAATATGACATATTGTCCTGGTATGGTAACAAGGTTCCTACAGCACACTTCTGGTTTTATTTCCTCATATAATTCATTTTTCAAGTTTCAGTAGTGCCTGCCATATGTGCCTGTAACTAGATAAGCACTGTCAACAGGCACTGCGGTTGATTAGTGAAACAGCTACCATGCCTTGGTGTTATTTTGTTTGTATAATACAGAAATCTGATTTCTTTGTGGAGCTGCTCTCTCCATCTGTGGGCATATTAGTGCACACATATTGAGACCTACTTACTGAGCTGCACTAACAGCTTGGAAATTTGGAGAAAAGGGGACCCACGATTTAATTCTCCATCACTGAAAAAGGAAAGCCTGGCAAATAGAAGCCTGCAACCCAAAGATGAACACACCAGCTGCTTACAACTCGAGCCTGCGTGGACCTCTGCTGATTTCAAATATGTTTTGCATAGGTGTAAATGTCTCCCAGTTACAGGATCAGGTCTTGCTGGAGACTCACTTACCATTCATTTGCCTTTGTGTACAAGTCAATTGTCCTGTCCTGAAAATCGCAATACAAACAGTGTAAGCATGCTCAGGTCATTAATCCTGCGCCTTCCTCCCCCACTCCATCTATGGGCTGAGTTTTACTATCTTTGCAGTCAGCAACACAGCTGCAGAATCTTGCCAGCAACATTCTGGCTTGTAAGAGACATAACGACCTCCAGTACAGTCTTGGTTGAATAGAAGTGGGCTGTTCCCCCAAGCTAGGTGGGTTTATGACCCCTCAGCTTCTCATAGCTGAACATCCAGTTTAACCTTCATTTTCTGGGAAGGTCATTGAAAGCTGAGCACCTGAATCACAGCCATGTGAATGTTCTCAGTTTTATCTTCTGTTTCAGGCTTTCTGTTTGGAAATATGTCTTAAATGTAATATCCATGACTGTTAGCTTGCATACTATGTTGATGAAGATATTAGATACGTCCTGAGGAAATGAATTTAAACTCAGAACAGGTTTGAACAGCATGCCTGGAACCACATGCAAAGCGAAAGAAACAAAATAAATATTGCATAGTTGTAGAGTGACTGTCATTCACACCTTGCACTGTAGCATGCTTCGTGTCTGACAGGAACTGAATCACTGAACTGTAAGATTCTCATCACCCACCAAAACCAATTGTTGGGCTGTTTTATCTTAAGACAAACTTGTTCTCACCTCTGCTATTGTTATTTTCTCTTGTATAGGAAGCGAGTTCAGAGCTAGAGTCACAGATGCGTTCATATCCCTTTCATTTTGACTTGATATAGACTGGGAAAACGGGTTAAAAGAAATGACAGTTAACTATTACACAAAAAGAAGTAAAAGCAGTCTCCCCTGCCTCACTTACATACATGCACTTACCAATTCCCTGCATACACAGACTTGCACACACATGCAAGCTTTACAGACCCCAAGAAACACATCTCTAGAGGTCCCTTCCAACCCCTACCACTCTGTGAATCTGTGAATAGCCAGCTACGTGTTCGTAGCGATCACGTACCCTGCTGAGCCTCCTCCGCCGCGGTAGAGCCACAGTGAGTGCTGCCTGATTATACTTGATGTAGTGGAACCTGGACGGGGAGGTCGGGCAGAGGCACGAGCTCAGAGTGTGGGTCTGGGTTCCTTCGTACGACCCATCCACAGTTAACGCAAACTTTCTGTCTGAAGCAAAGGAGTTTCAAACAACTTAAGTTATTAAAAAAATAGGAAAAAGTTTTTTGCAGAGTAGCATATGTTTTCCTTATGTGATGACTTCATTTTGATACCCAAATTATAGGATAAATAGACTCACTTATCTGAGTATTTGGGTTTCGGCTTTAGAGCTTGTGTACAGAATGTGCCATATAGTAACTGTAGCTGTAGTACCATTGCACTTCCGTATATACAGTGATTGCTGAGGCCACCACTCTATTAATTAGATAATTATTCACAGCTAATAACAGTTTTTGGGGAAAAAGCACTCTTCCCTGAAAGTCTGAAATTTTCAGAGTGCCTCAGAAATAAGACTGTATGTGGTACTAAAATATTATTCTGGTATCATAATAAGGTACTTTAAAAATTTCAAAATTTTAGGATAAATCTTTTTTTAAATAGTAGTAGTAGCAGAGCACAGTTCTTTTTGAAACTAGTAACATCTCAGTCCCTCTATCATGTTTTCCTTTACTTCAACCTGTAATACTTCTTTTTAAATAAGTTTAGCACTTACAAAAATAGAGTTTGGTGGGTTTTGGCCTTTATGTACTAAGACCCAGATATGTCTCTTCAAGTAATTAAAAAATGGTCCTTATATAGAATGAAATCAACCCACATTCAAAGTGAAATATACTCTGTAAATCTACACACTCAAAGGTATATAATCAGCCTTTGGAAGAATTATCCCACTCAAGCATTTTCAGCCACATCTAACACACTTCTTCACCTTGAAAAGTGAGCTCAACTGGATCACTCACATGCTTTAAGAAGCTTGCTGGATGGGGCCATCAGGAGATGTCAGAGTCAGAAGTTTTAAAAATTACATAGGAGATACACAAGTCCACAAGCACGGACTCTGTATCTAGTGATGTGCTGCTTAAAATGTGCAATATATGTCCGGTAATATACTGGGTGTCTTGTGTTTTACCTAGTGGCATGTTTTATATTGTTATGCCTAAAGACATTTTAAGAAGATAAATTCATAAGAAAGGCCCATTCCTCATTCTGCCTGTTTTCTTTGTCTCTGAATCCAGAAATAACAAGAGTTAGCCCCAGTTTAGGACTAAATAAATTCAATTCCCTGCACAAATACTTGACGAAATTGTAAGTGTCTGACAAGATGTTATTATAGAGGAAAGTATTTTGTGGGGAAACTAGATCATATGGCTCAGCACCCCACATTCTGTAATAACCTGTGTATTTTTGGCAAAATACAGCCTCCTCCACAGGCCACTGGCATCAGCAAGATTTTGTCTTGCATCTTAAATAACTTCAAATCAGGGTGTTCAAGAGTAAAACACTGAGCATTTCTTGCCATAAAGTGTCATCCAGACCTGTTCCGTAAGTCAGCAAAAGGCTTACCCGTACTGTCCTTCCTCAGTCTCCCGCCATTCACCTGCACCTCCAAACAGGAAACTTCCCGGGCCTATAAGAGAGAACCAGGACAAGAGAAAAAGGTGTTCGCTATCAGCACAACGCGGCCTCAGCTGGTCCCTCGAGCATACGCAGAGTGCGAGGCCTCAGGGCACGCATCTTGGGGGGAGACGGTGCCAGTCTGTAACCCTCAACCAGATCTAGGATGCGTCATTAGGCTTCCACATGGGGAATTATAGATTGTGTGATGAGGACAGAGAAGGGATTTGCTTGCTTCCACCTGGAAAAGCGGCCCAGCAAGGGCCTGGGGGAGGACTGACCACAGAGGAAAGGTCCTTGGGCAAGGTGTGAGGCCCAGCTCTCCCCAGGCAGATGAAGGGGTGTCGTGTGCCTGAGCCCAGCCTGGTTTGGGCAGAAGTGAACGCTGGCAGCAGCTCCCAGGGCAGCCTCTCCCAGTGCAAGTCACTAGCAGGGGCTGTGTGGGAAAGCCAACGCCAACACCAGCTTTAGCTGGCCTCTTGGCTGCTGCCTTCATCCCACTCTATGGAGCAATGGCCTGGCACCTTTAATACCAGCTTTGCAACAAGCATTGCTATACGGCAGGGAAAGGATTATGAAATAAAAATTACCACTAAAACTCCATTAGTAACAATGTTTTCAGGAGGATCCGGACTGAAAGACAAAATGGAAAACAATCAATTCAAAATGAGCACTCTCTTTTTACAGCACTTTTTTTGGTGGGGGAGAGAGAGGCAGGGGGTGTTGGTGTTTTGATTTTTTTTTTAAAAACTCTTCTTTAATCATTATTTCATTAACTTCAAAAATCCGACATTGGATGGGTAGCGTGGGCAAACAGCATCAGAGAGCTGCTAGCTCTCTGGACACTAGCTGGACACTGAATCAAACCTGCCTTTCACAGGCTTGCGTCTGAACTTCAAACTATTTATGGAGAACTGCTGCATGGCAGAGCTCCCACTGTATTAGACAGGATTATTTTCTGACACACTGAAGCAAATTTACACAGGGATGGCATAATTACATTATTGCCCTATACTGCTCAGTTCAAACCTGGGGCATCAGAGCTGAAAAGCTGGTGAATTCATCCAATATGCCATAACAAAACAAACAAAAAAAACCCCCAACCATTTAACTTAAAAATCAACAGCAATGCTAGAACTAATTTACATGCCTGTTCTCTACGTTAACTATACAGTCAGCACAAAAACACATATATTTTAATCTATTTCCACAACTAAAACAAACTCCAAGTTTTATTTTTCCACATGCTAATGACAAAGCAAACATCTTACATCCTACAATAAGGAGTAAGACGGGCTTGAAAAATTAATATTGCGACCTGTGCAGAATGTCCCTCACAGTGTGGTGAGCAGTAGCCATCACGGAAAACTGCTCCCATCAGTATCTGTGCTATATCTTCTCTGTGTGTCTGGATGCCCGGTGTAGATGCACACACATCATGCACCCTTTCTCCATTAAATGCCCTACACAAACATTTCCTGAACACCCAAACTTCCCCTCTACTTTATTCAGATGGTGACAGTGTTAGAGGACTGACTGCTCATGTAAACTGATGTTTTGTGTCAGTAACATTTTGTCTCTGGCTGGCATTTCTGTTGATCGCCTATTTGGACTTACGCACCTGCTCTCCATTGTGAACTCAACTTCCAGCTCCTCTTTTCCCTGCAAAAGAAAATGAAGAAGTCACTGCAGGTTGGTCCTCCTGTGAAGAGAGATACCCTACATGAGTCTGTGTTATTCACGGGTCTCTATAAGCCAGAGTCCACCTTTTGTTACTGCATATGCAACAGATTCAATTTTCTTCATGTTGTATCTTCCATAGATCTAGTGTCACATACTTCTAATATATCCATTATTTTAGCAGACCCCTAGTTTGGAGCCTGCAGAACAAATGTAATACGTACTGCAGGGCCCATTGGCTGTTGTTCCCCCTTTCTGCAGTCACAGACTCACTCCCACTGTTTCACAGGCCACCTGCAATTCCCCTTTCCCTTCCCCTCCCAATAAGCTCTCACACCCCCCATTGATCCCTCAGCACATCCAAAGCACCCTGCCCTCACCCACAGCCATATGAAATCGAAACCCACTGAAAAAGTCACTTTTCAAATAGTTCAGATATTCAAGCATTATGTTCATTTTCCAAATAAGCTGAATGCCACATTGGATTTACAGTTTATGACTGTAGATCGCTACTTTTATGTTAGCAGAACATAAAGCACAGCTCAGAACCACCAGCTCCAACTGCAAAATTTTTGGGGTAAACCTGACATTTTGACATCAAGGACAGCAATCAGACAATCAAGTCCAATAATGCTGGCCAATTCTGTCTGTAGAACCAGCACCCAAAAGGCAACACGTCAGCCTCTGAAACAGGTGGATATACTCAGGTGGCTAAAGGGACAGTAAGAAAGGCTTAATTATGGGACACATGAGAGGGGAGCTGAGATAATGTGCACATTCTCACTTGAAGACATCCCCTCGGCTTTGTCCTTGAATTTTATCCATACCTGTGGATTCAGCTGGAAACATAGCTGAATGTTTTCTCCAAGCTGGATTTTGGAGACATCAAAGAAAACAGTGAGGAGATGGTCATCTTGAGTCATGTTGTCCTCATCGCAAACTTTTAGCTCCAGAATGTTCTGGGATTAAAAAAAAAAGAGAGAAAAGGAAAAGAAAAAAGATCGTATGAGGTTTAACAAACATAACATGCTACTGATACTTAATTTTAGCTGAAGGAACTTGGGCAAGAAGTTCAAGAATGAAAATAAAGAAATTTTTCAGTTGGTCTCCATGGACTTTATTAACCATGCAGGCAGATACAGTCTCATCCAGCCATCAAAAACTAAATAGCTAGAGTGAGAGAGTGTGAATACTTCGTAAGGGAATTCAGAAACACCCGCAGAGTGGAAGGCCTATACGGTGGGTTTCATATCTGGTAAGAATAGCTGTTAGGGATAGCCATGTTCCTACCTTAACTTGACTCTGAATCGTGAAGTGGAAGGTTTCATTCCATGTTGGGTTCTTGCTGTTTTGGACTGTCTTGGTGCGGAAATGCTGCACTGAAGCTGTTGGCAGGCTCAGGCTCACGTAGCAATCAGACTGGCTTACTGTGGAAGAGCAGGAAAGCAACAGACCGATGAAACACACCTAGTACCCCTTAAGGTGTTGTGGTGTACTAGTTTCTAAGCTCCATACACAGGACAACATGCAGAATGCAGGCCAGGATGCTAGCTAAGGTATCATCAAGCCAGTGCTAGGCAACCACCTTGCTTCACTCTTGTGAAAGCAAGCCTGGCAGTTTGCTCTTCTTGAGAACTACAATATTTAATTGCTGAAAAACAGTAAACATTCAAAATACGCAGTTACATTGCATTCTTTCACTAAGAGATACATAGCCAAACTGTCTCTTTATGTCAGTCTTCCCAGGTTTTAATGCTGAAGAGCCATCCATGTGCACAAGGACTCACACAGACAGAGCAGTCTCACAGGGCTGGGTACCATGAGTGGTTCAGCTGCCTGTCAGGAACATGAAGCAGATAACATCAGCAGCTGTGATGGGGGCTGCCAGATAGACAGAGCCCAGGCCCTACATACTGGGCTTCCACAGGTAGGCATGAACATGCCTTAATGTTCCTGGGGTAGCTCTGTGAGTCCCATCCTTCGGAGCATCCTTTCTTTTCTCTAGCACGTCTGGTTGCCAACGTGGTGGAGGCAGGAGCTCATTGCACTGAAGGTTCCCATGAAGCCCCATTGTTGTCACAGAAGGCAGGTCTTCCACCAAGGCACCTGATCTCAGTTTGCTTTCTTTCCTTTGGGAAAGTTAAAGAAGGGAAGACACATGTGCACCATAGAGCTCAGCAGCAGAGTTGGTCAAGGAAAATATTTCAAGAAAAAAAAAATTAATGATGTGTGTAGATAAATTGCATTTAATCCTTTGTGAAGTGGATTAAAATGAGCACATATAAGCAAAGCATTGAAATGCTGAACAGTTTGATGGTATAACATTTGCTTTGGAAAGCAGCTGTCCCAAGGCAGAGTTTGCGTCAGTAAATTTGTATAAAAAAATATTGCTTAACATCATTATTTTCACTCACATCTCTGTGCCTCAGCCAGAGTAGTAAAGGTATTTGCAACACTTAATGTGCAGGTGAACACTTGTCTGTGCTTCCCACCACAGAGCAAGCTGACGTTGCTTCTTTGCACAAGATTGCATTGCTTTGGTGTTTCAATTAGAGGTGTGTTCAGGTCGTAAAGTTCACCTATGAATTTTAATGTCTCCAGATGTAGGTATGGCAGATTTAGTGTTTTTATTTTTCCTTCTAAGCTGAAAAGGCCAGTTGTAAAGTTTGGCTTCCCATCAGAGCTCCATCGTAGGTGAGGGATGTTCAAGGCCAAAGCTTCAGCATGAAACAGTGGCTAGCAGCAGTCTGTAGTGCTTTTGTCATCAACAAGCACTTTCATTCCAACGTGAGAATAATGTGCCTGCAAATACTTTTTGTAATCGTTATTAGGAAATAATAGTCAAACATGAATCATGATATTAACAATCCTGTGGACCCACACTCCAAAGTCAGGGATGATCACCCTACAGAACATGATCTATTAGTTAGGGATGACAACCTACACAAGTGCCAAAGATAGCATGGGGAAGTTTTGTCCATAAGTCCCATCATTAGCATTATATTTCCTCTATTTGTAATACCACCCACTCAAGCATTACTGCCTTTGCATAGCAGACACACCTTCGTCTGAACAGACTTAAGTCTTGTCCCACTTAGTTTTACTGGTAGACCTGACTTTGGGAAACACAGAATAACTGACTTGGCCACTTACTGCACTCCGTACGTAACTGAAGAATTAGCAAAGCCAGCCTTTTTCCCCCCCTGACTCCACCGAGAGTTAAGTCATCCTTGCTTGAGTAACTGAGCAAAAAAAGAGTAACTTTGATGAAGGTAGTTGTGGTATACACAAAGATATATAAACTCTAAAAAAAAATCAAAACACAGAAATCACCTGAGCTTCTAACAGTCCTAATAGCTCCCAGACTTCTGTGTGCATACAGGAAAACCTGTATGAAAATCTTTTTTGACTCTTGGGAAGTCCAGACTGACATTAGCAAAGACTGCCATCAGCTCTTGTCCCCAGAGGGATTAGGATCAGAAGGACCCAAATGCCTTAAGTCTGAGAGTGATCCAAAGTTTATTTCACTGGCATTTCCCAAATACCAATACATGGTCTGACTACGTCTGTTGCAAAGACCAAAGTTTTATTTCAAAAGTCCATCTTTTCTTTTCTTTTTTTTTTTTTTTTTTTTTTTTTCCTGTGAGTGATCCCTGTCTGCTACTCCACTGTATTGTACGGCTTTAAGAAATAACTAGTTTGACAGCAGAGTCCTGACTTCTTATTTAGGTCTCTGACTTTCTCTGGGGGACCTCTGACACAGCCCCTAAACAAGCATCCTTCCCTCTTCCCATCTGCAAAATGTGTTTGGTGATGCCTTTGGTACTTCAGAGGTGTCCTCTGAAACCTAATCGCCTCTTGTTCGTGAAGTATTTCTCAGATGTTATGAGGGAGGCTCTTACAACACCCAGAAACCCTTTTTACACATCTCATATATCCCATGCCTGTATTCTGCCCGACCAGCTCCAGGTACGAGCAGATGTGAGAACTGGCACTCCACAGCATAACCTGGCCCCAAACCAGTCGGTCGCACCACAACATCCCACCGCCTTGTGTCAAGTGCCTTTCCACGTACACAGCCACACGCAAGCAAATCATCATTACTCTGGTACGTAAGCCTAACCACCACCTAACTACAGTGATTATGCTCACGCATGATACACACGGCACAGATTCACAGCAGCAGCCTGTTGTGTCCCTCCCCTCCACCACGGCACATGAGCAGCCGTCAGACAGGCTTGGTGTGGCAGCTGTGGTATCACTGTGGGGCAATATCCTGCCAAAAGCAGGTGTGGCAGCAGGTATTTATGAAAGCATGGTCTCCTCGTCCAGTTATTACACTAGGTTTCTAATTATCTTCCAGGATAGTGGCAGGACTGGATCTTAATTGTGCTTTACCATTAGAAAGCATTACGGCAACATGAACCATGCTAAAAACCACCATAGCCCCAGCACCATCCTGCATCCCAAGGAGCAGGCCATCAGCTGTTCTGGCTTGAGCTAAAATCTCACCTTCCTCATAGATAGCTCGAACTCAAACCAGGTTAAACCAAAAGTTTTTAATTTTGATTCTAGCTCACTTTTTGCCGCTATCAGACGCAACCTCTGGCACACCTGTAACCTGAGGAGAAACCTGGATACCCTCCTCCTCTTGGACTGGTTTTAAGTGCTCACATCGAGGCTATTTCTAGGGGTAGATTTTTTCATGACTGTTAGGGTATATTTTTCTTATTGTGCTGAAAGGTTCTGAACCAAGAATGTGGTCTTGAACACTGTTTGCCCAGATGATCTGCTTGATCATGTTTTCCCACACTTGGACTCATCCATGTCACAAAATATAAACTATCACCGTCAGCTGAGTAAAGCATTTTTCTTCTTCCTCCCGCACTGTGGAGCAGAGCGAAGACCTGGCTGAGGGTGGGTGGACAGGCAGGCATTGCTGTTTCTAGAACGCAGAATATTAGATAATTTAGATCATTGGAACTTTTTATATTCTTTTTAAAATAAGAATACGGGTTACTTCTGTGAAAGTAAACATCTTCCTTCTCAAGGCCCTTCACAGTCAGACTATCTGAATTCGTTCAGTCCTGAGAGATCAGTTACTACCTCCAGGGAGCATTCAGAATTAACCTCCTAATAGCTAAATTTCAATAAAAAGCTTTCACACTTTCTCCCACCCTGCCCTTCATATTGGGTGGAGCACCCTACAAGTATCCCTAAAACAGTCTCATTTACATCCCTCCTTAAAACATCCCTTTGCTGAGATGTTGCTAAATATCCTTACTTTTTTCCTGTTTTCTCCCTTGTCAGGCTTTATCAGTCCCCATCCTCTTATTTTATAATGGGATTTCAAGCAGCACCTGCAACAATAGACTGTTGGTACATAATTGCTGCTGCTTAAATGGTGAAGTAAGAAATAAATAACAATGAAAAAATAACAGCAGTGCAAGAACAAAACACCAGAGGAAGTCTGCATGTTCCTGCAATAAATATCACATTGGACTGCAGTTCCTGAAAAAATAATGTATTTCACTGAGTATATTTCTATTCAGGATCTCAAGGGCCTTTCCATTAATTGATCTCATATGTGGCAGAACTGCTACTGCAATGCCGTAAAATGTGTTCTTTGTTAAAAATGTAAAACACGTTTAATTTTGTAAAACATTGCACTCAAAATAATATAAGCCATATATATATATAAAAAAAAAATCCAAAGTTTGGAGTTTTCCAAAATTAACAAGCCTAATTTAAAAAAAAATCCATAAAATCTTAAAAAAAAAAGAATTTTCTTACTAAGAAAATTCTGAAGAATATTTTTGACTCTACACCAGTCAAGGTTCATTCAACCCAAGGTCCACAGGCAGTGTCAACTAAGGGCTCTTGGATGTTTTCAGAAGGTAGGAAATAATGGCTTAAAATTGCTCATCTCAGTGTCCCCATCTAGTTGCCTACATTTACCTTTTTGTTTAACCTTTAACACTGGTTTGTTTCCTTTTCCATTTGTTAATTCCACTTTATGATTTTGTTTCTCTCCAGTATCTTGTTCTTTAGCCTGTTTGGGGTTTTTTTTTTTTTGAAGGATCTTTAGTTTTCTTAGGGATGGACATAAATGCCAGAAGAGAACATGCCTGACATTTAGTGGCGGGTGTCTAAGGAAGAGTGTAAGAGGGCAAGCATCATATAATACTCTCTTAGTCCTCACAATTTAAGATTCAGAGACTTCCTAACACAACCTTCACTGGATTCTTCTTCAATGAACTTGTCCAGCCTCTGCCTGGAACCCACATAAACTTTTGGCACCTGCGATCTCCTGCCGTGGGGAGTTCCCAAGCTGAACGACATACTGCGGAAAGACATGTTCTTCTGTTTGTTCTGGAGTTATGGTGTTGCCCAAGAACTGTGAGAGGATGAGCTTGAAATTTGAAATTCTCTGCAGAAAAAGCTGTATTTTTAAAGGTGGGTTGGATTGGTGCAAAGCCAAGTCTCATCCCATTAGGGAGTCAGGATGCAGATGGGACACACACCCAAATCTGGGAACTGGCAGGTGTTCACAAGTCCAGGAATATCAAGAGCCTAATGAGTCTGATGGGGACATGGGTGTGCACAGTGGGAAGCGGGGAATGCAGAGAACACAAACAAGGCACTAAATTAACAGTTGGTATCAGTTATATCAGCTATGCATTAATACACAAGTGGAAATAACGTTATAATTTACACACTGATGGATTAGTGGGAAGAAGAGACAGAATAATGCAAGGGTGCATTAAAAAGATTCAGAGTTTAAAAAGCAGAACGAAATGACGTAAATTGTCTTAAATAAAAATACTACCTTATGCACTGAACTTCTGTTAAAGGTCCTGTATAATAGATTATTTCATGGGAGATGTTAGTGAGATTTTGAGAGTCTGTTGTTATGGATGAATTTTCCCATCTCCATTACCTGGAAAATGGAGCAGATCAACCAATAATGATGTCAACCTGCAGGACCAGGTTGGAAGACCTTCTAAACACCAGATGAGTATTAAACAAAGTGATCCAAAAACTCTACAGAAACCTAGTGCAAGAATGGATATTGAGAGGAGAAAATAAAATGGGATTCATTTCACAAACAGAAGGATGGACATAACTGGTGAGAGATAGAAGGAGCTGATTTAATATGTTAAAAAGCTATAAGATGACTAAGAAATAGGTGACATTTGCCAACTTGTTCTACCTTGAAAAATTAGCAGGAAAAGGAAAGTGATAAAAACAGAGATAGAAAAGGAAAAATGAGGGAAAAAGAATATCAGTGTTAGGAAAATGGTACTGTAAAGAAATCTACATCATGGGTGGTGGAGGTCTACATGCTTCTGGGTTTCCTAAGGCTGTGTCAAGCTAGGGAACTCTAAAGATGACTGAAACAACTCAACAGTATTCCCCCAGTTCTGTACAAAATTTTGCTGATTCATGTATGTGATACATTTTTTATCTTATGCCTCCAATTTTGCTGTTTCTCAGTGAAAGTCACTTACAGTTACCAACATGAAATTTGTACTAAGCTTTTATACTGCCAGTGAGTTTAACCAGAGGTTAAATTAATTTATGAATACATTTGTAATATAGGTATATATTATATGATACACAGTGTGTCATTGAAATACATGACTTCAAGTATGGCTGCACAGAAAACTATGTCCTAAAATGGTTTAAAAGCAGATCTTTCTGAGAAATGCATCTGACAATTCTTATACTCAGCAAAATCAAATGTTACTGGAATTAAGCAGCTGTCAATCAAAACCAAATTGAACAATTAAGCATAAGTTAGGCAGTGACCTGACTGGTATGATTTTCTTTTCCCACATGACAGAAGTACCCAACAAGCAAAGCATTCAATGTTTGCCTGTACTTCTTTTTGTTTGTTTGTGCAAAATTTTTCCCTCAATATTTTGTCTGATACTACCATTTCAAACAGATGACAGCTTGTCAATGTTGGTGGTGAACGTCTGTCATTCTGTTTTGCAGATAACATCCAGTATACAATTCATAGTGTAAGGCAGAACAACTTCAGCCTGGAAAGACTGTGCTGTGGTTTTACTGCTACTCCAGACCCTGTGCCATGTTCCAAGAGCACCTCTGTCATTCATACTGCTCCTTTCGGCAGCTTTACAGGCTGTTGGGACACATCTTGGACTAGGAAGCAGAAATGCCTGAGTATTTCAGTACCTGTCCTTAGCCCTAGAAACTTCCTAGTATTGGGAAGGACGCCATCAAATCATAGGAAACTCCCTTCAGAATAAAAATAGTTTCAAGACAAAAAGAGAAAACACTGGTCCAGATGAGAAAAAGGTGGAGAGGAAGTTTGGTAAGATCATTATCGTCCAGATGGTTTAATAAAACATGATTATGGGGGAGATATCAAAGGGCTGTAGTTTTCCACACCTCTTTCTTTCAGTTGCGAGTGCACATTTGTACCTTCAAATAAGTTTTCAGCTGTAGCAAGGGATTTCTTTCCAGCCTATAACTGAGCTTCAAACCTCCTTGCCGCATTTCACAATTGGTAGTCCAGTGGGAAGGTTCGTAGAGACTCTTCTTCCCCATACATTCAGCAACAACAAAGCATCTTACTTCAATAATAATCAGAGTGAGAAACTCTTCTTCATATACCTTTTATGTCTAGAGAAGCTATAGCAGGACTCAAAGCAAATCATTTTAGAAAGGCCCAAATAAATGTCATTTTGCATCATTTTAACTGAACAAATTTAGCTTGGTCTGGTTCCTATTCCTGAATTGCTTTCTGAATTCAGACCTTATTTGTATAAATGAATAAATGCAAGATATCAACCATCTCCTCAGATTGGAAGTGATTGTCATTCACACCTTTTTTTTCTAGTGCTTTGCAGTTCAGGTATTTATCGAGCATCAATAAACTTTTATGTATCTATAATTCCTGGGCATTTTGTAAAAATAGTTAAGAATAGAAAAAGCTAACAGTGTGAGCCCTCAGCTAAGTTTTGAAACATGGCTGTTCCTACAGCTGAATCAAATTTGACAGTCTATGAGAGATGTCAAGTATGAAGTCCTGAGCTCACATTAAATATTCTGTGATAGGCCCAGGGTGTACATTACTGTAAAAAGGAACCATAAAAAGAAGTTCCCCATCTAAACTTCTTACTGCAGCTTTCCTGTGAATAAAAAAACCTTTCTTTGCAGATTCAGACGTGAAAGATTTTACGCATTCTGTCCAAACATCTTCTGAACTACAACTGGTGGCTAGACTTCATTGTTACACTTGCAAAGACATAAGAATAAATAATATCTTCTAACTACACTACCACATCTTCAGCAAACTACACTCATGCATTCTCTCTCCCTCCTTTTATAAATACTCTGTAGGGTTTGTGACACTTGGTTATACTTGGGGTAGTTTTACAAGCACCATGGATGCTCCAGTGGTATAGCAGAGATACTCACACAAGTCTGCTTTCCTGGCATTTTTCATCTGTATAATTTTTACGGTGAGCAAGTTGCATGGAGAGGGTTCTGCCTGTTGAACAGCATACAAAATGCGTGGGATGAGCATGCAGAGAGAAAGAAGAGAAGCACAGTCAGAGACAGTAGCGAATTAAGTGTTTCAATTCCAACCATTCAAAACGTTTCTGAACTGAGGTTCTTCCTTGGGCATTGTCTTCTCCTCCTTCCTAGGTTTGCAGCCAGGCGTGACCAGAGACCCAAAATGTACATTCAGTCACAAACCAAACCTCTCATGTCCTCCCTTTTCCATTCTGAGGAAACTTGTGGCAACCCTCAGCTTGAGGTGTCTGACTCTTACGATCCAATCACAGAGAAACGTATGATAGTGAGCCTTGCTGTGTGATTAGTACAGCTGAGACACATCTTGGTCTGCGCATGTTCAAAGGTTGTCATGTATATCCGCTGTATTTCACAACAAAGAGCAGATAATCTAGCAAGGCAGGAATTGGTAACGATATCATGGTGTAACGATGCTGCTTGTCAGCTGGTTTATAGCTACATAACTCCATTGTTATGTTTGACGTAGAGCACTGCTGACTCTAGGACAATGAGGACCTAAAAAGTGTCTTCCAGAGATCAATCCCAAACTTCCCAAAAGAGGGCAGTGAAATCAACGACTCTGTAATTATTTCTTTCAGAATAATTCAGCTCATGCAATCTTTCTTCAAGCAAAAGTCACAGGAAAGTATCCATAGAAATCTTGGGAAACCACCTAAGCCTAAGTGGTTATCAAAAGACATTTAACAAACCTGCCAGGAAACTGGCTGGATTTTGTCATCCTCTCTCATCCTAAGCAAAGATCAGACAAACACAATACTTAATTAAAAGTATGTGAGATATCTAAAGGTGAGATATTTTGTTCCCTAGGTAATTATCTTTTTTAGAGGAATGAAAGGAGGGGAAACTTCACAGTTAATGCTGTAAATGACATACACACCCCCTCCTCCCCCCTAAAAAAAACCCCTCCAAACCAAACATCAAAAACAACTAAAAAAAATAATAAAAATCAATTTAAAAACACAAACAAAATAAAAATCAACAATCAAGAGGAGAGGAAAAAAAAAAGGCAAAACTACGTAGGGATGCGAAAAATATCTAAGAGCCAGTTCATGCACACTACCTATAGACCAGGGAATATCATTGCAATGAATACATAGAGTAATGTGTAACAATATGTCACAATTCATTCCCTTATGCCCAAAAACTCCCACAATTTTTAAGACAGCAATACTTAACACCTCAAATAATATTCATTTCCTGGCTTTCCCCACACACTCGTTGACATCAGTGATATCCCCTCATTTTTCCTCAGTGGGTTGTTTTGCCTAGCCCAATTGGATGGAAGCGAAGGACAACAGCAATGCACAAAGAAAATAGCTTTTTTTTTTTTTTAACTGGAGATTTTCAAAACAGTCAAATTACTCCAACATTAAAGTCCTTGCATTCCTGAAGGCCCAAGCACAAAGCAGGCACAAAACCCAGGGAAAATGTTTTCAGCCCTCGTGCTAAAGAAGAAATCTCAGAGCTGAAGATACAGGAGGTGGAACACCACCTCCAACAGCAGGTCCCCGCTGCTGCCAAGGGGATGCCTGCACAGATCACTGCAGAGCCTCCTGTTTTCTTACCTGGCTCCTACTGTAGAACAGCCCCATGGTGGTCTTTTCCGCGTCCAAGCCAGGTGTGAAATGTGGGTACAGAGGAGTCTCAGCCAAGCAGCTTGTTGTGCTTTAAGCTGCCGGGAGCGGGCAGGCAGGTGTGTTAGCGCCTGACTCAGAGCTACCTCACCTCACCACCACCACTTGAGCAATTCCCCAACTCCTCCTCCTCACTGCCCAGGGGGTGTGTGCTGCACACCTGTGCAGAGGCAGAGACACCCAGGCTCTGGCAGCACAGAAGGATGATCTTTAGATGTTAGAGGGACATTGTGACCTGAAAAGGGTCTTCCCTTCACAGTTACGGGCACTGAGCAAATGTTTTATATTTTCAAGCATGACCTTCTCAAGGATTCCACAGTGCTTTTGCACACTGGAGAGCTGTCAAACTGTGGCCCCTGGTGTGAAAGTGGCTGGCGCCAGCCAGGGTCCATCCAGCTGCCCAGGAGTGGGTGACAAGGACTTATTTGGCCAAGGACCTCTGAACAAACTGTTGTGCATAAAAAGGGCTTCCTTCTATCTTTTTATTGCCTACAGGGAGTAGGTGGGTCTTTGCCTACAGACACACTGGAAAGAATTTTTAATCCCCATCTCACCTTCCATTTTCTTGACTCAGGCAGTAAACTGTCTTTCAGCTGAAGAGTTATTGCAGGACAAATACTGCATGAAATAACTCAACAATCACCTGTTGAAACTCTAAGGGAGTTTCTCTTGTAAAGGCAAATCTTTAAAATCTCAGTCACTTTCTCAAAATTTTTTACTTTGTGCATCTGAATTAAGGTACTTAAGTCAATAACCTCAAAGAGGATGTATTTGGGAGGGTGAAATTAATGTTAATTATTTTTATGTTCACACTTATTCTGTATGTCCTCACATTTATAAGTCTTCACTGTGCAGGGCACTGCTAGCATCATGTGAGATGGTCCCAGTCTCAGTGGGGGAGTACATAAACTGAGTACCGCAAGAGGTAACAAAATGAGAGGATTTTAAAACACATCCTTGATATTATGAAATTTAACAGAAAAAAAAATCAAACTGAAAATAATCTCATTTTGCTTTGCAACGAGTCAGTAACTGATAAAGTTAACTTCACAGCCATGCTATAAATGGAATTTCATAAAACCTTTTGCACTTGGACACTGTAATTTAAGAACAACAAACCTCATCCAGATGTTAAACAGATGAAGGAAGGATAACTAACAGATCACAAAAAACAGTAGTCAAAGGAAGGTATGCTCAGAGGGAAGTATTTCTAAAAAGATGGCACACATCAGTTTGAAGCCTACTGCATGTTTTTATCAATTAGCTGGAAATTAAAAATTAAAATCACCATTTGTGCCCTATTTCAAATGGTGGAAGGAGACCCAGGGTGACCTGAGAGTATGAGGAATTCCTTCACAGGGGAAAGGCAGGTTTCATATTGGCCAGCAAGACACAATGCAGAGATACCCCAGTGCTGACTTGGGATGCAGCACAGATATGTCAGTACAGTAATTAGACATGGTTAGAAGATGGGCTAATTAGCCCTGATGAAACCAGGGTTAATCCAGCTCAGGTTGATTATAAACTCCTATCTGGCTTTTTTCCCATCCTGTTGTTGAGTAAGTTTCCCTTGTAAAACAGGCTGAAACAGCTTCCATCCTGTTCTGTTGAATTTCCAGCAAAAAAGGTCTAGAAACCACGTGAGCAAACCCAAAAATATCTCTGGAAAAGACCCAGAGGGATCCCATAAGCAGGTATTCTACTGTTCTGGAGCTGAACCACTATTACAGTTGTCTCACACATGGAGGGCTAATAATCTAGATTTAAACATGCCATACTGTACCTGGAAACGGGGTTATACCGTCCCCTTTCAAGCGTTTCAGGTTCATGAACACAATGAACATGTTCATGGGTGAAAAACATGACGCAGTCCCCCTCTTCCACTACCAAATTGCTCTAAGATGCACCACCAGCTGTTTGTTACATAGGAGAAAAATGTTTTTCTCCCAACCATTTCCTAGAACTTTGCTCCACACAAACGTATCTGTCAATTCTGAGCATAACCAAGACTGATGTCAACACCAATTCTGCCCTGGTGACTCAGCCTGAAGTTCATCGCAACAGTAGGAGCCTTTTATTATCCAAAGGAAGATAATCCCAAGTATTTTCTGAGCTGCTGTGACCAGCCTCTTCAGGTATTACAGCTCCACATTGCAGGGCTGCTACTGTGAAAGGCTTTTGATCTGTCTGTTGCAGAGCTCCAAGAAAAGAGCCTTCGGTGCCTTTCCCCAGAAGACCCTAGGACTTTTACCGCTCTCTCAGGACAATCCCTGCAAAGGACCATTTGCAGGAAAGCGTCGAACAGTTGCAAAACAATGTCTGGAAGGGATCTCGAAAGGCTTTCCTGGATTGCCCTATTCTATGCTGGCAGCTACTTCCCATCTTTGAAACACCAAGAAATTGCAAGGCCATCTTTCAGGAACAGTCAAGGCAGGTGAAGATGAGTGAGACAGGACAGTCAGCAGCAACTCCCAGAGATAATTAAAGGAAAGTTGGGTAACATGACTACTACTGAGGCTGAATATTGGTGGTTCTGCAGATCGCAGCTCAGAGGACTCATTTGACCACCTGAAACGAAGATGACGTAATTCAGGGGTATTTTTTATTCACGGTGAAAACTATACAGAATTTTACAACACTGATAGTAACTTCAGAAGCTTATTTTCAAAGGCTAGAGAAGAAATCCACTTAAATAAAAATTTCATAGCAGACAGAATCAAATCAAACTCCAATAATTAAGCAAGACCAACACAATGGATTAGCTATTTACGAGAGAAATTCCAGTTCAAGGGATTGTTGTTCCACCAGATCAGAAAAAAACCACCACATAAATACTGTCTTGATTCACATTTTAATGTGCTACATATTTCATCATTATCTTACACAACACTATATTAATTTATATGGAATATATATATCAGTTGGTAAAGTAACAAGGTAACAAAACGAAACACAGCTTGCTGGTTTGAAAGTTTGTTTTGGATTAAGCCACTAGTAAATTCCAATCTGTTTGGCTGAATAGTCATATAAATAGGATGAATAGGAGTCCAGCACGTCCTCAGGATGATGAGATTTCTACTGCAGGTGTCACTGGCAAGCACCAAACCTCTTGATATCACCAGATCATAGACAACCCAAGAAATATCACGTGGAAGGTTGAAGTTGGTGGACAGTGGCTAAGAATTTCGTTGCTTCCTTCGTGCCACTGCCAAGCGCAAGGCCCGAATAATCAACTTCTCGTTATTCAGGACATTGTAATCAGTCAGTTTCACCAGTTTGTCAAAATTCTCTTCACTGAAACACACCTCCCTTGTCGTAAATGGGGAGAAGATGCTGGAGACATCAACTTTGCCTTCAGCCATTTCTTCAGGACTCCTTTCCACACCTGAGGGACAAACGAAAAGGAGATGCACCAATAAGGTTTTACTGCAGTATGTGGCTCATATCAATCATTTAAGTAACTGTAGGTAGGAAAGGGAAATTTGGAGAGAAAGATGTGATTTGCCAGAGGGATGTAAAAGTAGTCTAGCAGCACTGTATCTTCAGTCTCTGGATGAAGCCTCTGTCCAAAAATGATGCAAACCCAAACAGATGGGATAGGATATTCTTGTACTGGATGAATTAACACTCTCACTGAAAGTTCAGGAGAAATGGTGGCACTCAGACAGAGGACATAGTTCCTATTAAAACAAAGATCTCTGTCCACTCAGTCCTCAGTCTGGGAAATTACTTCTAAATATGTGAACAAAACTCAGATAAATGGGCTACTACCCAAACCTCCAGAACGTTTTGCCTCCATCTTTGTTTGCAAGCAGCAGTGCCTAACAAGTCCATGTCTATACAGTAAAACAGCTTGTGTTGTGGACGTACCAGCCATGCTGTATGTATTTTGGGAGTTTTACCTGAATACTATCTCTAGTAAGTCCTGTGAAGTAAATGCCTATTTTCACCTCAAACATATTAGGAAAGCTTCTGGAGTTCTCACAGGTCAGACGTATTGACACAAACCAGTTATTTTTGTCAGTAATGAGACTGATAATGCCAGCATTGGAATGAAAGTCAGAGATGATGTAGAGAGGATACATTGGGCAAATGACTTCAAGGCAAGTGAGTTTTTTATTAAAATTTCTAGCCACAGATGACTCACCAGGAGCTTTAAATTTCTTGAAGGTGTCATTTACTAGGGGGAAAAAGAGCACTGTTGGAGCTTGTGGACTGTCAGCATCTTCAAACACATAGCACTCCTTCAAGTTTTCCCTGTCTTCATCACTTATCTCAATTCTGGGAAATGGGATTCCTTGGCCTGAGATGTACTTTGCAATCTGATCCAGAGGCTGGATGAAGGAATAAAATAACTAAAATTAATAAAAATAATCAGACAGAAACAGCCATAACCACACCAGGCATTGCAGCTTTTCTTATTTTCTGCATTGCTTTAGGCAAAACAAGAAATCAGTCGCTTGCTTTGAGCCTGCAAATGGAGCCAAAAGCCACAGGACTGATTTTATAATTCCAGTAAAACAGGTTCAGAGGTGGAAGGCAAAGAACTGCAAGAATGGAGAAGGAACACATCAGTACAGATTATTCCACGACATTGTCTTGACTTCATTATTTACCGCTTTCCCAATCTTTGTCCTTTGCATAGTTTGTGATACTTCTGATAATGACTCCCTATGAATACATTTATCAACATACCTTATGACCTCATAAAAAAAAATTCTTTAACAGTTATATTTACTATAAAAATGTCAATGCTATTCTCATTATATATGCAACACTAATTATATTGGGGTTTGTTATTAATTGAATATGGCATCAGCCAGTACATTTGCCTAAGAATGATATGAGATAAACAGGCCTCAACACATTGAGGTTTCCCATTTAAACTGTTAAAATATTGTCAGGACTTTCCATTGCCTCCGTAACTTGATGAGTTCAAGGATAACCAAAATCAGTATCAGAGCTTCAGAACGCTCCTCAGCCAGATCTTCAAAAACTCTTCCATTGCAATGAAGACTTCGATGGTTTTAAAATGCCTATATCCCTCACTGTCTTCTATCATTCTTATTACTACTGAGAAATAAAATCACCTGATAATATAAATAATAAATCAATTACCATCTAATTGCCATTGCAATACTGGAAAATTAGTTCATTTAACTGATGAGTGCTAGAGACCAAAAGACCTTGAAGGAAAGATCTCAGCTACCACGTTTTTTCTTACCAGTGTCTGGGACCCTCCACTGTAATTTAAATGCAGGATGACATCCACTTCTCTCTTTGATCTCAGAAGTGGTGGGTAGCTGGTATTGATGAAAAAGCCAGTATCAACCAGGGAGAGCTCATCATCTGCTGTTTCCATCAGTTTATTTGGGAAGGAGTCTATCACTGTGTCTGAAACACAAACAGTTCTTATTACAACAAATAAAAAACAAGATTGACTGTTTCTCTGCAGAAATTTAAAGAGGAAAGAATGGAGAGTTTTACCCCCACTTTCCCTGCCTTCCTTTGACACACTAGCAGCACTAATTTACACAAGTGACATGCTACAGCTTTTTCCTTCCTTTCTTCCTCCTGGACACCTCAAGCAGCTTTGACCCTAAAGGAGAGATCCCCTCCTGCCTCCTCAGGCTTAGCTCACCTTACTCACTGGAACACAATCCCCAGAAAACCAACTTCAATTTCACCCCTCAACCCTCCCAAAAAATGAAATGCTGTTCAAATCTGGTTCCCATGTCTTCCATTTGTGGAAGGGAGAAGTGGAATCTCAGAAGTCAGTCTTGTCTCTTCCTCCTTGCCGGAAACCCTAAAAGAATTTCCAAACATAAACCTCCTCAAAATGTTACTGAAGAACATGCTGTGTTACTGTGCCTTTCCAGGTAGAAAATCCTTCACTCTCCAGGTACTTGTTATGCATCTGGAAGCCTCTGATAAAATTGGGATACTGTGCAATGGTTGGGCGTCCTGTTAAGACATCTCGCAGAGCAGAGGAGAGGATGCTCGAGGGAGTGAATAGACAAGTGTCTACCTCATAGGGGTTCATGGACAGAAAGGGTTCTTCCTCTGCAGACAGGAAAAAAGAAGTTCTGAGTTTAGGACAGTTTTCTGAAGTGATCAATATTTTTAAAAAATGGAGTAATTAAAACCGACAGTTGTCACCATTCTGCACCCCACAGGTAAATCAAACACTTAAAAGCCCTTAAGGTCTGTGCTAGCAAATAAAACTCAGCATTAGACAGTGCATTAAAATGACAGCTACCTGCAGGCAGCAAGCTGGTGCAGTGAGCATTCTAGGCTTCCTCAAATGATGCCCAACCCTATTTGCAGGGTGTGGTGGAAGGGAAGGCCAAGTCCCAAAACATACAGGAGGACAACACTAGCCTAACAACACAGGACACCTCCAGAATCCATGTGTGTATCACCCAGCTGAAAATATTAGCCAAGTTAGGAGTTCAGTCACTCCAGGTTCTCTGTGCAACAGTAAGCTTTCTCCACGGGCAGGTAAGTGGAAAAACCAGCCCTCTGCAAGAGCCCTTTTCTCTACTGACGGTATTAGTGGCCAAGGAGGACCCTATCCTAACTTAACAACCTTAGGATGTGTTGTTAATACAACATGATTTTTACATATCTGCTGGAGACTGTTTTTGTGACTGTATGGCCTTTAGAAAATGGCACAGCTTTGCCAAAGAAGTACAGTTTATTTGTTATAAATCAGGCAGAAAAAATTCTTAGCTGACATCTCTGCTTTGCTTTCCTCATCTCTCTCCCTGACTTTGACAATACCTCTTTAGGCATTAGACCTCTGCACAGAATATAAGCAATACATAATAGTGGTTAAAAAAAAGAAAAAAAAAAGAAAAAAAAAGCCAAAACCACAAAAACCTCTCACCAATATCTTTTACTCTGTCTCTGGTCCATCTACACCAGAAGTCCTCTGAATCAGTAGCCAAATTCCAGACATACATCACATCTATGGAAAATATACTACTCCACATGCCTGAAATGTGAAAAAGAAAATAGAAACTGATTGATGGAATAATCTTGAGAGAATTTTAATTAATACATAACTTCCATCCTTCCCCTTGGATCCTTCCTTTCTGTCTGGATGGGTATCTTCATGAGCGTACTTCCTAAGTATGTCCTTGCCAATGCAAACTCACACCTGCCCAACCAGTTTGCTGGTGTCTTCCCAGTGTTGTCCACCACAGACCATGTGCTCAGTTATGCCAGCTGCCTCTTGAGTAGACCACCTTTCCCCCTTGGCAATAGTCACCTTGCAAATAGCAGATCCGAGTCTCTGAGAGTCTCTTCACCATCCTTCCCATGAAGAATTCACTTCCAAAGTGTTCTGCACAAATAGATGCTCCGTATTTCAGGAGACCGACTTCATAAGGAGTGAACTCCAGCCACTCTACAACAACAGCAGCCAGATCATGAAAAGGCAATAATATGTTAACTATTGCTAAACAGAAGAGTAGTAGAGAGCAGGAACAAATTATCAGAAAGACAGTGGTTAGTTCATAATATGCCAGTCACCAGCTATAGCTGTATCCATATTGCCTGCAGTACTAATGTCATAGAGTCCTTTCACATCAAGGAGGGCAGTCCCACTCTATGACAGAGCATTCTCCAGCAGAAAAACCCCGGTGTGAATGAAACCGTGTTTCTCTACAGTTAATCTTACCCAAAAGTACGTATTGTTCATGTATATCTTGTTCCCTTTAGGGCACCAGTGACAGAGAGTTTAGCATTCACTTGGTGTCATGTATTCAGCTGCTCATATTAAACAAATACTGTGAAAATTAATACAAGAGGAAGTAGTGATTTTCCTGCTACCAGAACCAACAATTCAGTACTTCCTTTAATTGTGCAAAGTAAGGCCGTGCAGAACCATCATAAGAATTCGTTACAAGGTTTTTGTGAGCAGCATAAATTGTGAGTTGGACATCTTCTGTGGTATAACTATATTTTTCCTTTTGGCAACATAGAGAACTAAGATACTAAAGACTCAGCATGCCTATATTTTTTAAGTGTTAGTCACTATTATCTGAAATTTTAAAAGGTTTTCTTTTGCAATTAGAATGAAAGGACGATTGTATTATTAATGCTGATTACATGCATTTAGTCTTAGATTACTTGAATTATGAAGTTGTTAAGAAATCTAAATCATAACCATTACCTCTGAAGGCCTGAGCACTATAGTTGGACTTGAGGTTGATGGCCACATAGATGGGCAATGGGTTCTGACCGTTATCCACTGCCTGCCGTTGGTCTGAGAGTCTATGCTCATCTTTCTGGTTTTGATTTAAAATGGTTAATGCAGTAAGGTGAAAAACAACGTGCACTTAAAATAATATAATGTGAATTATCAGCTTTATCCAGGTTATCCTTCCCATTCTCAGCCCACTGGATTGCCCAGAAATATCTGCCATGGAATATTCCAAACTTGGCAAGTATCCCATAAGAAGCAGCTACACCCTGTATGAGTCCTCAGGGTGTGAGAGATGCAGAGAGGTTGACTGTAGATTCAGAAAGGAAAAACAATATTCCCAGGAAGAAATACGTGTCTAGGTGAAAGGTAAGGGGAATTTAGCAGAGTTGATCATATTTTAAGATATTTTGCAAGTATGTTCATATGCAAGAATATACTCTATTGCACATGACAATTTAAAACTTCTGTGTATAAACACAGACCAGAGTGAAACTACTTGAGTTATACTATTTTTAAAGTACCAAAATTTCTATCACTCTTTCTTAAAACCTGATAACATATTTAGAGAATTGTCTTTCCCACTATAGGAATTATCTCCATACACAGTGTATAACTAAGTCACTGTATAAATGCATATCTTCATTTATGCTAGTGAAGTATAATTTCAAAATTTTAAGTGTCGCTTCTAGTCAGAATATTTAATGTCCAAAGTGATTAGTTTACATTTTACAATATTTTTTTCCCTCGGGATTTTTCTGTCTTGAAGAAGAAAGAACACCTTTGACTGCAATGCCATGGTTCCTTCAGTACAAGGTCAACCTCACTTTAAAGAAAAAGCAGTGTTTTAATAATGGATCTGAGTACACAGAATTTAATCAACCACTAACCTAATTCTTTGCATTAGTAGTACTGAATGGCATCCCAGTATTTATTTTCTTCTTCATAACTATAGAAGGTCATCAGGTTTCTGAAAAAAAGGAGTAGTACCTTATCATGTAGCATGGATTCAATGACAAGTCCCCAAAGGTCTATGAAAGAAGTGTTATGTCCTTCTTTACTCCTCTCCATCAGGTCATTATAATAGTACTTCAGACAATCCAAAGAAAAACAGCAAATCTTGGATTTGGTTACTTGCTTGCGAGCTTCCTTGATTGCATCCTCCAGATATTTTTGTGACCAATTAGCATCTTCATATAAGTTTGCCATTGTCCTGAAGAAACATTAGAAGAAAATAATGAAAGTGGAGTAATGCTGTGGTTTGTCTTCAGAGAACTTGTGCAACCTATGTGCCTGTGTCTTAATTCGGATGGAGTACACAACTAAAAATTAAACACACCTGATACACTCTCATTTCAAGAGCAAACAAAACCTCCAAGCTTTCCTGGTTTTGATAATAAAAGTTTATGTAGGCTCAAAAATTATTAGAGAAATTAAAGGGAGAAAAAAACCAAACCCTCTCGAGGCTATTACATACAAAGACTCCACAAGTCCTCAGGAAAACCATTTCTTGGAAGGTAGGGAGCATTCTAGGGAGCAGTCACTACTAGTTTGCTCTAGTCCCAAGTACATTTGCTCCCAAGTATCTGCTAATGGCTCCTAACAGGGAGACAACTGGGCAGTACTTGGGTTTTGGCATGTTCTGGTACAGCCATTGTTACTTGTCTCTTTGAAATTGTAACACAGATCTCCACATAGAGAAAAGTTAAAAGAATTTTGGAAAATACTTAGACAAACCTGCCATTAAGGTTTGGACTGGTATAAAGGACTGACACACAATTCAGTGCAAAAAAACTCTTCACTTCCAACCAGTTGTAGAGGAGTGGAGCTAACTAGAACCCACTTGATTAAATGCTTATATATGACATCATCTGCTGTATGCCCACTGGGAGAAGGGAGCACTTTATAATGAACAACCATAGCTGCAGCCTCTCCGAGGTCAGTAACTTGGCATCATTGTTGGACTTCTGTGACGGTATTAACTCCACTAGCCCCAAATACATCTTTTACCAGAGGGAGATGCACTCTAAATCCAAAATGGAAGTGAGAATAACGAGCAAATGTCAGGCATAAATTCTTCTTCCCATCTTTCTTCGATTTCCAGTCTAAAGACAAATTCGTTGCATTCAGTCTAAGGTATAATTGATAAAATATGAAAAGGTAATCGAGCATTTACATGAAAATATAAGGCACAGACTGTGTCAGTGTGGTGACAAAAGCAGCTGAATAACGTGACAACTGATCTCTTACTCGGTATTGTTTTGTTTCTTTGTTCCAGGCAGACACAGAGGAGATTCGGGGGAAAGGGAAATGCTTTTGCTTTACTAAGTGCCATATAAGCTAATGATGCTGTACAAATACTCAACAGTATTGAGCAGAGAGTACAAACATAAACCTTGTTTGGGTCATTCTCACCATGTGGTACCCGATAAACCCCCGATGTAGGAAATGCAGTCTAACAGATTGAGTTTCTGGAGACCCAGCAGGCTGCCATACATGGCTGTTAGCGATCTCGTCCCTCCACCAGTCGTCGTGATGGCCACCACCGGCACCTGCGCAACACAGAAGGCAAAGAAGCCAAGGCCAGGCATGCATTAGGGACAAGCAATCCTCCTTATTGCAGGAAAGGGGTAACGGGTTACGGGCACTGATACAAGCAGTGACATTACTTCATGCAAGAAGGACGTGGTTGTTGCAAAAGGCACCTGACTGATGGGAGAGGGAAGACTTACGTCTTACACGCTCAGATTGGGAGGGCAGGAGGCTCTTTATTTAATATATAATTGGAAATCAACCTCATCACCCTGGAATTCTTCAAGTGTATTATTAGAAGCTGTTATAGAAAATACAGGATTTAGCATGCCAGAGCAGATTAGGGATCTGTGATTCTGCCTCTAACAATGACCACTGTCTCAGAAGAATGCACAGCACTCTGTAATCAGCCAGACCACACAATAGCCAAAGCCTTCCTGGCCTCAGGCCACTAATTAATTTATGTCCTGAAGCACAATCATCAGTAGGGCTTCCCCTCCTGCAAGGTTCAAATGTAATTGAAGAGACAGGCTATTCTTCTCTTAATCTTTTCCTGATCTAGCACACACTTGTCTGCCGTTAGCATCTTGAGTTGTGTGGATACTTACAAACTCTATGGAAAATGTCATTTTATACCTTTCAAGTATTAATTTCTAATCTCATCAAGCAATCTGTTGGTCTAAATTCAATGATTAGAGCTTGAAGAAAATATATCTTCTATCCTATGAAATTTAAAAAAAAAAAAAAAAAAAACACCAAAATAGATGTTCTTCCTACCCTAAACCTGATAAGAACTTAAAATGTAGGAAATTTTATAAAATAATAATAATGAGGAAAAATGTAATCTTGCTAACTAAAATTAGAATAATTTTTAAAAAGTTATATTTTGGGTTTTACATTTGCTAACAATCTTCATTATGAATTAAAATTGTAATTTTTTTTTTTCCTGTTCAAACATAAGTCAGTTAACAAAGTAGAAGGCATTTTTTCCATGTTTTTGAAGTTAAACACATGAATAACAGAGCCAGAGTAATTAGACCTCTTCATAAACCAACTTTGGTCATACCATTTTGGTCTTACCACCTCAACGACTTTCCTTTGTGTCAAGAAACTCTTAGACAGCTATGTAAATATGTTCTTTCCAGCTTTCTCAAAAATTTTATTTTCTGTATTATTCTCTGCTCTGATATCCAAAATAAGATTTTGGTTTTAAATCTATTCCCTATCCACAGCACTATTTATTTTAATTGTCAGCTAAAGAGGATTCTTCCAGTTGGCATGTTTGTATTTCTCTGATTTTCAAAAACTCAGCTACACAGAAGCAGTTACAAAACTGATGACTGAATTATGGAGGCAGGAGCTGGGGCTATGGTGATAAAGCTACACTTTTAATCACCTCCTTCATCTATACAATTCAATGATGCTCGAAGAGTCACTATTCCAGCTTGATGGTTTTATTCATGTAGTCAGTTTTCCCAATAACAGAACTTTTCTGCTGTAGAAACCACCCAAAGTATTTTTATTCAGATGTCTACGTGAAAATTTTTGCTTCCTCCCCTCAAAATAATTTGCAAATGCCACAACCACCGCCTTGTCTCTGTTACTGAACTAAGGCACACTACTTCCTAGACAGTATCTCCCAGCTGTTCCATGTCTGCCCACTATAAATTTTCCTCCTGAGCCCCATGAGCAATAACAAGAATAAACAGGAATGGGTTGAACTGAGTAGCTGTTGAGAAGTTTTGAGGCTGTAAAGGCATTATCCTGCCTTCCTTGATCCACTGCGTAAGTCAGCTAATGCTTCTGTTGCTCATCTCTTGCCCTAGGTAGCCAGGCCTGCCCCAGTACAGCAGGATTAATTAAGATTTTTTATCTGTGGTTTTGATTTGTGAGCCAGGCCCCAATCCCCACCGAGAAGTTGCTACCAGGGACTGTGCTAGCTTGCCTCATGCTCTTTCAGATCCTCCTCCAAATGAAGAATCTTCTTCAGAGCAGCAGCAACATATTTCTTCCTTTTCCGCAGGAAGTCCTGCTCTTCTACGCACAGGCTAAACCCCAACCGCACATCCAGGTCACCTGTGCTAGAACAAACAACAGGACAAATCAATGCATATGTCATTTATAGCTGATTTCAAGACCTGTAGGGCAGGTAGAATCATAGAATGGTTTGGGTTGGAAGGGACCTTAAAGATCATCTAGTTCCAACCCCCCTGCCACGGGCAGGGACACCTTCCACTAGACCAGGTTGCTCCAAGCCTCATCCAGCCTGGCCTTGAACACTTCCAGGGATGGGGCATCCACAGCTTCTCTGGGCAACCTGTTCCAGTGCTTCACCACCCTCTCCGGGAAGAGCTTCTTCCTGACGTCCACTCTAAATCTACCCTCTTTCAATTTAACCCCGTTACTCCTTGTCCTGTCACTACAGGCCCTTGTAAAAAGTCCCCCTCAGCTTCCTTGTAGCCCCTTCAGGTACTGGAAGGTGCTATAAGGGCTCCCCGGAGCCTTCCCTTCTCCAGGCTGAACAACGCCAACTCTCTCAGCCTGTCTTCCCAGGAGATATGCTCCAGCCCCCTGGATCAGGTTGTCAGTAAACTCCACAAACCATCTGCAAAAAAAAAAGCTATTTCCAAGTCTGCATATTGATCAAGGAACAGAAGAAAAAGGAGCATTCCTATTGCCAGCAAGAAGTAGTAGTAAGAATGAGAGGAACTTCCAAAGTGCTTTAGATTTCTTGTGAACACGGGCACAAAGACAAGAAACACAAGTCAGGGAAAGATCACCAAAATGGGTAATTTCAGGAGTAATTTTTTTTTGTATCCATTCCTTTCTGTCACCATGACACCCTGGAAAACTCAAATGATGTCATCATCACAAGTTCTCAGGTTTTGACTGCTCGCTAACAGTATTTAAAGTGAAGGTTCTAATGAGTCGTGTGATGGAGCAAGCATCACCCCCTGCTCAGCCTCTCTCCTGTGAAATCCAGCCTTTCACCTGTGTGCTGAACAGGTATCTAGATAAGCATTTGCAAGCTTCATCCTGCAAATATATAAGAATACCCATCATTTTTTTCTACATGGGCAACCACAGTGAATTTTCTCCCTTGAAAAATACAAAGCACAAGCCAAAAATTTTTCAGAAAAAAATGTACAAAACCAATCAAACGGTAGCTAATGATCTGTGCTTTCAGCAGCACAAATACACTTGTTACTGACAAGAACACTCAATATTGACCAAATCTTCTGGGTCACATCACCCTCTGCTGGCTGCAAACTCTCTCCTGAACAACATTAGTTTCACCAATATTTCACAAACCTGGAATGTTTCAAGAGTTAATGTTAATAATTTCTGTTCTCCAACCAATGTGCATATTACAGTGAAATTTTGAAAACAGACTAAGGTCAAGTTATTAACTTTACAAAACAAAACATTTTTAGCAGTAGATATAAATTTCTCTTGCTCTCTCTATAAATCTGCATCTGTTAGATTTACATTTCAATATATTTTGTTACGGGCTGAGATTGAGCATGTAGCTCTTCCTATGCTATGAATCTCACCTACACAAACTGCTCCCTTGCTCTGAAAATTCACCTTGCTTCCCTTCTGTGTATCACCCAGTAGAGTAAGGATGCTGTGAACCATGTGAAGCTTTCATCTGTACCATAAAACCTCATTGTCTTCAATTTTACCTATCACTGGTGCAACTCTGTCCCTGCAAGTGGTCTGGCAGAGGTGCAACTCTCAAGACCCATTCTGCTCAGTGAAGCAGGAGAAGGGGCAGAAGCCAGGTTGCCCTATGTTTGTTTTGGTGACTTTGCAAAGTTAAGAGGGATAGAGTTTATTTCAATCATTATGCAGATCTGACTCCTGGCATAAATGGGCAACATAATAAGTATGTGAGTAGTGCAGTTTTACTCATGTCTAAGAATAGTACTCATAAAATAGGCTAATTTACTCTGAAAAAAACCTACCAAGGCTCATAAACCCGTCCTGAACTGCATGATCCTGTAACTGCAGCAGACTTGCACTTACCTCAGGCACCACGTGAGTACAGGACAACGCACTCACGTGGCGTGTGTTCATCTTTCCACCTATCATAGAAAAAAACCCTAGATAACTGGCTTACAGTAATCCTGGATGACAGGATAAAAAGAGGCTAGCTTACCATTTTCTTGCTGTCAAGCACAAGTGGAAGGAATGATCCTAGAAATCCAGAAAATAAAGCTCATTACCACCAAAATTCAAAACACTTCTCTCCTTCAAGCTCAGACAAGGCTCATTCAGTAAGAGAGGAGGTTCTCAAATAATCATTCCTATGGTCAAAGACGTTATTGTGGTACAATATCCCTGCTCTGGAATCAAGTCCTCTCTTATCTAACAAGCCTGTCTATTTGAGGCAGTTTGCATGCCATGAGTTTGCATGTTACACCAGCTCACAGTGTGCACACTTAGAAGAAGCAGCAAGAATGAGACAAGAAAGCTCCTTTGGTATTGACATTTAGAAAAGATCTGAATTAAGCTCATATTCTGGATTTTTTTTTTTTTTTTAATTATTACTAGCCATTCTGGAATTACTGCAGTACACAAAAAAAATTTGGAACTCATGTGCATATGACAGTCACTTTTGTTCCTTGAAACCACTTACTTCTAATTTTGGGATGCAGGTTTGTGATGATTTTCGTATTATTATAATTACTGCTAGCACCTGCTTCCTTAAACGTAAATAGGACTGCCCTAATTTTTTTTATTTTCAATAAATAAATTTTACATAGTGATTTTGTTCACTTGGTAGCTTTATTTCTCGCAGGACAATATGAAACGCATCTTGAAAATATTTATTTCAAAAGATTCACAGCACTCACCTCTTTGACCATTATTTCCTTCTGCAAAGGGAGTGAATTCAGAGGGAAAGAAAGGACCCCAGATTTCACTGTTTCATTTTTCTCTGCCAGCTGAAACAATGCAGAAGTAGGTAGGGATGAGCACATGAAAGGTTTGGCATCTCTAGAACTCCTCCTACTTATAGGGCTAGCTCAGATCACTGGTTACATTAATTTCTTATTCTAATTCTATTGAGATTAACAAAAACATACAGAAGGGGAACGTACCTCTTCTGGTAGTATTATATCCAACCTTGTCTGCTCATTTATAACGCAGTGAAACATGATGATCCTAAGGCTGGGGTCAGAGTCCAGCAAAATCTTCTGGCTTCCTTCATGGGATCCTTTCACTGTAAATGTAAGCTCCTGACCTAAACATAGAGGCAGCAAAAAAGAGAGAATTTTAACTATTCCAAGCAAACATACATAATTAAATTAAAATCCATTCTACTCTGCATGGTTTTTTGTCTGATTTTCCTTACACCATGATGATTAAGTAGACTCTGGGTGGTCGAAATAGATAGAAAACTAGACTAAAACATTTTGGTGGATCTGTAATAAACCATTAATATACAGAAATCCTATTTTTTAAATACTGTAGTGTGCTATTTGGTGGGTGCTTTCCATGAATAAACCAACCCAAGATTTAGATTTAATGGAGCAACAGTTTAAAGGCATTTTGGGTTATTCCCATTGAATAAGACAGTAATTTATTTGATGTCAGTCTATTCTGGTTCACCGCGTACATTTTATTGTATGCTGTATCTGCTACAATAGCCAAATGATTGAAACCCAAAAATCAAGTAGACTACATGACATGTGCCCTCATGTCACTAAAACTGAAACAGCCTGTCAGCCCAAAGGCTGTGTTTCTTGTATGGAAAAGCCTTTACATTTACAGAGAGATTGTATGCTGTTCTCTTGCAAGATCAGGGGCAAGAGGCATATAATTGTTAGGTCATTGACCTTTCCTCCCCATGCTACATTTCAGTTTGAAACTTCCTATAATGCAACTCAGCCACTGCTATCATTTTCTTCATAAAGATCAGTTTTCCAGTCATTAATTTTCTTGAAACAGACATGATTTTTTGAGATTTGCCCCATGACCAGCTTTACACAATCTACTATTTATTTAAATGAGCTTAAAGACTAGTAAAGAGTCCTGATATATTTATTAGACCTATGTTTTAAAGGCAAAGTGCTGATTTGGTGGTGGTTTGCATTTTGCATAGACCCCTTTGTTACAATTTTACATTTAAACTTAAGAGCTTAAGTTTATTATTTTTTTGCTTAAGCAACCAAAAAAAAAAAATCTCTTTCAGAACCCTGAATGTGCAGAAACTTTGTACATATTCAAATCCAAATAAAACATACAGCATAAGACTTCTACATACTACCAAGAAGATCCAACTTCTTTTAAAATTTCCATTTTGAACATGCAATAAACAAATAGAACTAATATGATTTTTTCCAGGTTTTTAATTCTAGCATATATGGCTCTAGTTTTGCATCAATATAAGATTTGTCTCGGAAGTGAATACTGGGCTAACTTGAATTTTAACAGATACAATCTTCCTGCAAGGTGGAGCATGGCGAAACTAAGTATTACGTGACACAGCTGGAATAACATGCACACCAGATTATTAATTTTTCAACATCTTTATAACAACTGAATCACAGCACAAAAACAATAGGTTAATGAAGCAATAACCTCACTTGTGGATTGCTGCTTCAGCTTCCCCATATCCACTCTAACCTCCAAACAGGAAACCTCGCGTGCCTGTAGCAAGAGAGGATAAATGACGACTGAGAGAAGTGTAAATGTCATTGCAAGTGATTCATACTGTTCTCAACCAACCCCTCTAGTTGATCAATGAACAACACAATTATTATCTATTACTATGTCTTCAAATCATGAGGACAATAGTGACATGGGGTTTTTTAAGTTTGAAAGTAAAGAGGAACAAGTCACGAGCTGCTTGAACAGTTAAGTAAAGATGATGAGACCTGTTCAAAATAATAGGTGTACTGAGGTGTACAGGACTCCTCTTACAAGCATTTTATCACTTTCTTCATTAACCCCTGATAGTTCTGGGTGTAACGTGGGAATAATGGGTAGGACAATCAATTTTATGGAAGAAAGTAGGTGGCAGGTGCATGCTGACAGAAGCCTCACAGCATGCCTTTGCTCAAGGTGGCACCGCACTGGAGTGATGGGAAGAGTGATCCTTAGTGCCAACCAGAGATCCTTTTCCTCAGAGTGGCTGATAGTACTGACTTCGGGACACAGCTCAAAGACTCTAGAATCAAAAATATGACCACTTGTTAACACAGGCATGGGAAAGATGGTCAGAAATAAACGTTACCACTAGTACTCCATTAGTAATGATGCCATCAGGATAGTCCAGTCTGAAAAATACAATGGAAAATATAATGTCATGAATAGGACAAGACATAAATATTTAAATCTATGAGTTAACACATTACTCATTTTCCCCTCATCAACTTTGACACTAGTGTATTTAACATTCTCACTTAAAAATACTTCAAAGCTTTTATCAAGCATAGCTCTAGGTCATGAGCTGAGTTGCAAGTTTTTTCATCCACTCATAATAGAACATGAAGCTGGGCTTTTACTCCCAGGGTTTGTCATATTTGCTTTGGTAAACCATGTAATGAATTCCAATATGTGACATACTGAGTTTGAGGAAAGCTTGAGGCTGTTAGAATCATCTTGATTGTTTCGATCATTACACAGTTTGACCCAAGGTTTTAGACTTGAAAAACCAATACACCATAACAGTGGAAGAAATTCTACTCACCTGTATAAAGTGATTTGAAAAACAGACATGCGATTTTAATATATCACTATATGTGCAGATATGTTTCTGCTTAACCATCTAGGGGCAGAAGTGGATTTATGCACTGCAGGTGCCAACTTTTATATTCTTAAATATTTTTCATTCAGAAAAATCAGGCAATATCTCAATAAGGATATCTTATAGTTTACCGTCTTATTAAACAGCTTATGTTAATTCATACAGCATCTCAATAACCAAGATTAGTCCAAAGGGAACACAGACATACATAAAGTTATAAGGATTGAACAGCAACCCCTCAACCTGCTGCAGACAGTGTGACCTGTTTATTCAGATGTTACAAGCTATGGATTATACACTGTGTAGTACCACAAGGTATACAGCTGAGATATGTATTTCATCTCAGCAGAAACCAGGCAATAAGCTTCCTTTAAAATCAGATGAATTACATTGTTATTATTAATTTTAAAAGAAGGTTTATGACAACTATTTGATTTCAGTATAAATACATGAAAATAACTTTGTAAAATTTCCCATGACAAAGAATGCTACCCTAATTTCAAAGCTCATAAACAGTTTAAAGTTTCGTTTCCAAATCAGTATTTTCATTAACCAAAAAATATGAGTGGGCTAAAAACAGGGCAGACCATTCAGAAATTAAAAAAAAAAAAAAACCAAACACCAAACCACATACACACACAAGAGTTATACGCTGGAAAAAAAGATTTTTACTTAAAAATTTTGTAAGATCTTTTTTTGAGAGTGTATTTTAAGAGAGTTCAAAGAACACTGGTCAGGAATAGGCAAAACATACTCAGTGTTACTACCTGCATGCAGGGAAATGGGGTTAAGTACCACTCAAGTTTTGTTTCAGACCCTAACTTTTGCACTTAATTACTATTTCATAATCAAATAATTGTAGCATTACACAAAATATGGTGTCACTATCCCCAAATACTTCATAAAAAAAAGCAGAGAAACAGCACAGTAGATATTGAAAGACCTCAGTCTGAATAGCTTAGTGAAAAGAAGGTGATAATACAGGAAAAGTTGTCCTTGTATAGAGGTAAATATCCAGTGCAGTGTAATATTATTTGAGGTACTGGTATCAGCAAAGTATAAAGTTGGACTGATAATTAGGAGCTCAAGGCATGACCTACAAATAGGGTGGAAGAACATGCAATGTTGGAGAGAATGGCTTGGAGGGCTCGTGGAAAGAACCAGAAGAACACAGGCATTAAGCATCATTGGCTGAGATGCCCCTCTTGGGGTGTCACCCCTGCAGTCACTGCTGTAAGGAAGTGTAGCTGCTGTTAGTTGGTGGGTAAGATCAGCCCACGCGAAGAACGTAATGCTAAGCTTCAGGTTTGTTAAAGACCTAGGGATGAAGCACAATGCAAGGTTTCTTTTTTTTTTTTTTTTTATTTTCCTGGTGATCTGTACACTTGTTTTAAGAAGAGCAAAGGCACTCACCTTTCTCTGAAGCTTTGGAGATCAGCTGTGGCTAGAAACAGGTGAGCTGTGTACAGAAGAGCCCTTACTATTCGGGTTGGCAGGGGCCTCTGAATATTTTGCCTTGCTTTGGAGCACTGAATAACATACATTTCTCAGGACTAGCACTGATAACTTCCTTAACCAACCTGCTATTAGATAGTCCCCATCACACAGATAAAGACTCCTATCCTCTCCTGTGTCAAAGTTTGTGTGTTTATGGCCTTTTCTCATGCAGAGTTCAGTATTGCTATGAGAACTGGAAGCGTGTTGTGGCCTGCAGCAAGAAAAGCCCAGAAACAGAGACCCTGGGCAACCTCCCCCTCTAAATATTTACTGAAGGGGATCCCTAACACTGCAGTGGACTCTCTGAGCCCAGGAATCACTTCCCAGCACCTGGTACACATCAAAATGCCTTCTCTTCCTCTTCAGATCATGCCTGGCTTATAACAAAATGGGCAGCATTGTATGGGAAGTTATAGTCACACAGATTCCCATATTACTGTTGGCATTTAGTAGGCAACCGCGCTCTGTTTCACCAGACGATCTGGATTTTTTGATACCTATGCACAAAATTTTAAATCATTCATGTTGGATCCAGCTTCCCCTTCTTTTACTAGCTTGCACATGGTACAGGCTGCTTTTCTGAGCTTTCTAACAATCCAAGAGAAGCACACGGGATAGAGTACTATTTCAATAAAGAAAACTGAATTTACTTCCGAGATTCTTTGGCTGTCATTTTACTCAACTTAAAACATTTGCTTTAAGTGCTCCTTGAGGCCCTGTGACTTCCTGCCACAAATACAGATACAAACAGTACATTTGACTCCCAATGGATGAAGAGCCAGTCAATGCCGAAACATTCTTCCGCGAGGCCCAAAACAAATAGCTAGCATGATCTGCTGGTCCACCCACTCGTGGGGAAAAGCTCTCAAAATAACACAGCAGAACTACAGAAAGAAAAAAGACTTTTATTTCCTAGAAATCATGTTTTTGCCATATTTCAATAATTAATATTTAGCTTTTATACAACTTTTTTTACACCTATTTACATTTCTCTGTGTGTTAAATGGGCTTTGTTTTAAACAGTCTTTCACATTTGAAAAAAAAAAAAAGAGGGGGTGAAGCTGAGATGAAAAGTTGTATAAGAGTGGTCCTTCATTCTTCTAAGAGTTGTCTGAGATGCACCTCCTCAACTTGGGACATCTGAAAGATAGAAACATGCCAAAGTAAGATCAGCAGATCCAGCAAACACCCTGGGGCTCTTAGACCTCTCCTTGGAAATTCAAAGTACCTTTTAGTTCATCAGAAGTCTCTCTGGGGCCCCTCAGTATCAGGGATGGGCTTCAGTAGAAGTCAGAGGGGAGGGGGATGTTGAGGGAGCGAAGCCACCTAGTCCAGCGGGACTCTGGCCGTGTAGCAACTCTTAGAGGCTCATGTTCATGCTGGACCCTACCAGGGGAAATGCAAGGGAGAAAGCCCATGTTACCGTTGATAATCGCGAGAAAAGTAACACTAAAAGCTCTACAGTATGCAAATCAGCAACCTGTGTACAATGCCCTTACCTTTTCTGTCACTGCTGCTCGAGGGCAGCACCTCTCATGCCAGCTGGGCTCGTGTTATGGGCCCATAAAACACTGGGCAGGTGTTTGTAATCCCTTGGCTCAGCTGCTGGTGACAAGGCACTTGGAGGAAGGAGCATGCCTTCCTCTCTGTGTCGATAGGACCAAACATCTGGCTCTCAGTGCCTGCCACAGGTAGCAGCAGAGAGGTGAGCATTTGCAGGTACTGCAGGAGTGGTGTAAAAGGCAAAACTAGAGACGGGATCGGTCTTGCAGTTGTGGAAAACAAGCTACTGAAATGAAAGTTTTCTTCCATTTTAAATAAAAGGCAATGGGAGTGAATGTGGGAACCAATTTCATATAGCCCACCAGTGTATTGTGATGAATTTTTTTTACAATGTTCTTTGTTAAAAATAACACAGAACTCTTTTTTTTTTTTTTTGCAGTGAGGTCAATAGGCAAACAAAAATAGGAGTGACAAAGCAATTATTGTAGGTGAGACCCAGGAAAGTTTCTTGGCCTGGGGTTACACTTCATGTATGATACTACTCATCTGAAATGCTGGAAAGAAAGAAGATGCTAATACAGTAAATCCTGCAATTGGTAAAGTTAAGAATGAAGATGGGGAAGGAGTGAAAAACTACTTCAGAAAAATAGCATCAGACAAACATGCTGCTGGGAATAACTATTCATTTCAGACAAAATGCCGTATTTACAAAAAAACAACACACCCAAAGTATTCTGTTATTGTTTCCTTCACAAAACTAGATTTGTAGAAACTGTCATGCATAGGTAAGTGTACTTCTTGCTAGCGCTATGGTTGGCTCCCCCCCTCTGAAAATTATCTCTAATGTCTGTCAACGTTTCTCCCATCCAGCAATGTCAAAACCCCTTGCCCAAACCTGCTGAGCTTGTCCAACACAGCAGAGGTTGGCTTGGCCAACAGCTTTCTGGTGACCCACCTCAGTTACTTCAGTCTCTCAGACCTTTTCAGGGCTCTTTAGTTCATCACAGGTAGTATGATCCATTGTCGCCGAGTTTAATGCACAAACCCTTTCATTAATTACTCCTGACACCACACTTCTCTATGTTGAGGGGAAAACCCTCTCTCAATATCTACCAAAATCAGGATATTTAATCAATACCGATGTGCTTATAACTTTATTCCAGACTCAACTGATGGGCAGAACAGCACTGATCACAAGGCACATGCAGGAAACGCAAATGAGGGATAGCAGAGGAAATATTGATCTGTCTTCTGACAAGAAGCCCACTTTCCCCAGAGAAGTGCCTTCCCTTTTCTCAGTCCTGCTGGGACCTCACAGGGACATTCCCTGACTTAGGATGCAGCAATTTCTTCCCTTTGCATGTAGAGTTCTTAAGGCCATGACTATGACATTGGTCACCCCTGTACCACACTATGAATGAGAAGAGTGGTTGCTACAGCAAGAACACGTGTGATCCGAGACATGACTGTGATTCTTTTTAAAACCTCTTCTTTACGACTGCTAAGTGTCCTTTTTATCTATACAGTCCCAACCATCATCTTCCAACCAGCAGAATTCCTACTCAGACAACACCTGCAGAAATTGCTATATTTCTGATTTTAACTACTGAACATGTCTCCTGGAAAAGGCAACTGACTGCAAGGTCCAAGAGTTTGACACAGAGCTGGTGCACACATACTCCAAGACAAATTCCAGCCTCCGTCCCCATATGCAAACCCACTCATGCACAACATCCAAGCCAGACAACCTACCTGGACCTCCCTCATCAAAAGAGAGGATTATCATGATTATGAGTCTATGTACCAACTCCATAAGCCATCTTCTGACTTGCAGAGGAAGGAAGACCCTAGACAGGCCATTTGGGGCATCTGCTGGAGCTCCCTTCCCCATTGCCATTACTGATGTCGTGCCACTCCTAGGCTGTGATAGGCACAATCTGTCTTGCTGTTGCTGGGCCTTCTGCCAGTTTTGTTGCACAGTGAATAACAAACAATCCACCCTGGTGAATTTCCATGAGTTGTAGTAAGAGATTCTGGGACTGCTTTATGGAGTCCCAGGGTCCCATGGCTTTTTTGCTTGTGAACACCGGGAGATCTTTCCTTCTCTATTCGTAACACTGAGCTACTGCCCTTTCCCAGTTTCCTCTTTGCAAGTCCCAGTTTCCTCTTCTGTTAGGCATAAAAACATTGTTCAAAATCTCCACCAACATATTATCCTGCTGGGCCTCCTGGAGTGCACTGAATGCCTTGAGAAGGTCCCAGCAGTGCCATCCCTTCTCTAAGGTTGCTTTAACAACACTTTCAGTCCAATAACATAGATCAAATTGGTAACAGAAATCCTTTCAAGTAAATTCCTCAGAGCCATAAAGCATATTATGGATACAGACTAGAACACCTATGATCCTGCACCAGACACCCTCTCTAGTTAGAGCAGATTTCTCCACAGTATGAATTACCTGAAGCAAAAATATCCCCTAAACAGTCAAACTCCACCAACAGCTTTCAAGCCTATCAAGTGAAGCCACTGCTGCTCCTCCAGTTTTCCTGGTTGCTCAGTCCTCAGCCTCCCACAGTGCTCCTTTGTTTATGCAGAATATGTAGTTCCTCCCCCTGATGGAGCTGATACTCAAGTCAACCACAGCTCCCCACGTGTAGCCAGATCAACTTACAGGAGAACATTTCATAATGCTGAGGGTTTGAAAAGCCAGATTCCCCAAGAAGGCAGAGCATAAGACGTTTAGGCTTGGCACTCCTCCTTCTAAGGGTCAAAACTTCCTGAATATCGCAGTTGTCCTCATACTTCCTTATGTATTGATTCAATAACAAAACCAGAAGTTGGTGCCCAGGAGGCAGCAGTCAAAGAGGGCAAAAATTACATTTTACAATACAAAAAATCCAAAACTATGTATTCTGAAATTCTAATTTACTAGACTTGAACGAAAATACCTAGATACTGCTTTCAGAGATGGTAGGTTTAAGAAGCATGTCACAGATGAACCAATTCCCAGACTATTTTTATACAGAATATAACAGTTTATATAGAATTTAGGACTCTACTCACGTGTTCTGCAATGTAAACTCCACCTCCAGCTCTTCACGTCTCTGAAGAGAGGGGGAAAAAGATAGATAGATATATTACTTATACATCATTATACTTCATAGCTTTCATCACACCAGTTACATATAATTTGTAAAAATATATATTTAGAATAGCGCTTAGGAAAGTTCCCAGAACATAGGAATAATTTGCAAAAGAAACTTTGGTGTCAACTGAAGCTATTGAATTTTAAGATACTGAAAAAGCAGTTTCTACAAGTGGGGTTTTTTTTGCAAAATAAATGCCATGAGGATGTAGACGTAGGAACTGCTATTCTGCTAAACCAGCCATTTTTCAGATTTTAATTTGCAACACAAAAAGAATCAGCTGCTTTAATATTACTATAGTTTTAAGTGGTTGAAAATTCAGAACGTGTATCAGAAGCCAATAAACATGCCAGAAATATTCAGAATGAAGTCACCAGTAATTAGTTCGAACTGATTCCATCCTAGATTTTTGTCAGAGACTTGTTCTTAACAAAAACCAGCATGGAGCACTCATACAGGATTTTAAATCTTTCTTAAAAGAGTGCCAAAACACAGTTTAAGTAGATTTTTCCTATAATGAAACACTGTAAAATGTTGTATTTATGTGGAAGGAAAGAATTTTCTTTTGTTCTCATTGATTCCACTGCTTACCTGCGGATTCAGTTGAAACTTCACTCGAACAGTACGCCCTACGGTGAGTTTATCTATGTCGAAGAGAACTGTGCAGAGTTCGTCATCCCTGGTGATCGTGTCTTCATCACAGACCTTTATCTCCAGCACATTCTGCAAAAGGAGTTTAAAAATATCATAGACTTCTTCCTATATCTAAGAGCTCCAAAAGGCAGGAAAATCTCAAGTCTAGGTTTTCCTCCCTCTTCCAGTTTTAAGGAAGAAGGAAAAAGGAGAAAGAAATAGAAAAAAGGAAAGAAATTTGGGAGTATTAGACTTCACATTCATTAACTGCACAGACCCAAAGCAGCAGAATAGTCTGCCCAGGGGAACTGAAACAAGACAGACAAGTCAGGCAGAATATTCATGAATTTGTGAAAAATAACTGTATGAAATGTTTCTACATTTGTTTTATGGCCTTTGGCTCTCAGTGTACAAAACAGGCACAGGTACACAAGCAATGTTTAAAGGATTTCCTTTGCACCACACCTAGAACTAACTGATCTTACTCTTATTTTCCTGTGATATTTATCTTGGGTTTCATTTGTATATGTCAAGACCAGAAATAGGATAGTAAGGCTATATTTTGCAGGGCATTTAATTGCTTCTCACTGCTTCAGTAATACATGTTTAAATAACAAATAGCTGAAAAAGAACAATACCAAGGAGATGTAAGTGATAGAGTTTTTTCTGAGGAATCTTTAACGCTTCCAGTGTTCAGAAACTAGCTACACACTTAAAGGTTTATTGTATTTTTTTTTAATCCTCTGACTATCTGCAGATAGCGAGTGGTGAAAACCACTCATTGTCACTACCTTGACTCGGCGGTCGATCTTGTAGCAGAAAGCTTCATTCCAGACAGGGTTTTTGCTGTTCCTGATGGTTCTGGTCCGAACCTTCTCAGTTGAGGCAGTAGGCAGCCACAGTGTCACGTAGCAATCTGAGAGAGTGACTGTATAATGACAAGATAAGTGATAATGCACCCAGAGAAAGAATTACAGCACTGTGCAGGTTTAACCCTAATAGTACAAAGATAACATGATAGGGGATTTCTTCCTAGAATACACAGGGTGAGGAGTAAACAATATGTTGAAGCACTCACGGGAAAACAGAAACATCCTCACACATTTGCCAGGTTCATTCCCAACAAAGTTTTATTTGAAATAGCACTGTACTCCCCATGCAGTACAAGCACACCTATCCATGCCACCTTTAGCTTTATACTCACGACTATCCAAATAACTGGTGCAAGGTAACGTTGCCAAAACATGAGAATATCTGCCACTCGCACTCACATCTGCTTTAGAATAGCGTCTCTGTTGCTTAGGCAACACACTTCACAACCTGTCATCTAGGCTGCAGGGACACTTGCTTTCTACGATTTCCTCCCCAGATTCGGTACCTTAATGAGTTGAAAGCCTTTATCAAAGTGCTGGCTTTGACGAATTTTTTTGCCAAAAAGTATTCCCCCAAAGATGAAAAGTTTTACTTCCTTATCACAAATCAGAATATGCTAATTTCATATTAATTTATGTATTTGACTAAATTTTTTTTTTAATTTCTGTCTTTCTCAGCAAGTCTTTGGAAAACAAAAATCAGTCTCAGCACCAGGTTAAGTTTCAATTCATCCTATTCCTTCTGACCACTCTAGAAACATCTAGAAACATCTAGAAACATCTTGCCGTTACTCAAGTCTAAGTGTCACCAAAGACAACAGCTCCTTCCATATCCTGACCCCCCATTTTCAGGGAGAACCACCATGGAGTGAGACTTGCAGAAGCCTGACACAGGCCCCAGTGGCCTTTCTCTCATACCTATAATGCAATACATATTCTCCCTATTTCACATGAGCAATGCTCAACCTGTCATCTGGTTCTTACAGCAACCTTGTGAGTCAGAAAAGGACAAATAACCATAGTCAACCCCTGCATCATGCTCAAAACCTGTAACCATGTTATTACATCATATTAAGTACAATTTCCTTCATGTATTTCCTCTTTGTCTCTCAGTAACAACTACAGATTTAGATTTTTCTGCCAACCATATGTTTCCCAAGCTGGGATTTTATCATGTAGTTAATCATGCTATCACCATCAGCAAAACCTTGACAATGACTGCGGGAAGGAAAGCATTTCCAGAACGTTCCCTTAGCCAAACCTGATCAGAAGAGCATGACCGATAAGACATTCAGCAGAGGTACAAGTGTAGGCAGATGAAAATGCAAATGGCGAATGGTGATTAATGCTAGAGCTTCCACTTGCAAAGAGTTTGAGATACACTGATTAATTACTTCACAGTGGCAAGATAAGGATTGAGCAAATACGTACAGGAGAAAACTTGAATGACTTGCCCAAGAACACATAATGCCATCAGGGTCCAAAACACAGTCTAGATTTCAAAGCTTGTACCCAAATTATTGAAATTAGATTTTAAGGAAAACTGACTGAAATTCTTGGATTCTTAAACATCTTTTTAATGCCTCAGAAAAGGTAATGCCTGCCACACATATCCTTCTCACTAAAGACAAAAAAAATGGTTGGGTTGGTTTGGGTTTTGTGGTTTGGTTTTTTTTTTTTTTCCAGAAAACAAATTTTCTGCTAAGAAAATACTCTTGCTGAAAATTTTTCAAACATGTCTGCCAGACAGACTATAAACAAATCCTTGTGAAGCTCAAGTTCTGAATTTGATGCATCTCAAGGGGGTAAAGATATGATGTTCATCTATTCTTGAGACCAGAACACAAGGAAATAAGGCAGTATGATGTGGCACAGATGCTAACAGGCTTCATGAAGAAAGACCACACAATTCACCATGGTAAGAAGTGACTGTGTGCAGTTCATTCCTGACACAATTAATTGAAATATAAGCAGAGGACCTGCTGGAGTACATAAATGCATGTGCATGGTTTGCAGATGAAATTGCAGACTGCCTGGTCTGATCACATATTGGTTGATGCAAATCACCACTTAGGCATTTGAACATCTGGGTTTTGTCAAATAAAAAGACAGCACATACAACTATAAGCCCACAAAGCGTGTGTTTCTGCATATTAAAGCAGGTCTTTAATCTGTAAGAAACCCAGAACTTTACATCTTTTAAGGTGTTCTCACTTGGTCAAATGAGTCAAATCCCTTTTTCAATATGACACAGTAAATATCACCAAGTAGTTTGATCATCTGCCATTTCTAGAGTAAAAAACGTTAAGACAGAAATAGTAAACAAAACATTCAGTAAATTATTGCAGATTTTTTAAAGCTGAAAAAGGAAGAAGATAAATAAGCACAGTAGTATTACATTGCAGAAGATACAGGAGTAACCCAGAATACCACAAGTGAGTGCAGCAGAGGTTTGTTCCCTAAAAGTAATCATTCATTCAAAAATACTGTTGTTAAGCACAACTTCCACATGTTCCAACCATGTTCTTCCTGCCAGAAACCACCAAATCCAACCTCAGATAAGAAGATAGAGTTTTCCTTTACTCTTGACCTATTACATTAGTTTAAATCTCAAAATATGTAGTAGCATAATTAAAATTTACAGCTGGCTTCCTTAAAAACTATGATGTGCTGCATGAAATTCTGAGTGAGCCAGAAGAAATTTAGTTTTGATTGATGTTCAGCAAGATTTTGGTGAAGATATTGTGGACTTTTCTTCTTTGTTTTACATATCACCAGTTTATTCTTATGGTACTTCAATTTTAATTTTCTCATTCTCTTTGTCTTTATTTGGTCTTTTTCTTTCATGCCTTTCCACGTTCTTCACACAGACATTTCACCATTCAAATTTCACCATGAAAGTGACTCAGTGGCATAATTGTATTTTGAAAGGCACCTGAACAAGCCCCAGTGCACCCAAAAGAGTGGGTTGTGGAACAGAAGCTGTGAGGAAGCTCCTCAATGAACTGAAAATTTTAAATTTCAGATTTAAACCAGTCTCTCCCCGAGGTGAGTCAGTGCCATATCTATAGAGTGAACAAACTGTTCTTTCTACCTACTGCAAGTCTCATTCCCCACTGAGGATTTTCATTTTGTATTTGCTGCCACACTGGTTCAACAAGCTGATGCCCACTAGTCTGCAGAGGCAGAGAAGGGGAATCTGGCTATCAACAAACTCTGTTGTCTTCCCTACTGCAGAGATATGTTCTGTCTTGGTCTGTTCTCACTATTAACTCTAGTTCTGTGATCTGGCTATGACATTTTTGTCTTGCAGTCTCTATTCCAGGTATCTTTTTCTCACTTCCCCTCACTATCCCTCGTTTAGACTCCTTTAAAACTCTCACAGTAGCGCTCTGTTTAAATTTTTCTGAATTTTAAATTGTTCCATTCTCCAGGTTAAATAAATTCCCAGACATACTGGATTTTATCATCCCTTCTTGCATATTTATAAATTCTGCAGAAGTAACAGAATGTTTCTGCTTGTATTTCTGGTATTTTCATAGGCTTTCTAACTCCTGCTGATTCTGCATTTGTATCACCAGTCCTCTCCTTTCTTCTGTTTTTTAGGGAATACTCAGGTTTCTTACTCAGAAGTACAAGAGCAGCAGGCCTCTGATCATCAGGTAAGTCTGATGTCACAAGGGTAAGAAATACATCTTGTACAGCGCAGTATGAAAGCCTGAGATCGAATGTACCACTTTGCTTGGGTTAGCATCTTCACACTTAAGAGCAGAAACACTTCAGTATCACAGTAAGAATAACTCTTGCAAACTTGCAGCACATATAATTTTGTTCCTACACAATTTAAGAACAGTAACAATAACCAAATATTTTCATTACTTTAAAGAACTATAAGAAAGATCCAACAATAGTAGAAGTACTCACACAAATCTGCCTTCCGGACATTCCTCACTCTTAGTATTTTTACAGTGAGCAAGTTGAATGGAGATACTGGTCTCTGAACAGCAATTAAAAAGAAAAATAAAGAAGAAGAAAGATGATACTGAGATTAATATTATGATCTATCATCACAGATTACTGTAACCTTGAAGTTCTAAGGACATAGATAAAACAAGGTTTTTAAGTTTGAGCCAATATCATTTATCAAAATAACTGGAGCAGCTGGAAAATTTACACACATTTTTGGCGCAGAACCCTTTTCACACCTGAAACAGAAGCAGCAGATTTCAAAACCACATGAGTTGAGAACAGGTTCTGAGACTTTGATTTGATAAAGATCAGTTCTTTCTAACGGCGCTCCGTTACCACCTCAGTAAACACCCTACAGTGCACACATGGGTGTCCTCATCCCTCACACACCTATGCCTGCAATCGAACAGACTGTGTCTGGGACGCGGTAGCTGTGCAAGGAGAGCTAAGCAACCACCATGCACTAGCTCACACACCAGAAAAAGCTCCTGCGTACAGCCTAAAAGGCCATAAATGCAGCTGACAGTGACAAAATTCTTCTCATGAAGACTGATCCATCTCTTATCTTCAGCCCTGATCCCCAGCAGAAGGCTACAAAACTTTCCCAAGATGATCTTGGGAATTAACTCACAACTCCACTAGATATCAGACACCTTGAGCTCAGAGATATTCTATAACATAGAATTATTCTATAATATTCTATTTATTCTATAATACCTCGTAACTTACATGGCTCACACCAATATACCTTCATCCATCTCTTATCTTCAGCCCTGATCCCCAGCAGAAGGCTACAAAACTTTCCCAAGATGATCTTGGGAATTAACTCACAACTCCACTAGATATCAGACACCTTGAGCTCAGAGATATTCTATAACATAGAATTATTCTATAATATTCTATTTATTCTATAATACCTCGTAACTTACATGGCTCACACCAATATACCTTCATCTTCCTCAGGCTATAAATTAACTCTTTTTTCCCCGTTTCAGCTTGGACATAACTACCTAACATCTTTCTCTCCTCTCCCACACTAACATCTCCTCTGTTTCATAGGCACCATCTTTCCTTTTAAAACCAGTGTGTGTGGAGATCTCATTTCTCTCAACACTTGCTTCAAATTGGTATTTTGCTTTGAGTGTACTGATTCTGTTTTAGAACAGAAACAGGTGGCTTTTGCCCAAAAACTTGTCTGATCTTTTATCTATAGCAGTTGATAAGAACAAATATTAACTCTACCCATAAACGATCTCAATCCTGTATTCACAGACATACTACACCCTAATGAAGTTAACACAATGTCCTAACAAAGACATGGATTTTATTACTTTCCTGAAGTGCCCCTACTAATCATAAGCAGCAAAAGGAAAAACAATGTACTAATATTAACTAATAAAATGTACTGTACTACTATTTCCTTCATACATTCCACATGTTTTGATGGACATTTGTCTTTCCAGCTGTTTCACAATGCTTTGACACTGTTAAGCAACTGGGACCATGATCTGACATTGGACACTAAACACAATGTAATGAAGCAGGTCCTTGTCCTCATCAATGAAAACCTCAGCACCTCTGAAAACGCAGCAGAGATGAAGAACAACCTCCAAGAAACAGCCTGGGGAATCCCTGTCATATCCTCTTGCACTTCCCTTTGCGTAGGCAAGGAGCCTGAAGATGCAGAGTTCAAGGTCAGTGAGACAGCAGCAGGAGGGTTGAAGCAGTCAGAGGTATCGGCACAATTGTTCTGCACTATCTTAACCTGTCCAGACTTTAGCACAGGCCACAGTTTTATGGTGCACAGTTTGCAAGCACTTGAATTGTCAGCTGTGGGACATTTCAGCTGTCTCAAAGAGTATATCACACCCCTACGTGTTCCATTATCCCAAACATGGCTGCAAAGGAGAACTTGGACAGATGCACCCTGAGAGAAAAAAACTTGTCCTTTTGGGGGAAAAAAAACCCAAATAGATTAATCTCCAGTCAAATGCGTCATGCACAGTGTGTATGGTTCAACTGCCAGAACTGCTTTCCTATATGCATTAAATAGAACTGGATAAAACACAGAAGCAGTCCTAGGCACATGAACAAAGAGCCAAGGCTTGTCTATCCCTGTCAAACCTACTGACATATTTGTTACGTTTATGCTTGGTCCTTGTGCTCCTACCCAATTGACATGGTTTAGCCCCAGTCAGCAACTAAGCACCACACAGCCACTCGCCTCCCCTTCCCACCCCCCAGTGGGAGGGAAGGAATCGGAGCAAAAAGACAGGAGAACATGTGGGTTAAGAACAGTTCAATAATCAAAAAATAAATGAAATAAAATGATACTAATACTATTACTACTAATAATATGTAATGAAAATACGACCACTAATAATAAGTAATGAACAAAGGAAAAACAAAAAAAGAGATACAACCGCTCACCACCATCCAACCAACACCCAGCCAGTCCCTGAGCAGCGATTGCCCCTCCTGGCCAACTCCCCCAACTTTATGTAACAAGCATGATGTTTGATGGCATGAAATATCCCTTTGGTCAGCTGTCCAGGCTGTGTCTCCTCCCAGGTTCTCGTAAAAATAAAAAAAAAATAATAAAAAAAAGCTTTACAAGCTTCTTGTAAAGAAAAAGCTGGGAGGACAGAAGCAGTATGACAAACTGAAAGTCTTTAATAAAAATATTGCTTGACAAGAACTAAAGCCATCAGTATGTTGTCAACATTCTTCTCAACACAAACCCAAAACATAGCTTCATACTAGCTACTGTGAAAAAAATAACTCTATCCCTGCCAAAACCAGCATACCAACAAATCCTAAATATTTTTGTCCTCAGCAGCATTCTGCCAGCAGCGGAAGTGGAGCATATCTACACCCAGGAGGGATGGGACTTGCATCCCTTGAATACAGAAGAACGGACTTGAGCAGAAGTTCCCCATCCCAGGGAAGTGCTATAACCACTAGGCTGGACAACATTTTTAAGGAATAACCTTTGCTCGGTTCTTTGAAAACAAGCATCTAGACCTCTGTGCATCTCAAGTGAACGGTGGTACCTCCCCGCAGCCCTAAGTGGCACACAGAGATAGGACCCAAGAAGGTGTTTCTGTACTCAGTTGTCCCTATTAGCAGGATGTACCTATTTATGCAGTTCCCTGCTCAGCTGTTATAATTCTCATTCTGGTGTATCTAACTCTCCAAACTTATCAAATCAATCCTCAGTCCTTCACAGTCCATTCCCATACTAGAGACTTGCAAGTCAGGCCTTATAGCTCCTAACATTTAGGTGGATGAATGCTTTGTCAAGCCTACCTGTCAGCAACTTACTCCATGTCATACACAAAAACCATCAAGGGCGTATCTTAAACTGGATAATCTGCTAGTAATAGGCAACAACTTCCACATCTTTCCCTTTAATGTGATGCTGACCATAATGCAGACTGGGTAAGTTCTGAGGCCAGAAGCACCCCAAGTCAGTTATTACGCACACTTCGACTTTCAGCTTCTGTATTTATTTTGTCTGAGACATGATTGTTACCTCATAAACCGGAAACACAAGCCAGGCATTTTAATAATCACTGTTGAAACTACTTAAATACATGAGACTGCAAACGTACGACTTGGTCACACTATTCTACGTCAGATAAAAGTTCAATTAAGTCCTGTGGCACACTTGTGCAATCCTGACCAATCTAGTTCCAGGGAAGTCAATAGGAGTGTTCCCATATGTGAGTATTTGTCCATATGAATAAAAGTTCCATAACTGGGTTCTAAAACTGCTCTGCTTCAGTAAAATTCCATGTTTAAAAAAAACCTCTATAGTGGGTTTGGGATTTTGGTTTTTTTTTTTTTTTTTGAGAAGACTAGAGTAAAACACATACAACTTTCCAAAGTTACAAGAGAAAAAGCAGTTATCAAAGTAAAACAGCACATCAGATCTGTTTGGAGAAGAACACTCTTCCCTTAGCTTTCTCTTCAAAAGGGAATAGAAGTCTCACCACTACCTTAAAAACTGGGAAGACCAACAAATAAAACACTCAGTCCTGTCAGAAAGAGTGGCAGGTCTTTAAAACACAGATCATTGCCTTGCTTCTGACCTGGGTCAGCTATGCGGCACCTTTTAACTTCAAAGAGTTCTGGAGCCTCAAGGGCAGGTAGGATCTCATTATGTTACTACCTTTACCACCTCAGGCAAGGTCAAATGCATAAGAAACACTTTTCTTTGCACTACATGTTTTGTATTTATTTCACTCATTTTAAAATATCCCATAGTTGGGTCATATTAAGTCAGTAGAAGTCACTGAGGTTGTTTGAGAATAAAAAGAAATGGAGCAGCAGTGACTCAAGGCCTGATTCCTTCCAAGAGCTATGTAAAACTTGTGTGGCTTTAGACTGCCATTTTCATGTGATTTTCCTTCTTTCCTGTTTGCAGCTCCACAGCTGGGTTTGCATGTTAGGATAAATCCAAATCTTGGAAGAGAAACTAAGCCAAGCATTTCCACAGTTTAACAGCTTTTTCTCAAGACCACGCTTGCTTAGAATCACAGAATGGTTTGGGTTGGAAGGGACCTTACAGACCATCTAGTTCCAACCCCCCTGCCATGGGCAGGGACACCTTGCACTAGACCAGGTTGCTCAAAGCCACATCCAGCCTGGCCTTGAAGACATCCAGGGAGGGGGCATCCACAGCTTTTCTGGGCAACCTGTTCCAGTGCCTCACCACCCTCCCCGGGAAGAACTTCTTCCTGATATCTAATCTAAACCTCCCCACTTTCAATTTAAACCCGTTACCCCTTGTCCTGTCACTACAGGCCCTTGTAAAAAGTCTCCCCCAGCTTCCTTGTAGCCCCTTCAGGCACTGGAAGGTGCTATAAGGTCTCCCCGGAGCCTTCTCTTCTCCAGGCTTTGTTCAGGCCCAACTCTCTCAGCCTGTCCCCATAGCAGAGGTGCTCCAGCCCTCTGAGCATCTTCGTGGCCTCCTCTGGACTCGCTCCAACCAGTCTGTATCCTTCTGATGTTGAGGGCCCCAGAGCTGGACCCAGTATTGCAGGTGGGGTCTCTCATATTATTTTGACATGTTACAATAATTGGAGTAATTTAAAAATTATTACTTTTTTGCCTGTCAGTTTAAGGGCACTACTAGCATTTTCTTGCCAAATATTTTACATATTCCCTTTAATTTAAATGGCCACTCAAGTTTAAATCACATGCATTCCATGGGTTGCCCTGAAACTGCCTCTGATAATGAAAGCTGACTTCCTTAACTGAGCCATTGAGTAACAAAACCCAGCTCAGATATATTATGCTTATATATGTATTATCATAGATACCAACTTTCATGGAGAACAAAAGGTTCAGATCCTTCCAGATTTTTGCCTCTGTGAGCCCTGAAGAGTCAAGGCAGAAAGAAGGGGTTCTGGGTCCTACTCTGAACTGTATGTACTATATTCAGGTCAGTTCTGCCACCCCAGATACCTTAAGCCAAGAGGCACAATCTAAAGCCAGTGAACTGTACAGGTGTCACAGCTGAAGACCTACTAACAATGTAAAAAGCATAAAGGATTATAAAACAAACAAAAAAACCCAGCTTGATCTTCCAAACATAGGCTAAGTTTAAAGGATGGAAAGTAGCAAAGTTCATGACCCCAGCATACTACTTCAGGGCTCCAAGACTGTACACAGAGGCCTAAACATCATTTTAAAAGCTACTTTTTGAAGAAACTCTTCAAAGCCTTTGCTTTACCACAGCGTTTCACTTTGAACAAAGAAGGTAAGTGGCTCTCAGGCGCAAACGAGCATCAGATACTATCACCAGAAGCAAGCCTTCATGAGACAAAATTGACCACCGTTGGGGAGAATCTCTGTGTCACTGCAATCCCCCACATCGAACCAAAGCCCAAGACAAACTAGGCTGGGAAACCCCCGACGTCACCGAAGCTGGGACACAAGCCCATCTTTCCAACGACAGAACCCCAGAGAGTTACAAAAGATACTGGCAGCACCAAACCCATTGCAAGTGTCTGAAGACAGCCCCATCCTGTTGCCACTGCCGTTGTTCCTATTTGCTGGCTCATAGCAGTTTATCTGATATATTTTCCTTTATGTTAATTCCTGTTAATTGCCCAGGGAGGCTTCAATTGCCTATGCAAAGAATTCACCCTCAGCTCAGCCTTTTCAAAACACCTTGTTGCCCTATTTTTGCATTCCGAGTTTGGGCACTGTTCCCACTCCTACCAAGCTGATGAGATCAGGCTTGTCAGAAGGCTGAACGCACATATTTATTCCACAGTTTTACCCATTCTGATGCTGTGTTTTTAAACACCATGTTACACAGAGGACTGCAAGCTCTATGACAATTCATTACAGCACAAAGAAAGACTGCAAGGCATACTAGAGCACTAAGAACAACTGAAAGACCTGTTTAAACAAAGCCTTCTTGCAAAGGAATAACATATAAAATGAGTGGGTGTTTCATCCAAAGAAATCAAAACACAAAAAAAGGGAGGAATCAAAGATTTAATATAGGTGAAGTACAAATCAGTCCAGGTACCACGGCAACACCTACTCACAGAATCACAAGCATCAGACGCCAGACTATTTAGAGTTTACTGAAAGACAAGGCAATATTTCATCTACAGTGTTGAAGTCGCACCTCAGCTTTTCAGTGCTCAGTAAATATTGCAGTACAGTTTTCCCCCGAGCCATTGAATTCCTAACATGTTTTCTTATGATCTACATTCAGCACTGGACAGCATTTAATGAAGGGCCGGCTAATTACTACCTACCGTTCTCACCGCTGGTGCTGAGGTGCTCGTAAAAGTCTAGGAAAAACAACACAAGGCAAAGTTAAGAAAACTAAGCTACACGTTAAACTCTTATTTTAGGCTGTAATAAACATCCCACGTTCAAAGACATACTTAGAGCTATGCTCAATAACACTTGTCAGGTGCTTTACTGACCACCAAACCCATCACAACTCTGTGCCAGCCTCTTATTTCCTTAACATGAAGCTTTATTTTAAGGAAGCACTATAAAAAACATTGTTAGCCCTAAAACATAGCTTGAAAATGCAGACATGCCGAAAGGTTCTGTAAAAGGCTAGACAAGCAACAGTGAGATATGAGGAACAGCAATCTCGCTTTCCATGGACTGCCCGTACACCTTAAACAGCTTGTTCTCCTCTGTGAACTGAACTGGAACATCCGTCAGTTTTACCCACTCAACCTTGCTATCAGCTTCTTTTGCTTACCTCATTTGAACTTAAATTTGATCCCATTGCAGCCCCAGTTGCATGTAAGTCCAATGTTAAAAGATCCGGAGTCTTAGAGCTGGCAGGAACTTCTCATGCAGATTAGGGGTGGAGGAATAGGGATTTTATGATGAGGTTCTCCCGCCCCACCCCTTTGTTATTTTCAGTCATTAGGCCGTCCCCTCCCTGCTTCCTGCAGCCTATTAGAGCACCTCAACTGAGTCAGCAGAAGGAAGAGCGAATTTTTTTCCACCTACTGTGATGTTCGATGGGGATGCTGAAGCCCCTTTCTGCCCAGGAATTGCTTTCTTGAAAACACTAGTGCTAATAAAATCTTTTACATTTATATAATTTCTAACACTCAAGCAAAGAGCTTGTGACTAACTCATCACAGCTCTCAGTATCTCTACACTGCCACCATCGTACTTCAGGGTAGTGGAGAGAGATTTCGACTGCTTCTTTCCAAACCATGAACTCAAATTCCTATAGCAGTCTTTCTGTAGCAGCACGCAGTTCTGCAAGGTAAGTGACCCCACTGCAGCACCACAACTCGGTGACTGCAGGACCCGTGCTCCCCTGAAGCTACTTTGGGCATCTCTGTTCTATGTTCAGTGATCTTGCCACATGCTCAGTATTCTTTGTCTGGATTTTTAGCATAACTAGAAAAAAACCCTGAATCCACGTCCAGAAATCTTGCAGTTTGATTTTAAATGCAATGAGAGGGAGGGGAGCAGTAGGTGAAACCTGTGGGTGGAAGGGTGAGGCAGGAGAGAGGGTTGTGCTCTCCTGCGTGGGCCCAGGGAGTGCAGCAGTTCACCCATCCTCAGAGCTAACTTCAAAGGGATCCTGCGTGTGCTGGCTCTCCCGATGGGCCCAAACACCGGGGCACAAAACCCTCCTTGATTCCTCTGGTGTGCAGTCACTCACCGCCTGTAAGAGCGGCATACTATAGTAGCCCTAAATTAACGTATATGTACAGCCTGCTAGATCCTGGAGCGTGCAAGACTAGACCCCATCTCTGCCACACTCCTTCCAGCCTCTCTGCGTGATGGCAGGAGGTGGCAAGTACTCACTCTTGCCTCATGAGATCCAAGTGATTATTTTTAAATCAATCTCATTCACACCGATGAATAGCTCACTTCATGCAGGTAAATACACAGTAAACTTGCAAACTGCAGTGGATGTCACCTAAACTCTCCCCTCTGTGCCATGGAGTCCACTATCAAAGAAATTCTGCACAGAGGAAGAAAGGAGGTGTTGTCCAAGCAATGTCATTAGAGCAAAAACCGATTTTTACACATAAGTCGCTTCCTTCTGTGTTGATGTCTGTGTGATGCACATGTGATGACTGTTCAGAAGGTCTTATCCAAAATATGCCGTGGTACTATCTGGTGGTTTCCATCTAAACCATTTAATAGCCTGCTGCTCGCGCCACAGTCACACTTTGCCCAGCCTTCGCAATAGATAGGGAATCAAAGGAAAATATGAAGCTGTAGTGTCTGAAATGCTCCTTGAAAGAACAATCAAAAGGTATTTCCAATGGACAAGACTACCTCTACAGCAAAGACAAAATACTTTCCATAACTTCTGTCTTTATTACCTTATATCTTTGTTAAATAATTATGAACAAATTTCTGTGGAACAGTCACAGATGAGAATCGCTTACTTGCACTCTCACAAAACTAGTATTTCCAGCTTTTGAAAGAAGAATGCTTTCCTGGAAAAATTCAAGTATTAAAATTTTAAGTGGGAATCTGCTTTCATTTAAAATGTCTGTAAAACATTCTCTATTAAAGGAAAGAGGGTGGATTATCCAGCTTAACTTCCCTGAGTTATCCCAGCAGATGTATATACATCTACGTACATTTATACCATCCCAGAACTTTCACAGCAAATACAAGACTCCCTGACATTAGATTCTCTTACCCACGTTGCTTTTAAGATCCATAAGTAAGTTACCACTTCACAATTTAGAACATTATTCCTGAGTCAGTGTATCTTGCCTGCAGAATGGTTTCCTCATGTTTTCCCTTTCTCAAAATAACGTCATCACTGCCATACCCAAAATACATTCCCAAATAATTTCTTCCTCTCCTGCTCATGATGACCATTAATTTTGTAGCTGACATTGTCTTCCCTTAATCACTGTTCATCCAAGCCACACAAAAAGGCTTTGAAATACAGAATCTTTAAAAGGCTGTGCCAGTCAAGTATTATGATCTCAACAGTTTTTCATTCATGCAGTAAGCTCATGATAGTGAGTTCATGACAGAACTAAGCACTGAATGCTCATAACACCCATAAGTCCTTGTCATCACTAAAAAAGCTTTACCTCTTGATGGCTTATTCATTGGTGTCTAAGGACTACACAATTGGCTTCAAAATAAATTATGACTTTGTAGTTCGTCCCACAGGTGTTTTAGAGGTCTCTAGGATTATGATTTCAAAGAGATTACTACTTCAAAGGTTAAGTATCACTGTTGGGGTCTTTGCATTTTTTCTTAGTTCTTCTACAATTCAAGGAGAATTTCAAAAGACAACCATCAAGCATACAGGAAGTAAATTCACCCAAAATCTGAAGAGCCATACATTGGCTTTTTTTAGTAATCACATTTCCAGAGTAAATAATTTTAAACTGGTAGTGATCTTCATATACATGCCACTTACACTCTCACTTCGCTTTTTAAAACTAGAGATGGTGTTCCTGATGAGGTCTGTTTAAAGCTCTGAGCTTGATGTCTGTGTGATGCACATGTGATGACTGTTCAGAAGGTCTTATCCAAAATATGCCGTGGTACTATCTGGTGGTTTCCATCTAAACCATTTAATAGCCTGCTGCTCGCGCCACAGTCACACTTTGCCCAGCCTTCGCAATAGATAGGGAATCAAAGGAAAATGGCTCATAAATATGAAACTTCACTTTCTTACAAGGAAAGTAAAAAGGAAGATAAAGTTTTCCTCTGCTCTCCATCCACTTTGTAATGCACATTTACGAAGTAGGTGCTTTTGTATCTGTGTCTTACTTAAGGCAAAGGGGAGCAAACATAAATATCTTGCTGATCTGAAGCAGTGAAAATTCATCTAAACTATCCTGTTGCAAGGACTAGTTTCCCCAACATGATATTCAGATAATTGTATATCTAAGTGCAATAGGTTGTATGTAGCAATAACAGCTGCATCCAATATGCCACAATTATCTTATATACCACTTTGTCACCTTCTGATAATGCAGGAGTATTGAAAGGTATGATTAATGGAGGAGTTCATAGCGTTGCAAGAGAAAAGTGTCCTTGTACTACCTTTGGGATGACACTGGCAGTTGGTCATCATTTAAACACCTCGAACGTAACAAGAAGGGTAAATATCCAAAAACATGCTAGAGGTGCTACAAAAGGATAGCCCAATATCACATTAGAAAGCAAATACTCAGAATTAACAAATAAAGCAAATTAACATATAAACATATATATTTATATTAACATATAAACATATATAGTATCAGATCTATAGCTGGGAATTTTCCCTGGCTCTAGCTTTTCAGTTTGTTCTTTTTGGGTTTGTTTTGGGTTTTTTAAGTGATTTTGTAAGCTACAAAACCCCCAGAGACCTCATTCTGCCAACCAAACAAGAGAGAAAGCAGTCCAAGCCAAATCCCAGTTACACAATGAACCTAAGCTCAGTAATCTCTGCACAGAAGATGATTTACCATGGATGAAAAGTATCACTTCCTTCCCCATAGTATCCGATTTCAGTCTCTGAAAAATCCAGCTTTCACTAGACACTTTTTGGCCTACCACCAACTTAAAGGAATGGTCCAGTATGAAAAAAAACATATAACTTGCACATTAATATGTTGGTATTTTGTTTTCATGTTATACATACAACACCTTCAATATTCTACAATATCCTTGAAGTTTTATATCAGATATGGTAAAAAAAAAAAAATTCAACCAACCACATAAAATGCAGAAAAGGACTTCCTGAGAACGCATTCTTGGAGAAGGTGACAGGGGGCAGAGATTAGAGAAAAATATCTGAAAACTTTTGTATCATCTATTTGTAAGCAGGAAAGACCCTTGATCTGATTCTGAATTTAATATTCCTGAGAATGAAAGGTGTAAAATCAGTCACTGGAGAGAGATCACACTAGCTGATTGGGGCAAGGGGGGAATTATATTTTAACTTAAGGCACTATCCTGATTATGACATATATGAAGGAAGACTTCTGCTTCCAAAAGACTATTGAGAAACCTGATTAAAATGATTCCACATGCCTTTCATATGTTTTGGAGAGATAAAATCTCGCTCCTCCTATTCTCTCACTGGAAGCAATCGCACAATTTTGCCATCCAAATACCATCAGTAAAGTTTTGGCCCAGCTGTTCCCAATATATGCAATCCTGCCTTCGGTTTTGTTGCAACAGAATTTCAGATCCAATCCTTGTCTCAAGAAGCAGTGGCTCACAACCATTATCTCTGCCTCTCGCTGTGCTCCGCAGATCTGAGCATCCAGCAGCATCTCTCTGCCTTTGCAGGAACAGTCTGAGGTCTCACGACCTTTCTAGGTTCATTCAACACTTCAGACACTGTTCATGCAGCTTTTTCTCTTCCCTAACCCCATCAGACCACAGACGTGAGGAATACCAGCACCAGTCTGTGTCAGCTAATTAGCCAGTAATTCCTTTGGCGTAAATGCAGCAAGACACATAACCCAAGACCTTTACAGGCAAATCCAGAGCCAATTTGAATCTGAACCAATTCTCGGAATATCAGGAAGTCACCTTGTTTCTCCAGCTAATTAAGGGGGTAACTTAGTCTACAGTCAGACTGAGAGATGTTTCAGTCCTAACAAAAGCTATAAAGATTCACGGCTAATTGCTTACAGGATCATGCCATTACATTTAGCAGAGCTTGTGTGACAGGTCACAAACAGGTGTTTTCAAAAAAAGAAATTGTTGCTGACCTACCTGGATCTTAAATAGAACAATTACACCAATGCTGAATCACTGTGAAAAATCTAGGCACCAAGGTGACAGTACCGAGCTTGGTGAGCCCAAGCAAAGCATTACCCTTGTGCGGCGTTAGATCCTTGGAGCCAGGTCCCAACTCGAATACCAGAATTTGTCTGACTTTCCTTCCAGTCAAACCATTGAGCTGCTAAGCTAGACAATTTAAGCAGCTTAAAATTTTTCAGTGACTTGCCCAACAGGCTCAGATTTCTTAAAACGGGCTCCCTTTCCTCAGCCCATCCTAAGACATCTTAATTTTCTGGGTATGCTGCCAAAAAATACACATCATCACCACACCTTGGGTGAGTAAAGCCAAAGGCCTAGTGGCAAGTGTTGCAACCACCAGAAAACAGTCGGTGGAACACACGAGGCACAAACTGCACCGCCTCTGCCACATCTTCCTGGAGCTGTCAAAAACGAATCTTGAAAATCTTTAAAATACTTAGAAGATAATTAGGGGAAGAAAAAAAAAAAAAACAAACAACACATTTTAAACAATAATGAAATGGGGTTTTAAAAATAAACTTATGAGCACAACTGAGCTGTCAGAGTGACATCTTCCTTTTCTTTTTTGCTCACAGGAAACTACTGCCAGAGAGACACAAGCCCAAATTATTGTAACCAGGGGCAAGAAAAGAAGATTAAAAAACTGGCTTTCTTGATATGGCTGCAGAGTTGAAAAACAAAGATTTATCAGTAACTAAGAAAAAGAAGAGTTGTTGGACTTGACCAACTTAGATCCGTGAAAATGAGATGCAAAGGTCATTGCCAACAGTTTCCTCTTATGAAGGGAAACTTTATTAGCTAAGATTCACATTGTAGCCAAGCCTGACAGGAGATATCTCCAGTAGATTGAACTGATGCACAGAAAAAGAAGTGTCTTAGAGGTAACAAAGTATGATGTTATCTCTTACTTAGCACACAGAGATCTGTAAGATGGGATGACAGAGCCCATTACCTTCTGCCCATGGCACATGAGAGGGAGACACAAGATGACATATGTATGCCCAGAAAGCAGTCATACTGCTGGCCCACAGATGGATGCACTTTCTTTTTTTTTTAATATATATATACTTACATCAGTGTAATGAATGAGATGAATACAAAGGGGAAAAGACTGATGAAAATGTAGACATACATACAGTGCTAGCCAAGTGCTGCACTCTCTGTTATTGAATAAATACTTCCGTGTTTGCAAATAGCACTGTTTGGACTTAAAAACATTATCATCCCAGCCACGTGCACTGTTAAAAGCAGAATTTCCTTCCACTTTTCATCTTCCACTGTTGAAGTGGCAGCTTTTCTTTCATCCTTCCTCAAAGTTATTAGCAAAGCCCACGGATGCCTTTGTTCCCTCAATATTTGATTTCTCAATATCAGAAGTAAGAAGCATTTTTTTTCCCAGATCAAGTCAGTTGTTGAGCCCAGTCCATAGAATTTAATTTAAAAAAAAAAAAAAAAAACAACCCACCATACTTCAGTGATTGCATCTAGGACTCTTGTTTTTAATAAGATTATGCATGAGTACTTAGCATTTGAACAGTAGATATTACACTGTAGGTATATTGATATAGACAAGAGAAAATAAGATCTAAGAATGGTCAGTTAAATATATTTTCTTAAATGAGCATTTATGTAAAACAAGTGTGAAAATCTTGTGAACACTCCCCTGTGTTTTGGATGTCAGTGAGAATAAAACTATAGCAGCACTAACAAAGTGACCATCATGACATTGCAGAAATCAAAGGAGTTGGTACCACAAATTTTTTTGCCATCATGAACATCTGTTAGCTCACAGCACATTAATAAATGAAGACATGGTTAGGGCCAAAGACTAGGCTGTTAAAACTGTTTTCCCAAAACCACTAAGTCTGGCATTTGAAACTGCTATCCTCAACTTCAAAATCTGCTTGGTAGGCAAGAGTTCAGACAGAAGTTCAGGAAAATGGATACAGACAGATGATTTTTATCAGTTGACAGAAAAATCAGGTTGTTTTATGTCGATCACTCTGGGGTAGTGCAATGAAAATGCAGACTCAGTGCAAAGACAGCCAAGCAGGTAAATTCACTGAAGGTTAGACTTCTGCCTAATAGATGGATACTGAGAAAACAGAAGACATCGTCTGCAGTTCCATTCCTCATTTATCAGCCTTCCTTTTGCTGGTGCAATCATTTTTGGTACCTGGTCACAAGCAGAGATCTGTGAACATGGCAAGACTTTGCCTGATCTTTGCTTTTGGTCTCTGGTTCAAAGACCACATTTTCATCCAAACCTGGCACAGCCTTTGGTGAGGTTGAAGTCTCATTCTTCTATGGCTGTATATTCAAATAGGACCCTATAGTTCTACAGCTGCCCTTGCATTCCCTGAAAGTAAAGAGAATTTTTAAAAGTAATCATGATTTGCCAATTACTTTAATGCCAGAACCAGCATTTAGTCCTCACACACAGTACTGAATAAAATATATAGACTGGTTGATAATGATATAATATTAATGATAATGACCGGTTGATAATACTATAATGACATAGATCAGTTGGAGAGAGTCCCGAGGAGGCCACGAAGATGCTCAGAGGGCTGGAGCACCTCTGCTATGGGGACAGGCTGAGAGAGTTGGGCTTGTTCAGCCTGGAGAAGGGAAGGCCTTATTACAGCCTTCCAGTACCTGAAGGGGCCTAAAAGGAAGCTGGGGGGGACTCTTTACAAGGGTCTGTAGTGACAGGACAAGGGGTAACAGCTTTAAATTGAAAGTGGGGAGGTTTAGATTAGATATCCAAAAGAAAGTCTTCCTGGAGAGGGTGGTGAGGCACTGGCACAGAGAAGCTGTGGATGCCCCATCCCTGGCAGTGTTCAAGGCCAGGCTGGATGTGGCTCTGAGCAACCTGGTCTAGTGGAAGGTGTCCCTGCCCATGGCAGGGGGGTTGGAACTGGATGGGCTTTAAGGTCCCTTCCAGCCCAAATGATTCTATGATTCTATTCTATAATTCTATAAAGACATAATTTTCTTTGTAACAAGCTATCATGAACGTTCATTCTGTATGGATTCATGTTCCCTGAATATTTATTAGTCCATAACCAAAACATTTGTGTATGTCCTTCTAAGAGATTCATCAAAATATACTTTAAGACAGTTTAGACTTAGTTGATGGACAGTTTTTAAATCGCTTCTTTCGTTCCACTGCGGTTCGCAAAGCCTGAAGAATTAAATGTTTATTGTTCAGGATGTTGTAGCTGCACAGGTTCAGCAACTTGTTGAAATTCTCTTCAGTATATGTAAGCAGACCAGTGCCATAGGGACCAACACAGTTGGACACATCTACTCTTCCCTGCTCCATCTCTGTGGAACTGCGCTCCACATCTGAAGTAAGAACATAGCAAAGTTCAACACAGCAATGTAAATGAGTTGGAAGACTCCTGCCAGGCAATGCAAAACACACAGAACCAACCACAAGAAACTGAATTATCTCAGGAAAATGGTTCAAGACATAATTACTGCATAGATACTATATCTGCTGCACTAATAAATCCACTACTTTGTTATTTGACTACAGTCACAGTTGATCCAGAACTGACTGGTAGAACAACTTTTCCATGCAAAATGCTTTCCTCTTTAATTTAAAGTTGCCCATCAGAATATTTCACTTTTGCAGATTTGGAACATGGTGTTTTTAACTTTTCCATTGGGTACTAAGATGACAGCTCCTTATCTATCAACTGGTAGAAAACAATACCAGGACGCTCCTGGAGTGGGAATTCTCACTCTTAGGTGGCTGAGATTTTAAGCACGTGCAGCAGGACAAATACAATGATGAACTGCATGAGGTTTTTTTCCAATAAACTGGCACAAGGATTTTGGTTCAGTTTTTGAGGAAAGTTTCCTGGATCATACTAAACTAGCAACAAGAAAACTGGAGTTGATGAATGCAAAACTATTTGTAAACTAAAACTGAATTTGCAAAGTAGGTTTTTTTCTGGTGAAACAAACAAAACACTATGTATTCTATTGCTGAAATAAATAATCTGGCAACTTTTCAAAAATTGCAGTTATCAAAGCAGGTTGTTACCCTAGCAAATCCTTTGCTTCATATGTTTCCAGCACTTTCTATTCTCAATTTTTAACATAAACAAAACAACAAGAGGATTCTAGCTTTGTTAACAAAATAAACATACCTCATTACGAGACTATTAAGTGACAGTGTTCACTACCAGTGGATATAACTTATTAGCTGCCTCCTGTCCTTTATTATCGAAGGAAAGAAAGCTGTCCCAGGTGGCAGATAAGGAGGTTTGCCCCAAGCTACAGCTATTCATGCTTTAAATTTCAAAACTCTTCAGTTCAATCCCTCACTAGTTAGCCAACACTACATCCATCAGAGCAGGACTGGGAATATGATAACTTAGCCAACTGAGAAGCTTGCCAGTCTCTTGTTTTAGAAGAGAAACAAATCCAGTGGATAAACTGGATGTGCCAACCTCAAAAAATGTTTGATTAATGCTGTTAACTTACTTGGTGCCTTGTATTTTTGGAAGGTATCACACACCAGTGGGAAATAGACCATGATTGGTGCCTCTAAGCTGTCCTCAAACACATAGCACTCCTTCAGGTGTTCTCGGTCTTCCTGGCTCAGCTGCGTGCCAGGGAATGGGATCCCATGCTCCAAACAGTATTTTGAGAACAGGTCCAGTGGCTGGTTCAACAAAGAGGAGATTTGTAAGACAAAGAGAGGTTGAGAGAAGGCTACCAAGCCCCATAACTGGTATTTTGCTGCACTAGGCAATCTGTGATTGACTTATATGCTTACAGATAAGGTAAATGATGCACTGGAACAAGCATACCCTCTTGATTTTAATATATCATTGATTTGCTAACTGCACATTTTTGAAGCAAGATTACTGTTTTCTAAAATACATATGAAATTCAGATAATTTTTGTGATCTAGTGGGCAGAGTAGAGGATTTGGATCAGGAAATTTTGATTACACATAGTATCTCAGTTCATAAGTTCTTGAGTGTTTGCGTTCAGTCCATCTAACAATCAATGTCTTCATGTCCTCCTACAAATAAATTACATTAATTTCAATCAAAGTTTCTTTAAGCACAGCAAAATAAAAACCTGACTGAAACGTATGCAAACACCAAGAGTCAAACATGAAAGAAAACCTCCAAATTTTCATTCAAAAATAGCAAAATTAAATAACTTCTACAATCTAATTAGTTAATTCATAACTAACAATTGAGGAACTTCGTACCACAATGACAAATGTGCACAGATAAATGCAGAACAGGTAATCTTTTGTGAGTCTGGTCCATGTGTGCATCCCTGAAAGCTACTGAAAATAGCCTCCATAAAGACAGTGACATTATGGTCACAGTGTTGACTAGTATCACTGATATCATTTAACTTAATAAAAAACAAACCATTTTCTAAAAAGAAAAAAAAAAAGAAAAGGAGAATTGTGTTAATTCAGCTGCTGGAGTCATATAGATAAAGAACCACTACTACAAAACATCACCAGAGCCTGTGATCCTCCGCTGTAATTTAGATGCAAAATGACATCCACTTTCCTCTCTGGCCTCAGAATGGGTGGGCAGCTGGTGTTGATGAAGAAAGCTGTATCTACCAGCTTGAGGTAGTCATCCATTTCATTCAGCTGGTTGGGAGAAGAATCAAGCACTGTGTCTGAAAGTCAAAAACTTATATTAACAGTTAATTACTTCAGAAGAAAGTCCTTTTTTTCCCCCCATATAAGCATAACAAGGAAAGCAAGAAAAGAAAACACAGCCCACACTTGTATTAGTCTTTGACACAAAGCCCACAGTTAAATATTTGTCTGACAATTTTAGCATCTATAGCTCAACCCTGAGATCAGTAAGAGGGAGCAGTTCTGAGACTCAGCTTCATCCAAAGTGATATATTAAGCTGCTTTTTCAACTGATGTAAATTTGTGACTATTCAGCTTCAGTGGAAGGTAAGTCATACTTTTGAAGCTTTTCCTAGGAAGAACAGAGTTCAAGGAAGCCTGCTGCGGCTTCTCCAAGACAGAAATAATATCAGCAGTAAATCATCTGGGGAGCAGCAAAACACATTCCACAGACATTAATCAAATAATACCCATCAAAATTTGCCTTTATGTAAAAACGCATCAAATATTTGTCCTCAGCAAATATCAGCACTCAAACTTTAAAGATGCATCTAAAACAATTTACTATTACCCTTCCACATGCAAAAGTTCTCATTCTCTGAATACTTGTTATGCAGCTGCAAGCCTTTGAGGAAATTATGGTAAGTTGAAACCACTGGCCGTCCTGTCATCATTTCTCGAAGAGTGTTGGAAAGGAAACCTTTGGGAATGGATAAGGAAGTTGCCTGTTCATGAGACTTCTTGGGCAGAGCAGGGTGTTCCTCTGAAGGAAGAATAAGAAGGGGGTATATGTCCACATGTGTTTAGAGTGTTTCTCTGATACTAATAACAACACATAAAGTGAGGTTGGGCAACCAAGCCACCACAGCCCCATCCACGGAGTGCACGCATCAACATGCAGACTGCTCTGGGCAGGAGTGGGTTTCAGCGTCACAGCATCACCTTGTTGTTCCCAGTCTGGCCTCTCCCTCCCCAAAGGTCTCATGGTAACCCTCTAGTGACTAACAAAATTCCCCAGGGATGTTGCACAGTAAGCAGCGCAATGTTTTTTCCTGTTTTCCAGCACAACTGTTTCTCCCAATTTTTTTCCTTCATTTCTAAAGGCTTGGTGTCTCCTAACCCAGAAACAGGACACAAAAACCAAACCCTTCACCAAATGTCAGGTTTCATATTTCAGAGAGGTGTGAAGACAATACAGATGTAAGTAAAAAGTAATCTACGTAACTAACCAATATCATGCTGAGTGCCTCGGGTCCATCTGTGCCAGAAGTCATCTGAATGACCCGAAAGGTAGACAGCGTCCATAAAATTCTGGGAAAATATATTACTCCATGTGCCTTGGGAAAAAATAGCCATACTTAATATTACTTCGGATTTTTAGAGCACAGCTATGACAACTTCATTGGATTCAGTCTTTGTGGTTCTTTAAATTAACACTGCTTTATGAAATACTATGAATTTGTGTATCGTATCATATGCCGTTCCATAAAATGTCTGACTTATGACTAGGCTATTTTAGAAAGCTGGGTATTTGTCAATTAATAATATATATTAAGTGGGTCAGACTGTGATTTTAAATACTTCAAAAGATCAGTTCCAATGTGCGTGTTCTGTTTTGATCTAGCCTAAGAAGGTCAGCAAATTAATTGCAGTTGTCTCAAGAATTTGTTTCCTTTTTGTCACTTTTGGCTGGTTCATTTAAGATTTAAATTGCACCAGATACATTATGTGATTGTAATGCTACTTGCAAACCAGTAGTTATTAGAAACCAACTCTGTAGAGTCAATTAGGTGTTTGTAAAGGTTGGGGTTTTTTTTCTGAGATAGTAAATCACCTTTCAAGAAGCAGATGCGGGACTCTGGTATCCTTTTCATCAGGTGACCCATGAAGTACTCGCTACCAAAATCCTCTGCACGAACAAAGGCCCCATATTTCAGAAAACCCACCTCATAAGGTGTGAACTCCATCCACTCTGCAAATGAGGCATCAAGAAGGACTTATGGCAGCCACCTGAACACATGTGAAAATAACAGCCTAGAGAACCAAAAGCTAGAAGAACAAGGCCTGTAGCTTCAGTATGTCGGTGACAGACAGTTCAAACCACCATGTTTTGAAACAAAGAGGTGCCCTTCAACCTATCACGTGTTAGATTGGTGAATGCAAAACTTGAATTCATCTCCTCAGCTAACACTGAAAATCCATTCTTCTTGGGGTTCAGGTACATTTCTGTAGAAGGAATCAAAAATTGTGGCTGAAAGATGACTGATTGCTACGGTCCTGTGCAAGAGGTGGCATTTGTAGTACTGAGTCAGCAATGACACCAGCTACCATTCATTCTTAGGCTCTGGCAATCACTGCCTTGTGAAGCTAAAAAAAACTGTGACCAAAACCCTCCCAAACGTGGGCTAAACACACAGAGACTGCAGATTGTGCCTAGAAGCAAGCGATCAGGTTCAGCTGCAGGACCTGCTTCAGAAAACACAAGGGAAGTAGTGATCAGCATCACTGATCAGGGGACAGAGCACTGCCCCTCCTCAGAGCACTCTCTGACTGCTGGAGGCTGCCTCCCACTCTCACCCCCCTCCACATCTTCCCTTCTCCTTGCCCTCCTCTCCCAGCCCTTCACAGATCTCTTAGACTACTGCTGCCTGGGCAGAAACCCCAGCAGCTGACAGAGGTTGTGAGGAGCAGATGAGGACAAGAGAAAGAGTGGTGACTCTCAAAGCTGCCACCAAAAGGCATCTCTGCCCCTCACAGGGCAGTCGGTGTCTTTGCACAGGTATCTCCCCTACCATAGCATTAGGATGCATGATTTTCATCCAAGTCAGAACCCAGATGTGAAGGCAGGGGAAAAAGAAATTATCCCAAAGATTTATTAGCTTGGACTTACAGTAAAAGCTTTTGGCATTCACCCAGCATTAGAAGGAAACTCCTCGGATTGATAGAAGTATGTATAATCATCATTACCTTTAAAATCCAGGGTGCTAAAGTCATCCTTGACATTGAGGGACAGGTATATGGGCAGTGGATTCTGCCCCTGATTTATTGCCAGTTGCTGATCAGAGAGTTTTTGAGTACTTTCCTGTTTATAAAGAAGATAAGTCATTGTAACAGATGAATGCGATGCACGGACTTAAAATGGTATCTAAACATGGACCATAAATGAAACATCTCCTGAACGCCAGCAGATTTTGTTCTGTGTACTTCAGGTTTTTAACCACACAAATGTGTTCATGCCTTATCTGTCATCAGCCTTCGCCAAAACACTATCACTGGTGCTTCTGGGAATTTTGGAATGGGGGACAGAGTGAAAAGGTGAGAAACTTGTCTGCACAGTCACTAGGATGTGACTTGCTTTAAGGACAGAGAAAGATACTCAGCTACCTTGGAGTTGCTGCAGATAAAAGCCAACCAGGGCCCATTTCATTCAATACAGCTTTGTTTGCTGGTATGGCTACATATTGCTATGCCTGAACTGAGCGCTATCAGAGCCACCTCTCCTCTGTATGTTACTAGAAAGCTCATTTGATCTGAAATTAAAGATGGAAAATCAGTTACATTAACACCTAGACTTGTTACACGCTAAGACATTTCCCCTAGATGCTTACATTTTAGGATTACTGTATTATTTTTCTTCTAAAAAGCCAAAGAAAAACCCCTCAGAAGTTTTGAGAGCCTTTCCTAAAACTGAATCCAGAAATCTAGACATGAAAAGTTGGAAATCCTCTGGAATAAAGGGATGGATATATAATACCTGATGATGTAGCATACAGTCAATGAAGAGTCCCCATAAATCTGTAAAGGACAGCTTATGCCCCTCTTGCTTTCTTTCACAAAGCTCTTTTTCATAGTATTTCATACGATCCAATGAGAAACAGTGTAGCTTGCTCTTGGTCACATGTTTCCTGATATCATCAATTGGCCCTCTGAGATCCTTCTGTGACCAATTTGCATCTTCATACAACTTAGCCATGGTCCTGGTAAAAAAAACCACCCATACTGTGGTTCATCACTGAGCACACGACAATCCATGGGCTTATATCACACATAAGTGATTGTTTCACGTGGCTCTCACCCTCCAACTTTTACCTTGGAAGAATTTAGACTGTATGATTATATTTTTTGCTTCAGGAATACATTCAAAACTCATCCTAGATTCAAGAGTAATAAAGCAACACCCATAACTTAACACAAGCTTTTACTAGAATTATACTTTGATTGTCCAGATTCAATCTGCAGCTTCTCAGCACTAATAGGTGCACCCCATCAGGGCCCATGGATTTGTGCATGTCAAGTTTGCCTAAATGATCTCTAACCTGATCCTCCTCAACCAAGGGAGGGTCTTCCTTTCTCCAGGCTCTCTCTCTCTCACCTCCAGGGCCTGGGATTCCTGAAGGCCAGACAGGAAGAAGCCCAGACCCCATAATGTATGAGAACTCATAACATATGGCATGGCAGAAAGGCACATAGCTAAGCCACAGAAGCTGCACTTGGGTTTGTGACCTACACTGAACTGCAGGGAGATACAACTAAACCATCCTTGCTTGTGCTCTTTTAGTTTCTGTAAACTCTTCAGTGCAATTATAGAAATACAGTAGTTTTCACACAGTTTGTTTCTTGTAGCCAGAAGAAACAAAGGATACAGCACTGAGCAATCCCATGAAGTCGGAGAGCACTAGAAGGAAGGCAAGTCCCAGCATCACAGAGTAAAATTCATCAGCAAGGTGATATGTTTCACCAGGTTATCACTTTGCTAATACAAATAGCAAGCACAAGCCCAATTCTTCTTACCATGTTGTGGCAGATAAACCGCTGATGTATGAGAGACAGTCCAAAACGCCTAACTCCTGTAGAGCCAGAAGACTGCCAAACATAGCTGTCATGGACCGTACGCCACCTGCTGTAGTCACAACGGCCACCACTGGCACCTACTCAACACAGAAAGGCACAGAGTCTCTCATCACCAAATGAAATAGAGAAGTGATGGGCATGCAGAAAAAGTAACAGCACCACACTGATGCAGGTAGGTTTGGACTCAATTCACTCTCTTCATGGCAGTGCTTGGGTGTGTGTTTGAGTTGTGTAAACTTTGGTGTGACTTAACTTATGCTGAAAGCATCTTCCTATTCAGTGATGCTGTGCTACACCAGAAGCTGTAAACGTGGCTCTCGCATGGCAGAATCTATTTTCAGATTTGTGAAGAGTCTTTGCTGGATTTTTTTCATTTTTCCTCATGTCATTCCCTCAAAACACATTTTAAAATCCTGAGTAAAACTGAGGTCAGAGGAGCGAGCATAGTTTTTACTTCCTCTAAGTTCATATACAACATTTACTACACTCCAGACAGATGGTGCCAAGCCTTATAGATTTATTTTAACATCCTCTTTGATACCCAAATTACCTCCCCCTTCCCTGACATCAATGTTACGTGCAATTTGGACTTCAGCCACACATCCTCCAGGATGCAGCAATTCTGTTAGCCATCCTCCCTTTGCCGCATAGGCTGTCCTTAACAAAAACTGAGACAACATATTTATTCAGTTTTAGGAACTTATCTTGCCATTACCCTTAATCTTGTCTTCATTGTATTTTACCATCTACTTTGTGGGATTTGGTGGGTTTTTTAAAATTAAATTAATGTGACTCAAAACCCCTTTATTCATATTTAATACTAAGTCCTATTCTACTTGTTATTTAAGTTCATGAGCACTTTGACTGGGTTGACAAATGCTGTCCTGCACATAGCATCAAGGGATGGGCATGCTGGGAGTTGAACAGAGAAGCAGAGGAAATCACACACACGCACAGTCCCAGTTGCTCAAGTGTGTCCCTGTCTTGCTCCAAGCACCACAGCCCCGTAACAGATTACTGTCCTCCAATAACAGAGCAGCTACTTCCAAGTCCGGGGATCCTCAGGAGAGGAAAAAGCAAGAGATAATGCACTGAAAAACATGCAGGACATGCTGCTGCACCAATGTGCTAAGGAGAGTCACAGCCTTCCTCTCTGAGCCTTGTGGAGCAGCAGATGAGGGGAGAGCTGCCAAACTGAGGAGAAATGGTCTCAGTCCAAGCAACCAAATTTCAACATGCTTGGTTATACATACGTTCACCCCAACAAATGCATCCTTTGGGTGCCCCTGAGTGAGAATGGAGGCTGACAGAGAATAAAGGAGCTATAACTGACCTCATGACGTCTCCTCTTTCATCCTCTGTGCCAGAAATTCTTGGACATGGTCTCAGGTGCAAGTGACAATCTGGCCTATGTATTTTAGTCTACAAGATGCGGAAGAGCTACACAGGTAGTCATGCAAGTACATCACATCCACTTTGTTCAAAGTGGGACAGAACAGACAGTTCCCAAGATGCTGTACCACACACCTCATCCTCCTTCAGGTCTTCATCTAGCTGAAGAACATTTTTTAGAGCAGCAGCAACCACCTTCTTCCTTTTGCAGATGAAATCCTGCTCCTCCGTGCACAGACCAAACTCCAACCGTAAATCTAAATTCTTACAACTAGAGCATAAGAACAGAACACAACATGTCACCTGTAAGCCATTTCTAGAGCTACTGCTTGAGACATCCAGCAAAACCAACAGCAACAATAAAACAGTTTAAAGAAAGGCTACTTCCATGCACATGAAGTTCCCCCTATGCAAATTACATCAGGTATATGGATATCACATGTCCTATATTTCTGTCTTCCTGTGGAGGTTTTAGACCAGAATCATTCCCTGAACTATTTCACACAATCATGAGGAAGTTAAATGAATCAAATTTTCTGCCGATGAAACACAAGGAACATAACTGAATTCAAGCTGTTTCACACTGAGCTCTGAAATTTGTACATCTCTTCACATTCTTTTGCTATGTGTGTGTTTCCTGAAGAGCAGAAGAGGCCTAAGCAGTTACTTTAACTCAGCATGCTTTAGGCAAAATGACCCTAATACTGTGTTAGGTTTACCTTTACTAAAAACTTGTGTTGTAAATACTTGAGTCAGAAGATGTTTCTTAGGTGTATCCATTTATATCTGCACATGATTATGAACATCATGCACATCATTTATTTTATAACTTCTGTCTTCACAGGGCTACTGCTTCAGGGTTTTTTCAGCCAGAAGGTTATTTTGTCCTTTCTGTGACTCATAATTAATATTCAGTAAAACCCTCTGATTTATCATCTCAGTCTGCAATTAGTGCTTGCATTGTAGCTAACTAATCAGTAGGGTGTAATGTTGCACTTCATAAATTCACTGCAAGCCAGTCAATAAATTAGTAACTGTCCACTTGTTTCATTGAAAAATGACCTTCAGGGGACTGGTAAATGCGTAACAAGGTTAGAAATCTGTTAAAAATGTGTTCCACGTATACATGTACGTATTACAGATAAAGATTACAGGACAGAGGGATTCTCAAGAGTCAAAATTACGAAGCATCAACATTAGGAAAACCATGATGACAGGTTATACCCCATGACTACCTATCACCTATTTTATGCTGAACTCTTAACAACTAATTTTAAAGCATGTATCATTTTATTAATTATTTTAGTCTTTTTTAACTAGTTACAATCTTTATTCCTCATTTCACAATGAGCTAGTTTAAGCTGTAGCTGCCTTTCATCTAAAGATGGTACTTTAAAAGGACAGGAGTATACATGCAAAAGGAATAAGATTTACCCATCTTCTTCCTTCACAGACACCTCATAAGATTCACCCTGAGAATCAAGAATAAAAGCATCATCAATTTTAAACAGAATTGAAAGTTTGCAAAAACAAGTTTTACAGTATTAGTAATTATTCAGCTTTATAGTCTAGTAATCAACTTTTGGTCTTTTCTCAAGCCTTCTGCACGCAGTCTAGGATCTCACTTTTAAAATATTTTTAAAGCTATTAGCAATTCTGACTTTTTCCCCAAATAACAGTTACACTTTCAAGTGTATGCAGAGCTGAGCATACATGTACTCAGCTAGTACATTTTTAATAGCAAAATTAATAAAGAAAAAGGTATTATATACTTACAGCTTACACTTGTTGAAATAATTCCAAATGCTGTCAAAGGTTACTCACCCTCATCACTGTCACTTTCTTTCTCAAGTCCAGAGAATGCAGAGGCACAGCCAGAGGATTACTTACACCCATTTCCCTCCTAGCTGAGCAATGCTGAAAGTGGGGAAAAATGTTGTTATAAGAAGAAAATTATTTACAACCCATAGGAACAACTCTACCAGAGAAGAGCTATTTTATTATGTTTCTCCCAAAAGTTACTTTAGCCATTACCACCATCCACAAGCAAAACATACACTGCAGAAAAACCGCTCCTTTGGCAGCGCCATATGCAGCCTGGGTTGACTGTGCTTGACGTAGTGGAACATGGTGGTTTTGCTGCCTCCCTGGCTACAGCGAGTACCTATGGAAACATCCTGGGCTTCTTCATAGGATCCTTTCATTGTGAACGTGAAATCTCTCCCTAAGAGCAAGAAGCAAACCACAGAGAAATGCTAATCGCATCTGGCCCTGAAAAATAACACGTAAACAGCCCCAAGTTTCAGCCATAGTGCAGTCAACATTAATGTGGGCCACAATGGTTTTCCTCCCCCACAATCAGTGTGAACAAGGACCAGACTGAAAAAGCAGCAAATGCCAGTACAGCATTGCAGCTTCTCCCCTGCCAAGTGAGAGGGAGCACATGTTAGACCAGCAGGTGCCACTGGCAGCATTCACAACCCCCCAGGTTTCCACCACAGTCTTTCCACTCCTGATATTTGTGTCTCCCCTCTTTCACTTTCTGTTCTCATCAAAGGTATTTCCATCCCACCACACTGCTGTGATGTTTCCAAGTCTCTTGGAAACCTTCACAGTTTCCCTTCAGCTACAGAGTCACTCCTTCTCCATAAGATTCTCAATACTAGCCAGTAGGTAATTCAGGAAACACCTCAATCCCCAAACAGCCCTGATACAAGCAGAGGAGGCTAAAATAGAACACATCTTTATCTAGACCCAGCTGCATCTTCCATAGCACAAAAAGCACTGACAAACAATTTAAATCAATAACCTCACTTGTGTAAGGGCTCTTCATTTCTGTTTTATCCACCTGTACTCCCAAACAGGAAACTTCACGAGACTGGAAGAGACAAGCAATAAAGTCACCGGTCACAGAAACACTTCAGGATATTGGGGTCCTGTGGAGACACCAGGCTTGGCCATGATGTCCTGTGAACACGAAGAAATTGCAGAGGCTAATTCTCAGCTTGTATAAATCATGCAAGCAGTACTGTGGTCAAGGGAGCTGGGGATCTGCCCCATTACTTTTAAATATCATTCAACCACCAACGGTTAGCACAAGGAATTTTTCTCTCCATCTAGATCATGCATCAACTTTTCTCTACAGAAGAGTGAGCCAAAGGATATCAACAACTCTGCAGAACAACTGAACAGATGGGCCTGTACTTTAAGACCTTTGGGATGAAGCTGAAACTTCCCAAGAAGGAGCTGCACAGGGGGCAGTAGCAGCACAGGAGCATCACACAGTACTTCAGACATGGTATGAAAAGAGCCTTTGGCTCCAAGGTAAACATCCAGTGATAAACTCTACAGTGACACTGGATTCACTCCCTTCTCAAGTTTCCTTGTTTACTGCCATTTCATCAGCGAGCAGCCCTCACTGGCCCTGTGGCAAAGCGCTGGTGCAAGCCTCTCCCAACACAGAATGCACTACAAGCATGGCCAAATTGAAAACTGTACAACCACAACTGTGTCTCATCTGAAAACGAATAAAGGCTATGCCTAAAGGCATAGCTCTTCCAAGTACATCCTTCAGGGCTGCCCTACAGTAAGAACATAAGCATAAAAAAATAAAACAATTACCACTAGAACGCCATTAGTAATGATGTTTTCAGATACACCTGGACTGCAAAGCAAAAAGGAAAAGGTTTATTTAAGGGTTGGTATAGGAACAATAATATTTTAAATGCAAATGGTTCTCTGAGTTCAGTTTCTCTAGCTACTGAATGCCATGAGCACTTCTATCTTTCCTCCCTGCTCACTGCCAGGTCACCATCCCATAGCTCTTAGGGGCACTCCCTCTTTCTTTAGGGGCACTCCCTCTTTCTTACCTCCCCTGATCAGCATTGTCTCTCTGTAGCCAGAATTACAAAAACCAGGCCCACCCTCAGCTATAAATAGTAAGTGAGACTGTCGCTCAAGGAGAGCTATCACCAGATTCAGGAGACAAAAGCAAACATGGGAAGATGCCGAGATGGGATGTCTGAGCAAAGGTATGTGGAGCCACTTCCCAATGCTACATTACCACTCCCTAAATTGGGAAGTTTTCTGCTGACAAATTCTGAAACATTTAGTCTTTACTCACATGTTTTCCAGTAGAAATTCCACTTCCAGTTCTTCATGTTTCTGAAAATAAGATTTACTTTTCATTTAAGAAAAAGACTAATAGAATTTTTCCTAGGAAAAATTTTGCCAAGGAAGGGAGGTATAGCAGGTAAACGATGCCAGAAGAACATACTTGAGAATAAATGGACACCGGTGGTGAGCATGTCTGGGTTAAAACTAAGGAATTTGCAGAGTATAGTGACTAAACATAAAGAAAAAAGGTGGTAGAAGACACCAACTTCAAAAATTAAAATTTCCAGGGTGAAGAGAAGAGAGAAGATGGCAGACCAAAGCTCTGAAGGGGAATGATGGAAAGAACTCACAATGGTCAAATCAAGATGAAAAAGGGGGAAGAGTGTAAGAACAGGGAACACAAAAGAGTAACACATCAACAATATAAGAAGGACTGAATAACTGTATTTGCAGCTATTTGCTGGATCAAGTCTGTATGGGGGACAGCCAGTACAGGAAATACCACATAAAAACATACACCAGAGAGCTCTTCTGTATCACCCACAGGGAAGAAAACACTAATTAGTTGAAGATATAAATCTCTTTCTGACAAGTGGTAGCAAAATTTTTCATTCATTTTCAGAAGAACTAACCTTTACTGGCAAACATTGCCTTCAGCCTGGCTGCACAGCATACTTTAACTTGGTGAGAGTTAAAGGTCAATATCCTCAACATCAGAGGGATATTGATCACTTGGAGCGAGTCCAGAAGAGGGCCACGAAGATGCTCAGAGGGCTGGAGCACCTCTGCTATGACGAAAGGCTGCGAGAACTGGGCTTGTTCAGCCTGGAGAAGAGGAGGCTCCGAGGAGACCTCATTGCAGCTTTCCAGTATCTGAAGGGGGCCTACAAGGGTACTGGGAGAGGACTTTTTACAAGAGCCTGTAGTGATAGGACAAGGGGTAATGGGTATAAATTGAAATCAGGGAGGTTTAGATTAGATATCAGGAAGAAATTCTTCACAGAGAGGGTGGTGAGGTGCTGGAACAGGTTGCCCAGAGATGTTGTGGATGCCCCATCCCTGGATGTTTTCAAGGCCAGGCTGGATGAGGCTTTGAGCAACCTGCTCTAGTGGAAGGTGTCCCTGCCCATGGCAGGGGGGTTGGAGCTAGATGATCTTTTAAGGTCCCTTCCAACCCTAACCATTCTATGATTCTATGAGAGATTGTGAAAACCACATCAAGTCTGAGAATGTAGCTGCCAAGTTAAATTATCACTACAGTAAAGGTGAAAAGTGAGTATTTTTGTATTTACTCATTGATGTCAGTAAATAAAACATCTCAGAGAGCTGTATCTGTGGCATGTAGCCCGACAGCAGATGGTTCTGCTTGATAGTTCTCACAAAGCCTCCACTTTATGAGAATTAGGGCGGTTGCAACAGTTTGTAACAAAGCTGAGGGATGGCTTTTAGAAAGCAGTCACCTTACAGAGATGCAAGGCAGACTTTATCAAGCATCAGATTGTGACCAGTCAGTACTACCCAAACTCATTGATAGTCTGCTACAACTTTGTTTAAAGAACAGCAGAAACAATGTTCAAGATACCCTGGCTCATAACGTTTGCCTAAATGTGCCTGTTGTATGTTCCCATCCTTCTTATGCTGTCGTATACACTCAAACAAATTATATTTCTATTAAGACCCATTCACATTTTTGTGGGCAAAAAACCTGCAGCAAAGCAATGGAAAGACTTGTTAGACCACACAGCGAAGAAGAGGCACAGCAGGAAGTAACCCTGATGCTCTGACATTACCATCCACCCTCCTCAGCCCTCCTTTTGAGATACCTGGGTAGATCAAAGAAATCATTATGGGCAGAGGTGGCACTACTGCCTATTATTAAGGTTGTCCAGCATGTCCCATTACTAAGTCACTTTTTTAAAAAAAATAATTAAAATGTAACCCTAAGTGTCCTAAAGATCCACGTACAGACCATAACCTATGATGCCTCATGGTTGCCTGAGCAGGAGTTGTGGTCTGAATAAAGATGGCTTGACCAAGACATTCCTGAGACACGGCTCATCTTGCCTTATCTCCCCAGCTTCCACCTTGCTAAGCCAACGGGTGAAGCCAACTCTGCACATGCCTCAGAGCAAACTCACAGCTTGAATCACAGCTCAAATGATCTCAGTCACAAGACTCATTCTAAGGAAGGCCGCAGCCTTCTGGAGCAGGTATATTGAATACTTAGTAAGGATTCTAGAAAAGTGGTTAATAAACACTCGTCAAAGCATTAGCAATATAAAGAACAGGCAAGAGTGTTTTCCAGACAGCCTGACACAGTGGTTTAGAAATAAACAGAGCACACAAAATTCTTAGGAACTGCAAACTGAAGGACTTGTCAGAAGTGTGAAAAAGCTCCAGAGGCTTGATACTATACAGCCTCCAAGCAGAGAAGGTGTTATATTTTGCTCTCTTAAAAGATGGGTGTGATTTCTCCACCTGTCCTCTCAGGCACTTGACCCACAAAAAATTTGTAAGTTCTTTATCCCCTCTTAAATACAACCAAACACAATATTCTTTGTGACATAACCAGCAAATAAGACTCCTGGGTCACACATAGACCTAGAAGAAAATAATAAAATACTGAAGAGATTCTCAGTCATCAAATCCTATCCATTTTGTGCCGGCTTAGCCCCACAAAAGGGAGTTGGAACCCTGTAACAAAAGACGATAAACAGACTTGATGAGATTTTTTAATTAAAAAAACCAAAGTGATTGCTTACCAGAAAGAGGAAAAAAACCTGATATACTTTCATGAGAATATACAGTAATTTACCAAGCACATTGCCTGAAAGCACAGGATAGAATCTCTGGTAAAGCTGAGAGGAGGTACCCCTGTAAGCTACTGGCTAAAGGGTTGGAGGAGCTTCCTGGAAGTAGGGCCAGGTTTGTTCCCATCCCTGCTCTGTCAGTCTCCTACGACAGTGAGATCTCTGTCAGTGTCTTCATTTTTGACTCTTGCTCTTGGGTTTTTTTTTTTTTTTTTCCAAAAAATGCTTTTGAAATCTCAATAATAAAGAAATCTGAATAGGAAAGCCATTTTGCATCTGATTGCAAAGACAGTCCCAGAAGGGTGACTGTTTCTGCCCTCTCCTAAACCCTCAGCATTTAACTTTGCTCTTTAATAAGGTCCTTTTGGCAAAGCCCTTATGTGCGAGAACAACTCTCATGTTTAATATGACTTTAAAACAAAAACATCTTATCAGGAGTATTATTTTATCTCTCCACTTAACTTCACCCATCTTTTCATTTCTCACCTCTGGATTCAACTCAAAACTCAGGTGAACTTTTTCACCAGGTTGGATTTTAGCTACGTCGAAGCGAACCGTCAGAAGTTGGTCATCTGGTGTGAAAGTATCCTCATCGCAGACTGTCATCTCCAGGATGTTCTGCGAAGAGAGGCAGAAAAGGATGTAAATGCCATATTCTGGGACTACTGGGCCCAAAAGGAAGGTCTAAGCGAGAGTCAGCATGCAGCCACCACGTGGCTCAGTGTGGACAGACTCCTGTGACAGCGTGGAGCTGGGCTGGCTGCAGCAAACCTTCACTCAGCCCGCAGCCCCTGTGGCTCAGCCTGCGAAGTCAGGGACAAACCCTGGAGTAGGTAAATCGTTCGATTTGGCAATGAACAGGAGCTCAAGTGACACACGTGATGTTAACGTGCAGTGGACAGAGCACAGATTACACATGCGTTCATCACGATCCTTTGTGGATTTAAAATAATTATCTTTAGAAATTTCAGCGTATCAGCAGAAAGTAACAATAGACGGCAAACTCTTAGCCCTTTACAAGGGGAAGGTAAAGGACACTAAATCTTGTTAAAAGATTTTAAAGTTAAATTGCAGTGATTTCCCTTGCATTTCCTCAGGGTTCAGATTACCCACAGCAGTGCAGGAAGACACAGAACTATTAAGCCATAGGAAACCAACCCCATGTCTAGATCTTGTAGCACTCGCACTCAACTTTATACTGGATGATCCATAACCCTTTTAGATTCAAACCACAGGATAGATATCATTCCGTTTAGGCTTTCAAAAATATGCTCGTTTAGTGATGGAGTGGTTGGTATTAAAGAGTAGGGTTGTTTTTTTTTAAAAAAAAGAAGTATTATATTATGATATATCTTGTAATTTACAAACAACATCACTGTTTCTGCACGAGGCAAATATTACAAGCTCATGGCAACATACAGCAAAAATGCCTTCAAGGTTGCATATACAAATATATTCTTAATCCTCTAAAGAGTTTATAAAAACTCCCATCCAATTCCTGAGGTCCTAGTGCTTAGAAGGTGATTGAAACAAGTCAGGGCACCAGTGAATCTGTATCAATGCTTGCATATTGCAACTCCCTCCCATGGCAGGGGGGTTGGAACTAGATGGTCTTTGAGGTCCCTTCCAACCCAAACAATTCTATAACTCTATGATATCCACTTTCTGGTAGGAAATGGCATCTCTAATGCTGCTCTGACACTTTTTGCATCTTTCCATTGCCATCCTATTCCTTGGCATAACTGAGTTTGAGCCTCTACGTAAGCCTCGAGGCTCTCAAAGAATCTGACCACAGCCAGTGAAAACATCCCATTTAGAAAGCATCTGCTCACTAGCACAGGGCAGATCCTACCTTGACTGCACTTTGTATCATGAAGTGGAAGGTTTCATTCCAGACAGGGTTTCTGCAGTTGCGTACAGTTTTCGTCCGGGCTTCCCGACATGAAGCTGTGGGCAGCCATAGCTTCACGTAGCAATCAGTTAGGCTCACTGTGTTAACAGAGATGTATTTAAAAAAAAAAAAAAAAAATACTGCTGAACTAATTGTGTCTTTCGCTCAGTCAGAAGAAAAGACATTAACCTCTGAGGAGTCCTAAATATTTCATCAGACACGAAGGAAAACATTCTAAATTTAGAAAGTGATTTAACTTTTCTATCTAAATTTATGTCAATTCCAAACAAAAGTCAATTTTAAACACTAATACTCTTCAGTAACAAAAGCCAAAATATTCAGTTTCAACAGCACTGAACTAAAAAATTCTGGCTTTTCTCATTTTTTGCTTCTACTATCAAACATTTGTCAGGCTTCAAGCAAATTCATATACAACTTCCCTTCCTGAAACTTAGCTTTTTTAAAAAAATTAAGAATTTATTTGGGGGGATTTTTTTGAAAAAAACCAGCATTGAAGAGACACACAGCAGCACCACACACAACTACTGATTTTTCCTATATCTTTCATAAAGGTGTCACTTTCAGAAGGGAAGAGTCACTGAAGAGTTAGGGAATGAGAAGTATTACAGAGCAGCCAGTGAAGGGCACCAAACATAGAATTTCTGTTCTATTTAATTTCTATTGTTAATTGTTTTCTAAATTATTGTAATTTAGTCTAAATAAAAACAAAAATAGACACAACTTCTCCAGCCAACAAAAACCTGATAGATTACCGAAATCCTAGCAGCAGGTGTACGAGAACATTAAATTCAGGTGACAGTTATTTTCTTGCTAACCTCTAAACATGCCACCAGTGATACTTACACAGGTCTGCTTTACGGAGATTTCTCACACTTATAATTTTTACAGTAAGCCAGCACAACCGAGGCACTTCTGGCTGCAAAACAAGAAGAAAAATACCTTAATTATTAGCAAATAACTCAGATGTAATTAATGCCACCTATCCTACAGCAGAGCAAAGGGGAAAAATAAGTAACCTTAGGCCATTCTTGTATTCACAAAATGAGTATGTTTTCATTTTAATTATTTGAGACAACTTCTGATAAGAAATTCTTTCTTGTGATACCACATAATGTCAGATTCCAGTTATTTTATTATCCAGTTGTGTTTAAGTTTAAGGGTTGGGGGTTTTTGTTTTGGTTTGGTTTTTTTTAAGATTTAGGTTTTGGAAGTAATGTTTCAATGCAAGGAGTAGTACAAAATACCACAAGACAGTTTTTATTTAAAAAGTCATTATATAATTGCCCCTGTAAAATCCAGTTACCTTCAAACTACAGAATTTGCTTCTCAAATTGCAGGCTGAGTACAACAGATTACTGTTCAGCACTTCCTGGTGTTCCCAGGATACTCTCCTTCCTCTGTCAGGGACAGCTGCCCATCTGCCATGTAACTACCACAGAACAGGACAGATACCCTCCTTTTCATAATGCTCAAGATACCACTGCTACTAGCAAACCTGTGTGACACAACATCACAACATCCTTCACCTTACCAAAATATGTGACCCTTAAAAAAAAGAAAACCAAACAAACAAAAGGTTCTGTAAGTGAACAGACAAGTATGGGACTCCCAAGCTCTTCAGTTACAGCAGCAGGAAGAAGGCTGAAACCAGAGGCTTGGTTTAAGCATTCTCACATTTCATACCTAGGTCCAGCTCCCTGTAAGGCAACTCTAGCATTTAGGTACAAATTTGATATGACATAAGGTTGTTTTTTGGGGTTTTGTTTGTTTGTTTGGTTGGTTTTTGTTTGTTTGTTTTTTCTCTGACATTGAGTGAAGGTATCCCTGTCATCCATAGATAGAGTCTCCATTAATCAAAATGAAGCCACACTACCACAATATGCAGAACTGATACATGTACTGATAAATGTACATAAACCAGGAGCTGGAGAAAAAAAACCAAAAATGAAGAAAGCATGAATCACAAAACCACTAAACAACGTAAGAAAATGGAAAGTTGCAAATACAAACTGAATTACATCTCTGGTAGGATAAGAGTGAAATTGCTAGTGTGTTGATTATGTAATTAAACCAAAGAAGCAAGAATAAAAGTTGTAATTGCATATGAATGCACATTCACACACAAAAAAAAAGACAAAAGGACAAATAGGTGATTCAGAACGATCTAGCTTATTCAGGACTTTTTCAATAATAATTATTTTAATAAACATTTTTACATGGAAGAACACTAAGCTGGCCTCATTGATTTACCAAGGAGAAGCACTGAGGTATAGCAATATACTGACATCCCATAGCACAGGGCTCTACACAGGAATATCTTGAAGGCTGCACAACCCACTCCGTTTTTTGTTTTCTCCCTTCCACTCATCACAGCTACAGGCAACCCTGTACTTGGTTACAGGAAAAGCAAGACAATTTTGAAAGTATCAGAAGTAATATATATGGAAGCAGTAGCTCCACCAATTAAATTGAAAGGGTCAATTAAACCTTCACAGTGTCACAATTTCTGAGACACTGTCTCCTTAGGACCTTCTGGTGTAGCTCATTTTGTTACACCAGTCTCCTGACAGAAGCAGATTAACCATCCAAAAAGCAGTAAGTCACCAGGTTAGATGCCATTTAGAGCCCACTGGGAAATTCCTAGCCCAATAGTTTTCTTTCAAAAAGCATCATTTTAACAAAACCAGCAGGTTTGGAAGAGACCTCAGCAGAAATTTTGGCAGCAATGTTTTTGGAGCTAAAGGGAATGACAGGAGTAGATGATCAGAATTGCGGAAAACTCAACTTTGCATCCCAGAGAAGATTAACTTTTCATCCTCAACTTTACCACCATCAATATCCAGGAGTTTGCAGAAAACTTATTTATGATACAGTTGAAAGACTAAGAAAATACACAGGCACAAAACCAATTATTATTCCATAGTGAGAGCAGTTTGTGAGTTCACTGGTCTCCCAGATCTAGTAAAGAACGTCATAATTCTGCACAGAATACAGCTAGGGAGCAGATTTAGAACACTCAGGGGGAAAACCACCAAGCAATACAATTCTTTATTACATTTTTAAATCATCATTTAATATCCTTCAAACTAGCCATTACTCATAAAAGGGAATAATCTGTTATTTATCCAGTATGTACCACATTTAGTACTTTCCAACTCCTTTTACCAGTTCAGTTTCATGAAAATTAGCATTCAGAATCATTTTAAGTGGCAGACACCAAGCTATCCATTTTATCTACTGATCTGTCTCCATAAAACAAAGGAAAAAACAATTTGAAGACTGAGACTTAGATGTCACAGGGTATGACTACCACCATACAGTGAGGTCACAGTAAAATCAAGACTGAAATCCAGCTCTCCCAGTTCCTTGTCCGGCATCTAAACCACAAGTTCATCACCTTCCTCACCTTCCCAACCCCCAAGTCACAGCGAATGTTTTCTACTCTAGAGGACACACAGAAGAAACACATTCCCTTAACTAACTGTTTTAAAATGTCACCTTTCATAATAACAGTTAAGCCTAGGGAGAGATGGGAAAGGCTGATGGAAGACTGCAGGTAGCATGGCCATTGTTCATACCCTGCAGCTGTCTCTCTGCAACCCAGAAGCTGCTCCTCTATACAGTACCTCATCTTCAGCGCTGTATGGCCTTTCATGATTCCTGCTCCTGATCCCGATCTTCCTGTGTGGGTTTGCTTGGATGAAGCGATCCTGGAACAAGGAGCCGAGACAGACGAGCGATGAAAACCAGCAGTCAACAATTCCTAATTTTCAGTTTCTACTCATATTTGCCATGGCAATAGCAGGAGGCCCTACCATTTCTCCTCCTCATGATGGGATACATCTCCAGCTCACCAAGGCCATCTAGCTGCTGCTCTTACTAATAAATCTGCCTACCACAGACCCATTTGACATTTAAGGGTCAAAATTCCCCAAGCATTTACTTTTGATAAATCGCAACCAAGTCAGCCAAACAGATCCTCCTGCCCCATCACTGATTTTCTCTTACCAAAGGTGAATAGGCTGACGATTCCATTAGGATCCCTGTTGCATAAAAGGCGACGCTCTAATGGTCCCGTCTGTAAGTCTCACAGCTGGCAGGTGCTCCTGGACCACACTATTTTCCAAACGAGGCAGGGAAGAAGAGCTGTATAAACTGACTCATAGCTCCACCTCCCACTGATTTCCAAAGCACAAATTATGCACTTGTCCTGTGCCACAGGAAGATCTTTTTTTTTTCTTTTTAACACCACAGTGGTTTAGGGGAAAGAAGGAGATGGGTCAAACATTCTACTGTAGACTGATCCCAAAATAAAATTCACCACCATAAAGTTTGAATAACCACACAGAGAGGGACATCCCAGGGCAGTTGCAACCCTGAGAAAACAGAATAGCTAAGAGAACCATTACAACTGCTGATATCTCCTGTTACTTTCCCTAGTCCCAGAATCCGTACCTGTGCTCTGGCAGCACCAAGGGGAGTGATCTGAATACCTGAACACCAGCATTCTAGTTCCCACCAGCTCCTCCAGCTAGACATGCAACTGCAAGGGTTTTCCCCAAGTTCACTACAAATTACAGCCACAGCGAGGAGGCTGGCTCTCATGGGCAGTGGCAACTGGTTAAAGAAAAGAGCTTATAGCTTTTCTTCCCTCTTATTTCTGTTACATAAGGGATGTTACAGGGTAAGCAGAACCAGCAGAAGCTTTTGTTATTGAAACATTTTTTCATGTTTAAAATGCTGCTTTCAATGAAATTATGATAGAAAACCATATAAGCTGTTATGCAAATAACTACGTATGATTTTTTCCATAATATTTAAACATTCATGTTGAAATCATCAGTTCTGATTTCTTTTTCATTCCAGAATAATTTCACATTTTTTTCTGCAATAGCACTCAACACATAATAACAAAAGTATCTAGTAGTAATGATAAAATAATATAACATGACAGAAACTAAAGTATCTGATAATTCAAACGGTCCTGCAGAGCAGAGCTGCCTTAAATAAAGTTTCAAATGGCCATTATAATTAACCTAGTCTTTCACAGACTCAGGCATCGAATACATAAAAGATCCTGCTTTACGTTACACTACCATCTATGAAAAGTGTGATGAGTTCTCAGCTACAGGTTTTTGGTTGGGTTGTCCTTTTTGTTTTGTAAAGCAGTCTTATTACAATAGAGATCTATTTCACTTTGGTTATATGATAATGCTTTTGGTAACACTCCCTGATTTGAAACAAGAGATTGGTGCTGCATGAGGCTGAACATAAGCACTATCACATCGCTTAGTGCAGGTTCTGAAATAATCCTATGGCTCAGTTTGATGACAGTGGATTTTCCCCAGCTCATCAAGAATAAAAGTTACCCGTCCAGTTAGATAACAAGCCATGCTCCCCACTCAACTTCTACCCTTTCCACAATCTCCTCATTTGGGCCTCCTGTGGATTTCAAACTAAATCAAGCAATATTAACTGCTTCAGCAGCTATGCTGCCATAGTAAACATGCTTGACCTGCACATCATGGGAGAGAATCACAGAATGGTTTGGGTTGGAAAGGACCTTGAAAGACCATCTAGTTCCACCCCCCCTGCCATGGGCAGGGACACCTTCCACTAGACCAGGTTGCTCAAAGCCTCATCCAGCCTGGCCTTGAACACTTCCAGGGATGGGGCATCCACAGCTTCTCTGGGCAACCTGTTCCAGTGCCTCACCACCCTCTCTGTGACGAATTTCTTCCTGATATCTAATCTAAACCTCCCCGCTTTCAATTTAAACCTGTTACCCCTTGTCCTGTCACTACAGGCTCTTGTAAAAAGTCCCCCCCAGCTTCCTTGTAGCCCCTTCAGGTACTGGAAGGTGCTATAAGGTCTCCCCGGAGCCTTCTCTTCTCCAGGCTGAACAAGCCCAACTCTCTCAGCCTGTCCCCATAGCAGAGGGGCTCCAGCCCTCTGATCACCTTCTTGGCCCTGCCCTGGACTTGCGTCAACTGGCTGATTCTTATGTTGGGGGCCCCAGAGCTGGACGCAATACTCCAGGTGGGGTCTCACGAGAGCAGAGGGGGAGAATCCCCTCCCTCGCCCTGCTGGCCACACTTCTCTTGATACAGCCCAGGATACGGTTGGCTTTCTGGGCTGCCAGTGCACGCTGTCGGCTCTTGTCCAGCTTTTTGTCCACCAGTACCCCCAAGTCCTTCTCCTCAGGGCTGCTCTCCATCCACTCTCCATCCAGCCTGTCCTTGTGCTTCGGTTTGCCCCTACTCACATACAGGATCTTGCACTTGGCCTTGTTGAACTTCATGAGGTTGGCATGGGACCACCTCTCCAGCCTGTCAAGAAAGAAGAAATCCAGCTAAACAGCTCTCCCATGCAAAATCAGACTGAGCCCAGCAGTAATAGGAAGTTACTTGATAACACGATAGTGTGCATTATGAACAGTAGTTCAGGTGAGTCAGGAGTCAGGAAGCCACAGGCCAGAAGACAAGATAATATTTCACCAATACCATTATAACAGCAGAAGCCTTCAGCAGCACCAGTTGCATGGCAACGAGGGGTCTGGATTCATGTGGCACTTAAACTGTGCCACATAACTTGCAGTACAGGCGTCTGGGTGGCAGAGGAGCAGACAGCTTGCACCAGCACCAGTAAAGGCTCTGCAGCCTCTGGAGAGGCAGCTGTGAGAGCTGGGGACTCCCAGTTGCCACCGAGATCCCAGATCAATTTTGACACAGACTCAGAGTCACTTTCCTCTCACAGAAATTTGAGACTGATAATCAGTGATATCTCCAAATTCTCGCAGGGTTTCTATATCTAACTACTAATAAAAGCTAAAGGGGGAAAAGCCCTCAGAGTCTGGCCCACAAGCCTTGCGAGACTGCTAGTTTCTGATAGAAAGGTGCCATGGTAAAGAGCCAGAGACCTCTTGATCTGAGCTCTGATACACCGATGCAACCACAGGGTCCAACTTTATTTCTAAAAATGCTAATGATTTTGTTCTTCATAACCCTCTGAACAAAAGCTGTCAGACATCAACTCCAAATATCAGACTTCATTTACATGACCCAAAACTGAATCACTCATAATCCCTTTTTGACCTAGATTCTGACAAAATCTGAAGTGACGGTGATTGAAATCCATCAGCAATTAAGTCTTCAAGCAATTTTCAGAGCATCCGTTCAAAGCATTTGGGTAAGACAAAAAACCAAGAGTCATTAAGCTTCATTTCCTGCTTTGATAATACAGAGAAGACCACAGGAAACATCTTTCTTGTGGGACAAAAACAAATAACCTGTTTGACTTACTATTGTCTGCTGCGCACAATTTGCACAATTGTGTTCATATCCTGTTAGAATTAAAGTTTTGTTCTAATAAATTATTCAGTATGATGGGGGGGTGGGGGGTGGGGAAAACAAACCAAAAAAACATGACACACTCACATTGCCAATTTAGGCCTTATTTACAGATTAGTTGCACAAATCTTCTCAGGCTATTTTGTAAGTGCTTCAACACAACCTGAAGAGAGTTGACACAAGTGACAATGACAACAAACACACAAGCTGCTTTGTGTTACTGCTGAGGACACAGGTCCCTTGAATTACTCAAGAACATCTTCTCAAGCAGCACTCCTAGAGTCACCCCATTCACTGCTGAGGGAATGCTAAGTCACAGCACCAAGGATCCACCTGCATCTTCAGCTCAGACCAGAAGATATCAGCTGTTTATCACTAAAGCATAGGAGACAGGGTGCACCCACACTAGAAGCTCCGAAGCAGGATCCATGCCACCAGTCACACACTCGATTTTGTGCGTAGGCTAACAGCCTCCGGGCAGTGGGATTTACCATGCTATTAAAGCAAAAGAAAAGACCTCAAGGCATCTTCAGCGCTTGTTCTTTACTGACACGCACTTTTATTCCTTTATTGATTAGAGCTGTGGGCTTTTCCTACAAAGACATAGGAGGACAGAGGTAAGTACTGAGTATGAGTTTGTAATTGCAGTTGAGTCACCACCACTAGTTAATGAAAAGAAACAGGCTAAGATGTTCTCTGGTAGTGCCTAAGGGCTGAATTGCTCTTTGGAAGTGCTCAACTCTCTCCAGTGACTATGATTATTATCCTACACCACTCTGACACTTTAGTTATTTACCTACAGCTAGAACCTTGCTTCCCTCCCCATTTTTATTTGGGCAGCGCAGCTAGTATGCATGCAGCAGCGATGAAGTACCTAAAAAAGCCCACTAACAATAACCTAACTATTCATATACTTTTTCTGGACATATTTATGCATGGCTGAGAGTGTGCCAAGGTGGACAAGAGGAGCAACAACATCCTGGCCTGCATCAGGATCAGTGGGGCCAGGGCAGTGATTGTCCCCCTGTACTGGGCATTGGTGAGGCGGCACCTCGAATCCTGTGTTCAGTTTTGGGCCTCTCACTGCAAGAAGG